CATCAAACAAAGCCAAATTTTAAAATTGTTTTAGTAGAGGTGATTTTCGCGCATATTTTCCGCAGATTCAGAATTTAATCGTGGGTGTTACTGGTAAAACAAAAGACCCCAGGATTCTTGCAATCCTTGAAAAAATGGTTCTACTGTCTTTACTGGTACATGTCCATTAATTCATGACTTCAATGAAATTTTTCAAATTTCTTAAGCTGTCTCAAGTTTCTCTGAATTTTCCACATGCACACTCAAACTTTTCTCATTATCAAGTTTTTGATTGCCAGGTTCCAAACTTAACTTAACAGTTTTTTTCTGGGTTTCCAAATGAATAAATTTGATTTTTGGGCGAACTCTTTGAGGGCGAAGTTGTCTTTGAGCGAAACTTCCGGTCTCTTACCCGGCGAAGAAAATTCTTAAACTTATTTCTTCCCTTTTAAGCTGCAGGAATAAACTTCTTCCTCGAACCTTACTCATCATTACGTACTCGAACTAGTTCCCAAACCATCTCGTCTAAGCTTACTAAACGAGTAGAGGCGATTTGCAAAAAATTCCCGTCCCTTCACGTGAAATTCTTTTATTTTGACAAGGAGTCAGCGGTATGTTCCCTCGATAGAACGAGGGCTCGTTTTGCCGATGACACTTCACCGCTAAATTGATCTTGAGAATCTCGTTTGCTGCATCGGAAAATAATTTCATAGCAGTCATTTAAAATATCAGACACAACAGCTATGATACTGCACTGATAATTCCTACAGTAACAGACCCGTTAGTAGAATTTTAGCCGAGAAATTCATCCAGCCTCTTTTTCTTGATAACGCTTGAAACAAAAGAACATTACTTGCAGTTACGAATTTCCGGTGACTGACAGAGTGAAATGAAATTCGTGCAAACACTAAAACAAAATAATTCATTGATGCATAAATAAATATAAACAAGAAAATGATAAAACGTGATTGAGTATTTCACGTTTGGCTTGATTTAGAGGTTAGATTTTCCCGTGTTATGCTAATTGCATTAAGGCAAGAAATGAAACTAATTTTTACTACGCATTGCACGACATGGAAAACGAAATTATGGGACTATAGAACTTTCAAGATGCATGCACCAAAACCCTTAGGGCAAAAATATATTCATGAACGAGAAAATATTGAAACACATGGGGTAAAATAAATATCAAAGTTCAATAGAAGGTGTGCTCTTACCATATAACAGCTGACAAACAAGATCTGGAGAGGAACTGAAGTATATGACACCAGCCTGTGAATTCAGAATTACTTTGATACACTGAACGCATTCGAGCGCTACAAAGGCGTCCATGAAAGCGATATGTCGGTTTTGAGCCGATAAACGAACAGAGAGAATTTCAAGAGCGTTCATTAACACTTCCAGGCCTCCCTGTTCCAGAAATTCTGTCATCCACTGTGCCGAACATTTGGCGAGTTTTGGATGAAGGGCAGAGTAGTTTTTCAGTGATGGAACTCGGAGTAAACTCACGCAAAGCTCTGGTTCAACGTTGCTGAACTGTCCTTGATGATTTGCCTCGATATGGACATTTTGTTGAAAAATTGGCATCTTACGCAGTCTTTTCCAACCTGAAGTCATTATTGCTTAGTACGACAATTGCAAAACAAAACGCTTGTTCGACCTTCGAAAGCTCGTTGATTGTGATCCGCAGCGAAACCGAAGTCAGTGCATATAATAACATAGACTGACAGCAGGGACACCTTGTTCGTGATAAACAATGCTTCCTTAATTCAATTCAAAACGTGACCTTTTAGTACTTTGTGACTCTAGGAAATTGGTTCCTTATGGGTTCTTATGTAATCGGATGCGAAAAACGTTAGATGGGCTATCTTTCGCTTTAGTTCTATTTTAAAACTGAACATCAACGATAGAACTTTTCGTTTTTCATATTCCGCCTATAGCGTTTAAGATCAGTGAATTGATCCTATAATTTTCTTGTTTGTTTAGGTAGATTAGATTTTTGAATCGATTTGTTTCTTGAGAAGTCACGTACTTACAACTATTCGTGTCGGCAAAACTACCGACACTGCCTTTAGAGAGCATGTATCAAAGCAGTTACGCGCAATGTTTGAAACTTTATTATCATGATCATGTTGGCTTCGAAACCTACACAAATTGTTACAGAAAATAGGATTGTAAGTCAGCTGTGACAAGGTTAAATGATTGTGAGTATCAATTGACTTCGTGAAGGAAATTAGAGGATTACAGGCTCTTGGCAACGAAACGGATGGGGCGTGTACGCTAACCTCTAAAAAAATAGAAAAAAGGTTGATTGAAAGGTTCTTCCCTTCTGATGTAATCACAAACCCACGTTTTCGTTGACGACTGACAGACGGTCTTCGAGCATTTTTTTCATCATAATTCTCTAACCCTTTATTAAGCATGAATCTCGCTAAATTTTCGCAAAGATAATTCCTCTGCAACAATTAATACAAGATATTCAAGTGGAAAATAAACTTGTAACAGGTCACAAAAAGCTGTTAATCGCTGTTTCTGCTGAGTTTACCGGATCGTGACAAGGAAAGTATGATTATTGAATGCAGCTTTCAAACGACTGAGAAGTAGCTGGGTGTTGAAATAAGGGAAGCCGAAAGTTCAAGCGTATTCAAGTACATTTGATTAAGTTCTTTAATTAATTCACAAAGTATCTTATTTAATTAGCTGTTGAAGACGCTGCTGATGACAGTTGACTCAAGAGACATATTGGCTTTTTTTAAAAATAGACATACTTTCTCAACATTTTCAAGAAACCGTGCGCAAGTCAAGTGCCTCAACCAGGTCTTATGTAACTGACCTATTTCCGGTGGAAGCACAATCGAATCTTAAAGGTTGCGTTTTGACTGTGCTCTGTATATGATATTTAATAATATTTAATGTCGTTCTTAGATGAAAAGGAACGCAAGCCAGCTGAGTGGCTTCCACAGAATTATAACTGACTTTCTTCCGGCGGAAACTTACATCACTTTTACTTACTCGAGAAAATCGCGTGACGAGTGATGCCTTAATTTTGTACTTAGTAATGTTCTTCCGCACAGAGTACGGAATTGACTTCAGGTTACGAAAGCGCGCAAACTCTGCGAAGCTAAAATAAATGTATAAAAACTATCTATTTGACAAGAAAGAGCTCCAAACTAGTTCAAAAAGCAACCTTGCCTCAAGCGATTTGATTGACACGGATTTATTTTAGTAAACCATTTGCTTCTCTGGCCTAACCCCGGGACAACCTGTTGCAATATGCGAGCTCGCTAAGTTGCTTCCCTAAAAACAATGCTAAATCAAGTTACTCTACTTACGTAGTCACACGTCTTTGAAATGTTTTTTTAAAAATACGCAAAAGGAGGGCTGTCGAAAGTAGGCCAGGTTGTATTGTTGATCAATTAGTGAACTAACGAAGCGTTAATGGGCTTAACATTTGTGTCTTTGTGGTCAGATTAGCGTCTAAGTTACGTGCAAAATCGAACACAAAGAAATAAGCTGTTGTATACTTCCACTGTATTTTGACGTGCTCACGACCTTGATTTGCAGAAAATCGCCAAGAACGAGAATGATATTGTTGTTTTCCTCACCCATTTGAATGAAAACCGAACTCTCTAGCGTGTCAGACAAGCTATGATTTTTTTTTCTTCAGTCACTGCTACTAATTAACTGGCTTTGTGATTGTCTGATTCAACTAATATAATTCAAAAAAATGTTTTTCCAAAATCACTTAATGACCGAGAAAAACATGACCCCATCAAGTTTAGGTTTTTCAAAAAATTAATGCGAGGTCGTTGAGATTAAAAACGCGGAAAGAACCTATCCACTTCATTAATTTTAGTTGCATATATTCAAATACAAAACTTTATTTTACACCGTCTCTTTTATATTTCGATGAGTAGGGTTTTAGTTGCTTTATGTGCTGGTTAAAGGCGGAATTTTAGCGCGTAAATTGCATCAACCTGTGAATTAGCGCGGAAAGCCGGTCTGATAACACGGCTTAAAATTATTGTTACTCTAAGGAAATTATGAAAAGATAACCACCAACAAATCGATTTATATTGCAAGTAAGAATTGATAACATTATCAGAACCCAAAAGTCACTTATCTCGTTGATTAAATGTGCTTTTCCTCGTTCATCTGCGCTCTAGCGCCAACACAAGAATAACAACTACATAAATAATTCCATTGCGCAAAATAATGATTAAAATTCACCCACCAGTTACAAGCTGTTTCGTAAGTGAAGGATCGGTGGTCATATATTCCAAACCCGTCACATTATTCAAGACTGCCTTGATGCACCGGACACATTCGAGCTGCAGAAACGCGTCGGAAAACTTCGCTAGACCTCGCTCGCAAAGTTTTTCTAGAACGCTAAACAGCGTAGTCAGTCCTCCTTGCTCCAAAAAGTCCGTCATCCACTTCTTGGAACTCTTTTCAAGCTTTTGAATCAAACTTGCGTATGTCTTGAGGGTAGGAATTCGCAGAAATTTTATAAAGAGTTCGGGTTCTACCTCGTTCAATTTTTGAAGATCGATGTTGAGTTCTTCGCCGCGGCCATCGGCGTTATCTTTGATTTCCACTCCACCGGCTTTGGCAAGTCTTTTCCAATTCTTCGACATGACGATCGATGATTTAGAAAGTAACAGCAAGTGTGTGTATTTTCTAAATCAGTACATTCTAAATAAACGGTTGGTGTATTGCCAAAATTTTTTGCTATTCTTGTACTTCGCGTGTTATCCGCGCGGGTTATACATTGATGACCACTTGGACTTATCATTGCTTGCTAATAACCTATTTTAAATTTATTCTATGCATGTTTACCTTGTTACGCCCCTTCAATTCTTAATTGCTATTATTTCTTTTAGAACTAAGAAAGGAAATACCATATACCACAGAGGCAGTGACCTCTCTTGCGTAAACACCGAAGTGTTCGACGTCATCAGAATATTTAAAAGCACTCGATAATGTTACATTTGTCAGCTTTTAAATCTTTAAATCTTGACGAGTGTTTTCCACGCAAAACTCAGGGCGAGGCGACCTCAAATTAAATCAATTAGAATGAGCTCTCTTCTGATTAGATAAACCACGAAAACACTGTTTAACTATTACGGAAAAATGGCTAACTTCAGAAACTGTAATATATTCAGCGAAGCAGTATGTTAGCTCGGATGATACGTGCGCAAACATGGCCTTGTTTATGGGATCTCACTTTGAAGTGTCCTTTGGATTTCAAGTATGTCATCTGCAATCCTGTCAGTCATAAAACACTTCCGTAGACGATCACTATCATTTGCTTGCCTGACTTGGTCTGTTTGTCGATTTGGACCCCCAGTACTTTTAAACAAGCGAACAAATCGATTTCCGTTGTTTTCAAATCTTTAGTTTTATCAAAACAAAATGTCGCCTAAAGAAAAAAATCCCTTCAAAGTTAGTACAGAATTCATGGAAACCCTGATCTGCAGGCTCAAGTTCAGGACCACTATTTTGACTTCTTGCGGTAAGTTATTTTCTCTCTTATATTTCTTTTTGCGGAAATTCTCCACTGAGGACGTGAGGAATTTAGTTTATCATCAGATCCTCTACAAAAGGCCAGTCAAGCTGTGTGCTGATTGACAGATTGATTTCTGATAGTGAGAAAACAGTCGAGAAGCAGAACTTTCCCATTGGGATTCTTTGGAAGGAAGTTGAAATTCCGTGCTGCAGAGGCTTCTAATTAAGCCATACATGAAACAATCCATTTCGATAATATCAGAAACTGTGTGTATAAACAAAGTGCTAATGATGCAAAAGAGTGGGGGAAAGGGTTCGATTAAGGTTCAATTCGATGAGTATAGCCGATTGTGAATAACACGTTTGCATGAAGGTTGGAAAAAGACAATAAAAATCTGTTATGAGAAGTGATCTGCCTTAAAATCTGGTGTACTGCCAGTCCTGAAGATGCAATCGTAAACACCCTCAAATGTTAATTTATGGAATTTCAACTTAAATGTGCACAATGTACTTTTCTGTATTGCGTTATGCTTACGAGGGAATTAGCAACGCATTTGTGGAAGGCAAATAAATCTATTCCTCAAGTTTTATCATTATATGAAATCGTTGAAAACGTTAATGGTTGAAAATTTTGCAGTATAATCAGCTGATATGGCCGTACATGAACCGTTCATGAGCTTAAAGTTGTTTTCAGAAAATGCTTATGCCAAGCTTGGCTTGTAGGAACAATCCTCTACTTTATCATGATTATCTTCTGATTTTTAGAAGTGTTAATGAAAACAACAAGATCACTTTCTGTAAATCGCAACCATAAGAAAGACGATTATTCTGCAGAGAAAATTTACTTATTTTTGTAGCTATCGGAACGAGTGTTTAACGCAAGGATGGGTTAAGACAAAGGTCAAAACTGAAACATGTACCAAATATCTCTTTCAGCGATCATCTGACACATTTCCAACTTACCCAGAAGCAATGAAACTGAACTACTAAACTTCTACTTCCCATGAGTGACCAAGACAGATATTCCCCTTGCAATATCAATGCAATATCAGAAAGACGAGTGATGAGAATAAAGAAAAACATAAATTAGGGGATTATTAGTTGATCCAATACCAAATTTTCTATACTAACATAATAAGAATTATATGGGAGACAGTGGGGAGAATTACTAATGAGATCTTGGGAGTGAAAGGGTTGAAATAGCGATAATTTCAGTCTGACGGAAGTATCTTTTTCACAAAGAAATCCCATTACCTAAATGAAAATAAATTTTCAACTTTTGAGATGACGAAAATAACAGGAAAATATTGGAGCAAGTGGTAGTTTGTACAAGGAATGGAAAGTTACGAATTGCTTCATCGCGCCCAAAATTTGCTGAAGTCTTCGCAATCTATCGATGTATTTCAATCCAAGTGCTCGCTTTTTTTCTGAACTTTAAGTGCACCTAACTGCGATTAATTGGCAAAAAAGTAAATGTATTTACTCACCATTTACAAGTTGTTTTGCTAACGAGGTATCCGAAGTCATAAATTCCAGTCCTGTTATATTATTCAACACAGCTTTGATGCACCTCACACATTCAAGTTGCAAGAAAGCATCGCTGAACTTTGTCATTTCTCGCTCGCCTAATTTTTCTAGAACTTCAAACAGCGATGTCAATCCTCCAAGCGCTAAAAATTCCGTCAGCCATTTCTTTGAGCAGTTTTCAAGTTTTCGCACCAAACTTGTGTAGGTTTTGAGCGAGGGAATTCGAATAAATTTGATGAATAACTCTGGTTCAATTTCGTTCAAACTGTGTTCATCCAGCGCGCCATCTATCTGATTATTGCTGCTGATTTCAATTCCACTGGCCCTTTTCAACTTTTTCCAGCGATTCACCGACGAGGCCATTTTGTGAAACGACTTGTTCTAATGTCAGCTTTGGACTATGAAACCACTGCTATGTTGGGGCTTTTATTTTTTTTTTCTCTTTCACAACACGCCCTGACCGCACTTCCGGTTTTTTACAAAGGTTGTTACTAGTATGGGTCGTTACAAACTGGTTCGCTCAACATTTAATAGGTTACTTCAAATTAGAAAAAATTTTTGGTTGATATTAGTTGGAGAGAATTAATAAAACCCAGACAATCATGAGGGTTGGCGTCGAAGTTTCTCACAGAAATCAACAGGAACTGTCCAAAAAAAATTTCAATCGCAAATCTAAGTAAAAAACTCATGCTGTTCAACGTCTTCAACCTTGAGAGCAAATAACACATTCGGATCGAGAAAACAGAATTTTTCAGAAGCACCTTCATGGGAAAAAATAAACCTTCAATTTTCACCTTTTAGCTCTTTTATTGTTTGATATTTCATGTCCCCACCTCATTTTTTTTTAATTTTTGTAGTGAATTTTCTCCCTTTTTTAAAATTTTTTTTGCAGTTAATTTCCTATTATTGAACAGAGTTATTAATTTATCCATCACGTACCCTTGGCCCATGTCATGTGCTCGTGATATTTTTCTTTCAGGATGCTTCAAGTTCCCCAAACGAGACTCCCTCGTGATCGCAGCAAGCATAACGTTTCGGTCAACTTCCTATAAAGTAGCCAAGCCTCCCACTCATCTTAAAGGCCTGGCTGCTCAGCAAGTATTACGACATCCTTTTGAAATTACCCACGCAATTCTCGCGGAAGGCTCGCACACATGGCCAAAGATGGCCGTCTTTCACGACGAAGTTGAGATCGAAGACTTTGAATACGACGAGGAATCTGAGACTTATTTCTACCCATGCCCCTGTGGAGATCAGTTTGAAATCACCAAGGTTTGTAGATCAGCTTTGACAACGAATCGCCATTAAACTGAGAAAGTTTCTGCGTTAAAAACTTCGTTAAGGTCTTAAAATTAAAATTGTTTATCTATAGAAATTTTAAAGCAGACTACTGAAATGTTCGTACGGCTCGGGTGGTTACGTGTGACCTAAACACCAAAATGCTCAAATTTTTCAAGTGGTTGAAAATCTGTGTGATGGTGTGTGAACTTTGCTTAGATTTGAAACCAGTTTATGATAATATTGTTCCAACGTCCAAAGTGACTCTATCGTGAGACAAACGAATAAAGTTCATCTCCTATCTTACACCACAATGAACAATAAACACATATTTTATTACAATATTGTTCCTCCCTACGAAAACTTCCGTTTTCCTACGCCATCAAAAAAAAAACATACTTGAAAATTTCAGTATCGTGTTCCTGTTCGTGCCTCATTATGACTGAAAGAGGACCCATATCGGCATTCCTTTCCTGATGGACATAATTAAAACTTGATATTGTTATGTTTTTTAGGCTGAGTTGGAAAATGGAGAGGATGTGGCTCGGTGCCCCAGCTGTTCTCTTATTTTGAAAGTCATCTATGACCTGGTGAGTTGTTTTTATGGAGAAGCAGCCTAATATTTTAGATTGGTCTTTACCTCTGTTGTGAGGTATAACTAGTGGCCATGAGATTTGTGTACCGGACTACAGATAGAAAGAGTCAGATGCAAGACATATTGTAGCTTTTGTCACTATTATTGGTGTTTCCATTGGACCAGACACTTTGGAGTTTTTCTTTGTGCAAATGTGTGTCAGCGATGCACTTTTTGGTAGAAGGAAATGAAAAGGAGTTCAAAAGTTAAGAAAGGTGTCCCCCTGTGTGCATCCTTTAGGACATACATGATTTAACAGAGTAATGTACTGCTGAATGTAACTGATTAATTGGTGACAGCTGATAACAGTTTGTGCTCCAGTGAACACAATTATGCTGTAAAATCTCAGAATCTAAACTGCAAGTTCCTTGAGGGGAATGTATTGGCAAAGGCAGGGCAGTATTTTGTTCTTGTTAGGACACATGACACTTTGATTTTGTCTCTTTTAAAGTGAGGTCATGAAACACAACTTTGTGGGAAAGTGAGTTTTACCTACAAAGGAGAAAAGCAATCATTTTTGCATAATGAGATTTAGTGGTTACCCCTATTTTAAGGTAGAGGCTCTTCACATCTGAGAATTGGCCTATTCAACCATCTTTCATTTTACTTTCTAACTGTAAATGTGTGCATTTCTTTTAGGAAGATTTCATGGTTGCTGAAGAAATTGCTGCACCAGCCCCAGTCATGCAGAGGGCGTAGGTAGTAACTAGAGGAAAAATAACACAACCAGCAATGTTGTGGTGATACCCAGTACCAAGCACAAGGAATATCAACCAAAGTTACATCTTGGCTGAAGAGCAACAGTCTTCAACTTGGGAGGATGTGCAGAGAGAGGTCAAGACTGTTCTCAATATGAACTTTAAAGACAAAAAGTTTCTGTTCCCCTATTATTTTTGTCACAGTATTGTTTCCCAGATCATAAGTGGATACCCAACCCTTAAGCCACACAAAGGGACTATTTCTCAATATTTGGAGTTATACCCTTTTTTAATACCAATTCCAGGATTTAATTTGTGAGCCCCATTCAAAGTCAGCACCCTTCCTTAACCCTTTAACTTCTATAAGTGATAAACATGGAACTTCTCCCAATAATATCCATATATTATCTAGCAAACAGGTTATGAGAATACTCAAACTTATCAGGTAGAAGTTGTTATTTTGATCTAACACCAAATTCTCTTAACTAAATTACAAGGAAATGTGTAGAAGCTAGAAGGGAGAATTATGGATCAGATCTCAGAGTTGAAGGGTGAACACTGACAAGTGCAGAATCAGAGATAAAATTGTGAACTGCGAGTCACAGACTCAATTACCACAATTAAAGACAGCATTACAGGAAAATAATTATCAAGCTTTTTAATTACAATTAGAGCTGCTCATTCTTAAGTACAAAATATAATAATTTCAGCTAAACAGTCCAAATAAAATGTACATTATAAATACTTGATTGTGCCTGATATCATTGACTATTTATGCTACGAGGTAACATAGATGAATTTAAATCGATGCATATGAGTTTGAATTTGACATATTTTTACAGAGCAAAAGTTTTGGCCTGTTCCAGTTGTTCACTCTGTAAAAGCAAATTGTGATTGGTATTGTAAATGCAGCCATGGTAGCTGCTGGGGAAAAAAATGAGAGATTTAGGTTGGATAGTTCTGCTGCTACCGTTGTAAGTTTCAATTATTTCCCCTCTTTTTTACTAATTGAACACTTGGAGCTGGCTTCAAGAGTTTAGATTTTTGAGTTTCTTTTTTAAAAAAAAATAACTCTATGTTAGTGTATAGAGTGGTATGTTGCTCGCACCAATCAGATTGCCATATTAGGGTATGTATCTTATGCTAATCAGATTGCGGCATTAGGATATGTATTGCACCAATTAGATTGCTGCATTAGGGTATGTATCTTGCACCAATTACATCGTTGCATTTGAATATCTTGCATCAATCACAGTGTTTGAGTGTTGTTTTCATGTAAATGATGTCATGGATCACAGGGCTATGCACAAAGAACGACATTAAACTAGAAATACTGGGCTCATTTGGTAAGTGCGATGGTTTGTGGCCTTTGCAAAAGCCTTGTCAATTAAGGTCAAGATTTATCAGGATATGAAAGGTATGCATTTCAAAGTAAAATTACGTGGAATCATATTTTTGACATAACTAACTGTAGACAAATAATTTTGATTTTCTCTCTGTTGGAGGAACAGCAGTAAGCGTAGTCTCTTTTGCAACCGTTATTTGGTCTTGTCACATGAAAAGCTCTCTCTCAAATGAGAAATAGAGGGCATTGTGTGACAAGACCAAACAACAGCTGTGAAGGAGACAACTGTAAGTGCGGCATGGATTTCATTTTAACTTGGAAGTATTTAGAAAATAAAGATAATAGATCACATAATATCTGTGTGAGTTCAGATAAATTAGGGTTTTTCTGTCTTTCTGCAATATTTTAGTTTTTGAAAGCCATGCTCTTTTTCAGTGACAAAAATGAAACCATTTAGTACACAAACTGTCCCATCTCAAACCACCCAGCCAAAAAAACAACTCTTGCCTATGTTTTATATTTGTGAAGCCAAAAAGCAGGGTCCCAATGATCATGGAAGGGGTCAAAATATGGTGAGAACAAAAAAGTGGCACACGAGGTGCAGAAGCGGAGCTTGTCACTGATGTTCCTTCCATCATTTGATGTTTACTGTGTTCTTCTGCTGAACAGATCCACAAATACATAGAATCTATTTGTTTATTTATAACAATGAAAAATTTTGTTAATAATGTCATCTTCTATGCATCTGTACTCCGAAATATTGAAGTAAGAGGCAGTCAAAAAGCATGTATCATTTAGCTTCTTGCATCAACAGTGTTGAACAGCGTGTAAGATTCATTACCAATCCATCAAACACACCATTGATTGGGTTCTCAGCCCTACCGGCACCAAAATGTAACTGGTACTGCAGATTTATTTGGAAGCTGATGTGTATGATTTCACTGTGACAGTTCTGATCTGACTTATTCTTGCTTTTGTTTGGCTCTTTTCCTTCCATTGCCTGTGAATGACTGGTGGCCACAAAGTTAACATTCTTGACCACTACAGCATCAGTCTGGCATTTCAATGGATACAACTGGTACTACACATTTAACTGAGTACTCATGAACCACTGGTTTCCGCTGTGGTTCAATAGAAGTCTCTTCCCTAGGTGCTCTTGAGAAAACACTTTCAGAAAATTTGCAAGAAATGTTCCCATACTCCTGTAGAAAGGGACAAGTCCCAAGGAGAAACTCACAAAAGTCCTTTCGCATTCCAAACCACCCTACAAAAATGAAAAAAAATGATAATTCTTAAACAAACTTCTGACTTATGTGTGAATTTAAAATACATTTCTCTGTGTCACTGTCCCTAGAATCAAAGTAAAATTTTTGTCTCCAACATAGTTGAAAGTCTCAAGAAAAGAGAGATGATTACCTTCTTGACTATCCTTGCTTATCTGACTGACAGGTATTTAAACTAATTTATTTCACCCTTGAGCTCCCATGAAAGACCAAGACAGAATCTCTCCTCACAATATCAAAACAATATCAAGCAGAAAAGTGATGGGAATAAAGAAAAATATCAAATAGGGGATTATTAGTTGATCCACCACCAAATTCTCCTAACTAAAAAGCATAAGAATGTATGGTAGAAAGAAAGGAGAATTATTATGAGATCTTGGGAGTGAAAGGGTTATCAAATGCCAAACCTGGGAGCAAAAGAGTCAAAGGAAAACCACAATGATGAGACCCCAAAACCATTCACTCAGAGATTTCCCCTGAGTCTTTTGATTAGTTGAACCAACTTACAGTGGTTGCCTCCTTTGTGATAAAAGGAAGTGGCCAGTAGACTCAGAAGAGAGATTTGAAGGGGAGCGACAACTCCAACAAACATGTCTTGTGTAATGCCATCAAGTCTGTTACAGAGGATGATCTGAAGCAAAATTACAAAATCCACATCTAACTCTATTTACAAACAATATTTTCATAAAACCATTTTCTGAGATTCTCAACTGCATTAAAAATTGGATTTCTTGAGAGAAATATAGAGAAAATGGAAACTATTTACAGAGACATGTAAAAGTTTGTTTCCCTTTGGAAACGGAAGAACCTGTATGTGACAAGTTTAGAAATGGCCTTTTTTGGTCTCCATAATGAATGGTCTAATTCTTACATACCAGCTGCCACCCTCATCCCCTTAACCCTCTAACCCCAAAGAGTGACTAACATCTAATATCCCCTCACAATATCACCCCTGAATCATGCAGTAAAGTCATGAGAATAAAGAAAAATTATCAGCAGCAAAAGAAGTTGCTGATTGTCACACAAATTCTCCTTGTCAGTACCTTAGGGAATGTATGGGGAACAGTATGGAGAAAACCTTTACTGATAACAGTGTATAAAGGGTTAAGGCAAATCCTCCTTACTCAAGTTGCGAGTTAGATGACTGCCCTGTAAAACAACATACCTGAAATGTTAGAAGTGGAATGACAAGGAGAACAGAAGCTACAGCCACCATGACATGGCCTCGACGCTGTGCTGGAAGAACTTCTGCTGTCCTGACAAATATTATAGACCATATAACATAATACAACACTAGAAGACAAAGTAAGGACAGTACTATCCACATAGGAACAAACACAACCTGCAAAACAAATTAAAACAGGAATCCCCTTAGCATACTTAATGTCACTCTTGGCAATTCCTTAACCTTTTCAACCTTAAAGAGTGACCAGCTTCTAATTTCTCCTTACAATTTCACTCCTGAATCACACATTAAGATATAAGAATAAAGGAAATGATCACCAACAAGAAAATCTCTTGATTGCAAAACAAATTCTTTATACCAGGTTATGTTTAGAAAATTTGAGAATCTTTGGTTTCTTTTCTTGTTAATGATGTGTTGCTAGAAGTTAAGAACATTGCAAAAGTTGGTTCACAGCAGAAATCTTAGTCCTCTCAAACTGCAAAAAGAATTTTTCCCTGAAAATACAAAAGAAAATTGCCAATCTGTTGACAAAAACTCTGACTCTTGAAATTTCCATACCACTTAGAAGTCAATTCACACTCACCACCCATGACCATAGGATAACTCTGTCCAGGCGTAGGGAAAGGAAGATAAACTGCAGAACATTTACTGAGAACACTGTTTCAAGCTGCATAAAAGAAGGGAAAAGAAAATCACTCAGTTCAAGCCACACCAGAACCAACAGAACCAAAAACAACAGATTATCAGTCCTAGTAAGTTAAAAAAAAAAAAATCAAGGTGCTGTGTCAGTGGGGGTATCCCAAGATAACTTGGTTAATTATCAACAGAGTTGATGATGTTAACCCTTTAACTCCCATGAGTGACCAAGACAGAATTTCTCTTTACAATATAAATACAATGGCAAGCAGACAAGTGATGAGAATAAAGAAAAAAATCTTAATTTGGGGATTATTAGTTGATCCAATACCAAATTCTCCAAACTAACATCACAAGAACTATATTGCAGACAGTAAGGAGAATTACTCATGAGATCTTGGGAGTTAAAGGGTTAATTGCCCACTGTAAAGAGTTTCTAAAGCTGACATTTTGAACTTTAGACCTTACCTTTGAGAACAGATAAAGTTTGATAAAAAGCTGTCACCAATATGAGAAGGTGAAATTTAGAACATTGGCCTTTCCCTGGAACAAATTACTCTGATGAAAGTTGATGCTCAAAATGTCACCTTTTACAACAGGTATTAACCCCCCAATAAATCTTTATTGCTTTCAAAAAGAAAGAAGCTGTTTGTGAGTAACTCATCTCATCTGTGATTGATTAGTATTGAGGTATTAAAACCACACACAAAGTGTCTCTTGACCATTAATGGACACCACTCTTGATAATTGGCTTATCTTATGATTACAAACCTCTACTGATCTGTCATGTCTGAATCCCCAGATACAAGCGATGATTGACAATGATGATAGCACGTACAAAGGCATAAACATGAGTCTCCACGGAAACATTTGACCACCACCAAGATTAATGCATACAAATATCTCAAACATCAGCAAGAGAAGATGCAGAGCAAGACAGATAATCATTGCCTTGAAATCCACATGACTATCTCCTTCACCTCTGCGAAGATGGAAAGGAGATTAATGTTATGATATTCAGCTGAAAGCAATTCTTGTTGGCTTAACACTTCAAACCCTTAGAGTGACCAGCATCTAATTTCTCCTTTCAGTAATTCTGCTAAATCAGTCAGCAAGATCACGAGAATGAATGAAATGATAGCAAACCTAAGAAGCGTTGATTTTTAACTCTTTTAAGTCCCATGAGTAACCAAAACTTATTTAAATTTATTACCTGTACTCCGGATGTCGAATCCAAATGTAAATTCCAGTGAAAGCACCTGATAAAACCATGATTTTCCAAATCCAAACAGGAGTGAAAACCGCCCAGTAACTCCACGTGATAGTTCCATCCAAACGCAACGCGAGCAAGATCGAAAAGATGAAGAGTGTAAAGAACAGTAGAAATTTACTGGAAGAAAAAAATGAGAGGAAAATTGATCACGAATGTTTGATATCCATCACACATTTCTCTTACACACGAAGGGCTTTTTATTCATAATTACCTTGGATTAAAATCTTGGAAAAGACGACGAAGATTCATGTCCTAACTCAAACTATTCGTAAAGATTACGATGAATGGACATGCATAGGCACGCGATCAATGAACCGTGTTCAAAAAAATACGAAATTATTTTATTAAAAACATGGCGAGGATGCTTAGCGGTTCCTCTTTCCCAAGAGGTCTTGAGGTCTTGGTAACTAGCACCCAGCTTTCTAAGCAGAGCAATGAGAACGGACACAAGGAAATAAGGGCGGCTACGAACACGAGGACGTGACAGAACAAAAGATCTGGTGAGCTGGACAAAAGCTAAGCACGAGTTTGTGCATTTGTTAGCCGTGCTCTGCAAAACAACAAGGTGAAATCGCAAAATTTGCGTGGTCTGCGATGAGAAACCCCGACGGAAAACTCTTTAATTTTCCATTTGGAACTCCCTTAGGTTATGCTAAAGTTGAGGTGCGGCACTGTTAGAGACGATAAACACTTCAAGCCATTTGCGAAATTACAACCAAAAGCATAAATTTATTTTTCAATCAAATTCTACTTTGGCGTTGCCGTCCTGACTGCTAAAGTTTCTTTTGATGATGATGACGACGATTTTAGGCTGATCTGGTTCGATTTTAGACGTTTTCGTCCATTTTCGAACGGTTTCGATACACGACGACTTTAGGCTATTGTGACCGATTTGAAATGGTTTCGTCTTTTCAGTTGATTTTTCCTGTCTGATTTCTAGACGATTGGATCTACGAATGCGACCGTTCTTAGACTTTTCCGTCCTTTCTTAAAGACCTTTTAAAGGGCACCGTTTTCAACTGGTTTTCCTGATTTCGGATGGTTTCATCCGCCTTACGTCGATGCGTCTAATTTTGGATCGATCCGTCCGATCACAGACGGTTATGTCCGATATTGGACGGATCCATCCGATTTTAGACGATTCCGTCTGATTTCGAACATTCCAACCCATTTCAGACGGCAGAGTGTGACTTTGGAGGAATTCGCGCAAAATTGGAAAAAAAAACCATGCACTTGATAATAATGTAATCTTTTATTCACAACATCCTTTTTACAACGCGAATCAAATCACGAGAATTAACTTTTTAATAACTGAGTTATTTAGTAAAGAAATACACTAGCTATGTTCTATGAAAATTCTGCAGGTTTCAATTTTTGCGGATAGTCCGCGCAGAAAGAAACCTTCGCAAATTTTTCAGTATACACAATACACTGTACTGCAAGAGAACTCCTTTCTCCCTTGTATCTTTTGTCCACTGTTTTAAGTCTCTCTTTATCAGGTATAACTATGTTAGAAAGAGAGCAAACCAATGGCAAACTCCTTATTTCAAAGTTATATAACCTAGCCAATCTTTTCTAGCTATTGATAACAGTGACTGCTTTTTCCCAACAAAAATCTTTGTGGACGGGGTATATTTGTCTGCTAGATTGTTTGATTTTTATCCTGCTAAAATGTACGAAACATGAAAAGATCAAGTGAATGCCGCACGCCTCCTCTTAGGTTTGTTGGCAGAAAGAATGCTGCAATTGTGCGTAAGTACATCAGAGTATGCCTTATGAAAAAGGTTAAATTCATGATAACACTTTTTTACCCTGCCAAAGTTAATTTATACACAAATATACGCCAGTAGTAATACCCAGTTTAAATTTGTAGCAAAACTATCAATAAATCGCTTCTGCTCATGACATGCCAGCCTTCTGAATCATTCATTCCTTGTTGCTTCAAGTTGGGGCCAGAAACACCAATAAGTGGATGTGTATATGGGCCTATGATAAACCCTATTGAACAATAAATTATAATCTCCCAACGATGGTGCTCCAGTCGTTTGGTTGCAATTCACCATCCTTTGTTCCAGCTACTGATGCAGAACAACTCAAAAAATTTGATCATGGCCTAGTTCATGGGTTTTTTGCTGCTAAAAAACTGTCAGAAGAGCAAACACACCGTACAGCAGAGCACAAGGATAAGCAACAAGTAGTTGCTGAGCATCCATGGCAAGCACTGTCACAAACAGCTTTGACGCTGACAAACTGCACCAACCTATCGTCGTTGCTGTCAAGAGAGTGCCAAGGATTCCCCTAGGAAAGGACAATTCAAAGGTATTAGACAATTATTGTTTAAATAACTATACGATTGGGGCTAAGTTGGTGCCAATCTTTGCTGGAGTATGCACTGCAGGGATTGGATTGGCATACAATGATTCCTTCCCCCCTCCCCCCCCCCCACAACCCAATTAGCCTCCCCCCCTTCCCAACACATTCCATGACCTGTTTAAGGTTTTAGTAAATGCCACTGTGATATACTGGGTGTAAGTCTGTGAAAGGTCTCAAGTTTTAGCTTTGATTTGTATTTGTGCTCTAACAACTGTGGCAAACATAATGTACATTTTGTTCACACTGGTCCAGCAAAAAGAAAAAAAGAAATATTATCATATGTAAAACCAAAAGCAAAACAGATAATTTTTAACAGCTCAGCTCTATCTACATCAATTAACACAACATTAAATTAAAAAGTCATGCTACCAGTAGGGCAATTATAATATTGTGTATTGTTTTGAAAGAAACTATCGTTATCACAATTGTCAACTAGCATACTGTATCTTAAAGAAAAGTATAACATTCAAGAAACACTTACTGTAATGAGAGAAGAATTGAGATACAGGACAAAATGACCATAGGTAGAAGGCAATATCCAAGAACACTAATAACACAGCCAAAATCAACTCCAGTCATGCTCATCAGATTCAGAATGGCGTACATAGCAAGGCAGCCAAGCAGACCAACTCCATATATGTAGCCAAACCCATGTACTTTGCCAGACTGAAAGAGATGCAAGAGATTAATTTTTACCTGAAAGATCCTCTTAATATATGTTTGGAAACATAATATTCAGTCTAGAATAATTTTCAATTATGTGTCACTGGTGTCCATGTGTCACGAAAATCCAAGATGATCAAGGTTCTCACTGTTTCCTGACAGCTCAGGGTTTTCACACTAAGGAAAACCTGACATTGTAGACATCAGTCCAATTGTCTGGGATGGTCAGCTACAAATCAAGAAAATTAGAAGTGATTCTAATTCCCCCACTCATCCCAGATTTCTGTGATGATTGGCATCTATTTAAGATAATTGAAAACTTGTATTTTTACTATTGGGGACATCAAAAATAGTTTAGGCTCCCTATCAATCGTCTTACTGGTTCCAGTATCCCCAGTCACAAATTAAATGGTGTCTGTAATCCATCAAAACAAATATCTGGTGATCTCCATATATATCAGCAAAATCTGGGATGGTCAGGGAACGGTAAAATCTCTGTTAGTCTGAGTTTTTTCTTAGACATTCATTTTCAAATGAGAGTCAAAAGTAATTCAGAACTGCACTGGTTTTACTTCCTTACCTTCCTTGATCAGTGTAAAAATCTTGCTTCATTCTCTCAACCAATCGGATGCATGCATGAAACGAGTTTGAAAGGTAGCAAATCAAAATCAGTGCAGTCCTGGATTACCTTCTACACTTAACCCTTTACACTCTAACATCAGTATCCATATTCTCCTTACTGTTCTTTATACACTTCCTGAGGTGCTGACAAGGAGAATCTGTTTACTGATCAAAAGCTTCTTTCATTGGTGATCATTTCCTTTATTCTCATGACCTTAATGTGTGACTCAGGGGTATTGTTGTAGGGAGAAGATAGAAATTAGTCATTCTTAGGGTTTAAAGAGTTAACAGAAAATTGTTCTCTGAGGATCTCTTAATTTCATCTCTCCACCACAGTGCAAATATATGAATTTTCATATATCTAAAATCTTCATTCACTTGGATGTTTATTTGGACCCAATTCATTGACCAGCTCCCAGTTGGCTTGTTAGCTCAATTGGTAGAGCGCTGCACCGGTATCGTAGAGGTCATGGGTTCTAATCCCATACGGGCCTGAATTTTTTTTAGGTCCTATTTAGAACTACTCGTTTCAGTAGTGTTCTTAGCTGCGAGGATCTCTTAATTTCATCTTGTTGTGCTCTGTTATGCATTAGATCATAAGCAACTATTTTTCCTCACCAATAGAAGACATCCACCAAATGCCAAGCAAAACACCAGTGGACCTGCAAGATCTGTATCATCCATGATGTTGGCTTCTGTGTGTTGCAATGGGTTTAAAACAGATAGGGTCTGTAAAATTGAAAATGAGGGCAAAGTGAGATTTAATGGCTATTAAAAATTCAACTACTCAAAAAGAACTATTAATAACCTTGGCACAAATTTTCATAATCTCACATGACTAGTAAAAGAATAATTACATATTTTTTTTCTAAATTTACATGCAATTTTTTTTTTAGAAAGTTTGATTTTTATTCTGCTTTGTCCTGTATTCAATGCCTTAATAGGAGATAATAAAAGTCAAATAAATATAACACTGAGAAAGATGGCCATCTTTGGTCTCATCAGGAGTGGGACAAAGGATAAAGTTTTGATTCCCAGGCCTCCAGATTCTGTGCTCCGATGTTCTATCAATGAGTCAAAGAGACTGTGGAGTGAACTATGCCATAACAAAACTTTTGTGGTAAACTTGAAACTGAGATGTTCAGTTACCTTATAAACAAGAACTTTAATTTGCAAGTAAAAGAACATCATCTGACACCTCAGCAGCATACTGTACATTATGGATCTCACAAAAAATAACTGCCATTTGATTTATTGAAAGCATTATTATGGCAATATCCTCATTTTTGCACCTGCTCCAAAAGGAATTAAATTTAGACCCAAATTTGTTAGACCCATGCATTATGTACAAGAACAAGGCAGGTACATGTACACACATGACAAAGCAATACCTTGACAACATGCAATCTGCATTATTGTAAGATACCAGCCTTAAGTCATTGTTGTTTTATAAAAATCAAACACAGCAGTTTATCTTCACTGACAATAAGCAAACAACTAACCTTTAGCCAGATATGTTCAAAATTGATTCCGAGTTCTGTTGAATGAAAGGGGCTTTTATTAAGATTCAAAACATGTAAAGTGCTTCCAGTCAGATTTATATGTCGGATGTTTGCGTGTTCCTGTTTTAAATAATTATTTCTTTGATTTCGTTTTCTTAAAAGATGTGGCTTACGTTACTGATTCAGCCAACACGAGAGCTCATTAAAATTACTTGTAATTCAAAAGACAATCTGTCACGTTCTGCAACCAAACTAAAAGCCTTGGCCAGAAATAAAAAATAAATTCACTGAATGCCGTTTAAAACAGAACGTATCGTCCAAAATTCAGCAAAAATACCGAGAGCAGTACTCTTATTTCAACTTTTTCCATAGTAACGAAATGAATTTTAAAGATGCTGGATTACATCGTCACATGTGCCACGTATTTGTACCTTCCAGAAGTGGAGGTTCGTCTTCAAAACTCGTGTAGTCTTCGCTTGTCTGTCGCGGTTTCATCGATCCTTCCATTCCGTAGCCTCCCCTTCCACTTGAACTCATAGTCGTGGGCCCCGAAGCTCCGTAATCGTAAGAATAGTTCCCTCCATAGTCATACGACGACGAGTCGTAAAACCCTTGGGTATGCGATGCAGAAGGATAGGAATTGAAGGTCGGTACCTGTTGGGCTGTTTGTCCATAATCTGGATACTGTTGACCGTAGCTGTATCCGCCATAGGGCTGCTCTTTCTGGTCAACATAGCTGTAGCTACTCTCGTAAAAATCCTGATCAATAGCAACGCTACTATCCGTGTTGAAATTCGACATTTTTACGCGATAGGACGTTGTTGTTGTCTGGAGCTGAGGAACCACGTTTCGCTTTCGTCGGAGAAAGGCCTGGTTACATGCCTGGAGAAAACAAGTACAAGTTCGTTTCGTGCCACCTTGTAGTTGATTTTATCCCTCTTGCCGATTTTCACATCTGAGATGAGTAGTTAACAGACAGAACATGGATCGAAATCATCAATCTTATGATTTACCTGCGAGTTCGTTGGGCACCGACAGACTTGAAAACGTTTTGGGAAGTTTCGACGATGAAGAGTCTCCCATCGTCGAAGGTAGCAACTTGCGCTTTTCTCGAAATGCTCAGAACGATTGTTTCCTCGAAGAACCCGAGGCGGCTGCTCTGGCGCAATACGACGATTTTAATACTATTGATTGGGTGCGTGATCGACAGAGGGAACGCAAACGATTTCGCGAAATGCGTAGGATGAAAAGAGGAAGTTTGTGGGAGCGAATCGTACAAGCGAATGACGCATGGGCTGGCTGGCTCGTAGTTTTTCTTGTCGGTTTATCGGCTGGTATGTGTGCAGGAATCATAGACATTGGGGCTACCTGGATGACAGATTTAAAGCTTGGGTTTTGCCCCGATAATCTCTGGTTCAATCAAGAGTCTTGTTGTTGGTCAGACAGCACTAGTTTTGAAGGAACGGGATGTAGTCAATGGAAGTCGTGGTCGAACTTGCTAACCGACTCTGAGAGGGGACCCTTAGCTTATATTGTGAACTATATTTTCTATATCGTTATGTCTCTATTATTTGGTCTTCTCGCTGTTACTCTAGTTCGTTGGTTTGCGCCGTATGCTTGTGGAAGTGGAATCCCCGAGGTTAGATTTTAAGAATTTTTTTTTCACAAAATAATCAAAATGATAGTGATTGTTACTAAAAATATTACGTCACCAACCAAGAAAAGTAACGTTACTGGACTATCACGCGGAAATCTCTATTTGGCTCGAGACACGTAACATTTGGAAGATTTTGTTTTCCTCTCCTCTGAAATGAAATTGACTTCCAATACCTAGCATGACGACCCCATAACCAAATTGGAAGGTTTATGCTGTGTGTTACCCCAGGAACACAAGTGTACTTGGGGGGTACATAAATACCTATGAACACAATGCATCAAGGGTGGTGGGGACAAAATTAACTTTTTTGGGGGGTAGATGATCATGTTGTACCAATTAAATCAATCAGAAATCATTTTTGAGTTTGCCTTGCGTCATGTACAGAACAAATATAAAACATATCAAGTAAAAACTAGGGAACGGCTTATACCCCCTTTTTTTAGTTGGGACAAAATTTTTGGGAACAAATTAACTTTTTTTTCAGTAGATTACAATGTAAAAAATTCATTTAAACAGAAAGCAGATTTGAGTTTACTATGCACCTTGTACAGAACAAATGCAAGAGACATAAAATAAAAAAGGGTTGGTGTATCTCTCTCTTTTCAAATGATTCATAATTTCTGATGTGATTGCTTTCAGTTCAGATGATCTTGAAAATTATCCCAAAATAGATTTTTCTGTAATATACTTGTACTATCAATTTTAAGTAATAATCAATTTTTATACTGGAACTTGCACGTTGAAACTGATTTTCCATATGTCAGTATCTTAAATATTTTGCAGCCATTTTACTTTTTAAATTTTAGATTTTGTATTGGTAATAACATGATTTTGAGTGTAATTTGGCATAAATAAGTACAAGTTAATTTCTCAGAGACAGCAAAATAGCACAAGCCTATAGAGGGAGTGTAATTTGTAGTCTTTGAATAGTTTACAAGTGCTTGTTTACTTCTTAATGCATGAGAAATAATGTTATTAATTCTCACTCATGTTACAACTCGGCACTCACGTTCCAACTTTGCACTTGTGTTACCTGAAAAATGCTCTTGTTTTCAACCAATGATATGCACATTATTTTTCCAAGTATGTTATTAACTTATGAAGTGCATTTTGAAACAAAAAGTCCAAAATATTTTGGGTTCACAGTTTGTACTGGAGCTAGTATGGACATGGCTTCAGCAAGAAATGTGAAAACCAAATATTTTTGACTTCTTGTTTCAAATTATGTTTTATGCAAAGAAAATATATACTTTTCTGGGTGACTTTGCAGGAATTGTTGCATTTGGTAACAATTTGGCCACTATGAATTTCCTGTGAATCACTTAATAGTTACCTTTTCAATAATATTTCTATTTTTGGTTGTAGATCAAGACCATTTTAAGTGGTTTTATTATTCGTGGTTACCTTGGTCGCTGGACACTAATCATCAAGTCACTGTCAATGATGCTTGCTGTGGCAGCAGGATTAAGCTTAGGAAAGGAAGGCCCACTTGTCCATGTGGCAAGTTGTTGTGGGAACTTTTTCTCTTATGTGTTTACCAAATATCACAAGAATGAAGCCAAGAAAAGAGAGGTTTGTCTGCTTCTCCTGCTTTTTTGTTTTTGTTGTTGTTATTTTTCTTTTGGAGGTCACAAGTAACTAAAAAAAAAAAACAACAACAACAACAACAACAGCACTAACAGCAACAAAATATCTCTTGTTGCTTACAAAAAGAGTTATTACTGAGAAAATTATTTTTTATTGACATGCACTTATGAAAAGCACAGTTTGATCATTAGTGAAGCCTAGAGGCTAGAGGAATGGTTAGGAACCGTGTGGAACCTTGAGGTTTTTGAGCCAGTGCAAAATGAATTAAGAGGTTACATGTATGATCATTGTAGTGTGAGGTAAAGAAAACTCTGAGTTACCCCTGTGGATTAAATCAGCAGCCAGTCATTATCAAATGGTCAACATTTATACTTTAGTTTAACTGAGCTGCAGAGCATTTTTTTTGCCAAAATTTCTGATTTCAAGGTTCAAGTGTGGCTAGTGTCTTGCAGCTACAGGGAGCAGCAATGTTGAAATGTTTTCATCTGTGGAAATAATTTACATGTAAATAGTGATATTGACAACACTTTCGAATAAGCTCCTTGGTTTTTTTTTATTAGCAGATTTATCTGTTTCTTCTCCTTCGCGTCACAAGGATTTCCCCTTGTCTTATCCCTTAGCTGATTCAGGAAACAAAAGCAAACCAATTTTTTCTTGCAAATCATTAATTTTACATTGTCCTTTTTGTAGTTGCTGTCAGCTGCTGCTGCAGCTGGTGTGTCTGTGGCTTTTGGTGCCCCTATTGGTGGTGTCCTGTTCAGTTTGGAAGAGGTAACAATTCAAGAGCTGAATTTTACTATAATTTATAACTAATATTAGGGGGCACATAAAGATAGACAGCTAGAACACCTTAGTTACAACCAGACCTTACAAATGACAAATCCTCTTAACCAGGTTTTAGATATTGAAATAGAATCTTTGCTTGAGCATGTGTCCCACATTGCCAGAGCTTATCACAGATACACTTTCTTCTGAAAGGCCAGTTGGAGTATTTCCACTCCTCCTGGATGGGCTGCTTGTCTATTGTAAGTCACACCCTCTCCCTTGGGTCAGTATTTTGCCAGGTTTAACTGAGACCTTCCCACTGCTAATTTTTACTCCTGGGCGGAGAGAGGCACTGGAGATAAATAGTCCTGCCTTCAATCACACTACAATCACCTGGTCATGGTTCCAATGGTGACTTCACAACCCAGAGTCCAGCTGGTTAAGCATGAAGTGACTTTGTCTTCCATTGAAGACATTAAAAGGCAGGATAGCTTTTGTAACTTGCAACTCAGAGAACAAATTTCAAGCAAAAATTCACTTTTATTTCTTGCTTTATTGTAGGTCAGTTATTATTTTCCAATGAAGACGTTATGGAGATCTTTCTTCTGTGCCATGATTGCTGCCTTTACACTGAAGTACATGAATCCATTTGGAACTGGTCATTTAGTTATGTTCTATGTGGAATATGACAACCCTTGGAAGTTGTTTGAACTTGTTCCATTCATATTCTTGGGTGCTCTTGGGGTGAGCCTTTAGCCTGTCAAATTTTGTTCAGTTTTTTTGTTATGGTCATGGCCATTCCAGATCAGAGTAAACCCTTTTACTTGGGCATCAAGTGGCAACTAAATAATTTAGCTTCAATCCTTGAGAGCTGGTTTACTTGTAGGATATTGACAAGACTTTAACCCTTTAACTCTCAGAGGTGACCGACTTGTAACTTCTCCCTACAATATACATACAGTATCCAGCAAACAGGTGTTGAAAATACTCAGACTTATCCAGTAGAAGTTTTTATTTTGATCAAACACCAAATTCCTAGAACTAATTTACAAAGAAATTAAATGAGTAGCAGGTAGAGGAAATAATTAATAATTAAATGAGATCTTTTAAAAACAAGGCACTCACAAATCAATGAGGAGTATGTGCCAAGATACTTTGTATTATGTAAGCAACCTTGATTGAAATTTATTATTTATTTACCTTTCATGCTCTAGGGATTGGTAGGTGCTTTCTTTATCAAAGCTAACTTGTGGTATTGTAAAGTCAGAAAAACTTCAAAACTTGGGAAATATCCCATAACAGAAGTAAGTTTTGCATTAATCTCTTTGTTACCTTATTGTGAAAATTGGAATAATTAACAACTACCATCACTGAAGTGAAGGTGGCAAGTGTTGGATATTTTCTGAGCTGCATTGTGGCTTGGTAAATTTCTACTGCTAGCCACCAACACTGAAGTGAAGAGTTGTTTTAGTTTGTACTAAAAAAGTGAGGTTGTATAGCACAAAAAAAAAAGATTTTATTCAATTTACTCCTGTATGCTTTACTTGGAGGTGAAGAGCAAAAGATTTTGGGAGTTTGAGTAGCCCATCAGAGTGCATCTTCAATACTATCCACTGTTTTAGTATATATTAAGCAAGAGTATCATATTCCAAACTTGTACAATTTGTTCAAATCTTAAAAAATCTTAAAAGTTTTCACCAGTCTGATTTTTCTTGTGGATTTGTTTGTCTTGCATTTGTTAACAACAGTCTGATATGTTTCTTAAAACAAAACTGATTTTAATTCAAAGAGACCAGCCATATTTCCAGATGGTGTCAAAATCTCGTCAGTGGTAAATTCCACATAATTCCTGCACTTTTTGATGAATGGATGTGGAATTTAGAATAGGAGATACATCCAAAAAACTGCTTGTAATGCTGTTGTCAATAAAGTTGGAATCCCTCTGAGAATGGCTTTTATATTTCAAAGGGTTTAAATGTCTCCAGGAGGAGGATTCCAAATTATATTGTTGTCTAGAATTAGTAATCAAATGAAAGAATGATTGACGCCATTATGAGATGAATAGAGAGTTTTGTGCCTAACCTCACAATTGCTTGAGGGGGTAATTATTATAAATAGATTTAGATGTATGCATGACTCAGTTTTGTCATTTTTCTGTTTTCCTTCAGGTTTTACTTGTGACTCTTGTTACTGCAGTGTTAGCTTACCCTAATCCATATTCCAGGTAAAAGGGATTTTTTTTTTGGTAGAATTTATTTCAAAGTGCCTAAAATAAATCCCTCAAATCTAAACAATTGGCAATTTTTCAAACTAGATTTTCCCTTGAATTAGATATTTATATTAGGTATCAGTTAGACTGAGTCTGTGGAGGGAGGGAAGGGGATGAATAACCCATGATGGACCAGGATCATGTCCAGGGGGAGTAGACAGAATGCTCCAAGTTGTGTTATGTTAACCCTTTAACTCCCATGAGTGATCAAGACAAAATTTCTCCTTACAATATCAATACAATATCAAGGATAGAAGAGATGAGAATATAGTAAAATATCAATTAGCAGATAATTAGTTGATCCAATGCTAAATTCTCTGAACTAACATTATAAGAACTGTATGGCAGACAGTAAGGAGAATCGCTAATGAGATCTTGGGAGTTAAAGGGTTAAAGAATTTCATGTTAAATGAATAAAGGGGGTAAGTTTCTAAAGAAACTCTTAGTGCTGTGTCAGTGGGAGAGTATAAAATGGTAATCGGGTATTATCGACTGAGTTGATAATGTGAATTGGCCACCATTGAGATTTTCAAAGCTGACATTTTGAGTGTTAGCCCTTCGTTAGAGCAAGTGCAAAGACTAGTGAGGATCTTGGTTTTCTCTTCATCATTTACAGTGTGTAAAATTCCCATGATAATGAGTGTAACATCGTTTTGTTTTAACTCTGAGTAAAAAGAATTTATCTTTAGAAGATGATAGGTAACTTGTGAAAATTGCAAATTATTGACCAACATGTTAATATTATTGAAATTTTTTTTCCTCAGGCAAAGTAGTAGTGTTCTCATCAAACATCTGTTCAGTCAGTGTGGTCCAGATGATTCTTCAGATCTATGGTAAAGCTGAACATATTTTTATGTATTTCAAGCAACAGTGTTAGAGCTCATTGTCTACCTTGTTCATTTTAGACATTTTGAATTTTTTGTGCACTCTTCTGCTTTGCTCTTGACAAGAGCTGACTTCTTTGGGGGTCTCTTATACAAGGAATGTAAACTAACAAGGCCACTTCAAACAATAAGTAAATTGGTGTAAAATTTCTGTAGTAAGCAAGTTGGATTTCATTTTTTCCCCCGGATGCTAGGATTTTTTACAAGTCAACCTACATTTGGCAACAAAATTGTTGACACATTGACCTTTTTAATCCCTTACTACTTTGATTTGATCTATTTTGCCCTTGTTAAGTTAACCCTTAAACTCCCAAGATCTGATTGTTAATTCTCCCCTGTAGCTGCTACACAATTTCTTGTAAATTATTTACGAGAACTTGGTGCTAGATCAATATAGCAGTTTCTACCTGATGAGTTTGAATATTCTCATTACCTGTTTGCTGAAGAATGTATGGATATTGTAGGGAGAAGTTTTATGTTAATCACTTCTGGGATTCTGGACAACATTGATGTATCATGATTCCATGAACTTTAAGCTACATACAGGCAACATTGAATGGGGAATTGGGGGAGGTTGTCATGATTTAAAGTGTGGTAGAAACAGGAGTGTTATTCTACGCCTAAATAGGACTCTTCAATTAATTTTGATGCTGATTATAGCCCCTCTTAGGAGGCCTAGATGAGAAAGTGAAGGAATCAGCTTAGAACCCTGACTGCCTCGACTCAAAAACTCCTCAAAACAGAATTTCTAGAAAGACCATTATTATATCCCTAGATTAGATGGAAACAAGGTATCAATTATTTTTTCATGTCCCATCTTGGAAAAGTGGCAATATCTCTACAATGTTTGGCAGTTTGCTGCCCAGTTGGGAACAACTACGAAAGAACTTCTGACCTTTTTCACTCTAATTTCTTATGATCAGTGACTACCTTAATGAAAGTGTTAATGTCACATTGAATGTCAATGATCCCAATTTGCCTGGAGCTGCAGCAGGGTCTGGTGTCCATAAAGCCATTTGGCAGCTGATTTTAGCCATGGTTTTCAAGATTATCATCACAATCTTCACATTTGGGATGAAGGTGAGAGGAGGTCACCAAGAGGTACACTTTGAATGAACAAACTCTTGAAAAAAGAGAAGTTCCAATTAGATGCTGTGATTTGGAGTTGCATTTCAGTATGTAGGGTTTTACATTAGCCTACCTTTTTACTGCTTTCTTTTTGTACTCCTAAATTATAAATTTGGTTCGTCCTGGCAATATTTTTGACCAGTTTCTACTCAAGCCAAATCACATTTTTGTGAATTAAATTCATGCAAAAATCCTCTTATATACATTGTAGAAAGATGTTCCCAATTCATTGTTTTTTCTCACAAGGGGTCTGTTATATCTGATGCTCATTCTTCTTATAGAGCTGGTGACAATTAAGAATAAGGGTTTCTAACAGTGTCATGCTTTTCTACCAATTTACCTGTTGTCTGTTTTACTTTTCTTTGGTATGTTTACACTTCATAAGTAAAAACATAAATTGGGATTAATGATTAATATATATAAAAATGAGTAAATGTATTTTTAGGTTCCAGCTGGATTGTTTATTCCAAGCATGGCAATTGGAGCTTGTATGGGAAGAGTTCTTGGTATTGGAATGGAGCAACTTGCCTTGTGAGTTAATTTTTGTTAATAGATAACTTTGAATTATTGATTGGCCCAAAAAAGTCACACCTTGTGAAGAGCAATATGAGCTTGTTTCATCCTTAAATAAATCTAGATTAAATTTATAAATTGCGAGGTCAAGACTTATTTTCTCAACTCTTCTTGACCAAGACAGCATTTCCCCCCTCAAAATCAATACAATCTCAAGCAGACAAGAGAATAAAGAAAAAAAAAAGGAAATTAGGCAATTATTAGTTGAGAGTTACTAAATAAATTAGGTCTGGGAGTAAAATGGTTATATCAAGTTTTGAGTATTTTTTATAATGAGAGCCCTTATTTTTTCAAGCAACCTTTAAAGTGAAACTACTGACAGTTTCAAAAGATTGTTGTGCCTTTTTCTTTTTCTCTCTTTTGCTAATTTCCCTGTTGGTTAAAACAAGTGTCTTTACAGTGAATGCAACCAGAATTCTGACAAAAAATATGTTGGTATCGCAGAGGTCATGGTTTCAAATCCCATACAGGCCTGAATTTTTTTCAGGCTTGTGAATTTTTTTTGAACTATTGTTCAAGTAGTGTTTATTACTGTGAAGGTTGTTGTCATATTCACAGAATTATGACAGTTTTGTAAGTGGGCTCTTTTCTCTCTTTTATAGCCACAATCCACACTGGTACATATTTAAGTCATCTTGTGGTAAATCGATAGCATCTTGTATAACACCTGGATTGTATGCCATGGTGGGAGCTGCGGCAGTTCTGGGTGGGGTCACAAAGATGACAGGTGCGTCAGCATTCACTTGTGCATCAAAACCTCTGTTTAGTGTTCAGCATTCAGACAAGAAAACATCTCCATTTAACCCTTTAACTCCTAAGAGAGACTAGTGTCAAATTTCTCCTTACAATGTCTCCCCGAATCACACATGAAGGTCATGAGAATAAAGGAAATGATCACCAACAAAACAAGCTCTTGATTGTAGCAGAATTTCTCCTTATCAGCACCTTGGGAAATATATTGAGAACAGCATGGAGAATATACATACTGATGTTAGGGTGTTAAGGGTTGAAAGAGGTGTCCCTTCAAGGAAAGTAGTGATTCATTGAGTATGTAGGAGAATCAACTTGTGCATCTTTTATTCATCTCCTTACAGTTTCCTTAGTGGTCATTATGTTTGAGCTGACAGGAGGACTTGTGTACATTGTACCACTAATGGTGGCCATTATGACCAGTAAATGGGTTGGTGATGCATTTGTGAAGGAAGGAATGTATCCTCATTTTAACCATGGAAATGATTAATTCTTGATAGAGTCTTCAAAACTGAACTGATCTAGAAATATTGAAATGACACAAAATAATTTTGGACTCATTTTATAGCTTACTGGCTGATGTGACTTTGATTGCGTTTAAAGGGTATAAAATTATACTTGCTTTACACAAATTTCACTGTGTTAAAATTTCCTAATATGATCTAATACCTCACTTATGATCAGAATATTTCAAATCGGGTTCTTTTAATGCTAAAATTAATGCAGTTTAGACAAATTTATTCTTACTAATTGTAATACATAATTAATTTATATGTAATATACATTATTTTTCATCCATTTAATATGTCTTTTTGCCATTTCATCATACATTTGAAACTAGATTAGGAAGTGAAAATAATGTCAAATTAATTCTTAGATTGGTCACAATACCATTAGTCTTGAGCTTTATGTCTAATAGGCCATTTTACAGTTGTGTACTTAGTTGCCAAGCCTTTGATTTGGAGTGAGGTTGAAGGTGACCTTGTTGTGATAGAGACCAGTATCTAGCTAGCATAATAACAAGGCAATTTACAGTATGAAAGCAGCAAGGTTTGTGTCATAACAAGGCCACCCTTAGCCTCACTTCTGTTAGAAGGCTTGGCAACCAAGCACACAACTATAAAATAGACTATTGTATACACATGTTGACCTTCAGTGACCCTTGACTTGTTCCAAAGTTACGATGGTCATATTCACCTCAATGGTTACCCATTTCTGGATAGTAAAGAAGAATTCACGCACACAACTCTTGCAGCCGATGTTATGAGGCCCAGGTAATTAACACATAGGTCTACGGCATTAGTAGGCTAAATGTAGTATACACAGCTTTACATTCAGTGATGAAGAATTTGGCATTGATAAACTCATTTCAATAGAGTTGATTAATCTGTCCTTTACTAATGGGTTTTAACACATGTTGAGTATTAAACTCTTGTAAGCACACCCTGTCATTGTCAATACTTCATGATTGTTTCTGCAGGAAAAATGATCCACCATTGTCATGCATTACACAGGACAATTTTACTGTTGGTGATATAGGTAATTTAAAATTCTGCATTTCTGTTGTTGAAGTATTAATTTGCCTTTCTAAATGTACCCTCACCCTGATAATAAATGACATCTTAACCAACACAGTTAACCCTTTACACCCTAACATTATGCATATTCTCCATACTGTTCTCTATACATTTCCAAGGTTCTAATAAGGAGAATTTGTAAAACAATCAAGAGCTTTGTTAATTGCTGATCATTTCCTTTATTCTTGTGACTTAAACATTTGATTCAAGGGATAATTGTATAGAAAAATAATTTTTGTCACTCTTAGAGATTAAAGGGTGAAGTTCTGAATAAAAATTCAAGCTGAGATTTGAAGCTTGATACCTGTCAGTATAATTATTGTTAGTGAACACATAGCTTTGCTGTATTATAAAAATGTTGCTTTTTGTTTTCTTTTTCTCCCAAGAACAACTACTTGAAGACACAGATTTCAAGGGATTTCCTGTTATTGTGGATAGAGAATCACAAAGACTTGCAGGGTTTGTCCTAAGAAGAGATTTGAACATTGCCATTGGTAAGTGTGCATCACAACCTTATTGCAGCTAACCATTTCTGACTTCCATATAGTTGACATGGCAGAATGCATGACAACAGTGAATGCACCTCGTACATACTGCCCAATATCACAGACAAGACACATAAATTGTCTTATTACACTGTTCAATTACAAGCATGATGTGTATATTACACACTGTCCTGTTAGGGCTTAAAACAGGCTTGTGATAACTGATTATGTTCAAGAATTTTGGTTTGTCTGGTCATTCTAATTTTCTAAAGATGGGGTTGTAAGTAAGTTTTTGCCACACTTTAACAGGTCATGCACGGGCTCGTGATGAAGAGGTGGTATCAGCTTCACCAGTCTACTTCTTGCCAAACCCTCCTAGGTACCCCCCTCCTGGCCAGCCTACTGCTTTGAGTCTGCGACATATTGTTGATAAGGTAGGAAAATGAAGATCTTATTATAATATAACACAGTCTTATTACCTCAATGTGCCTGTCAAAGAAAGGTATCAATTTTTATATTCTCTTGTTTGGTGCAATTTAGAGCCCCATACAGATAACTGATGCTATGCCCATGGAAACAGTGGTGGAGATGTTTCGTAGACTGGGGCTGAGGCAAACACTTATTACACATAATGGGTAAGTGATGGTAACACAACATAGCAAACCTAGTCTGGCATGTGAATTAACAGGTAGAAGCTACAGACCAATACAAATTATGACAACACAGGGATCCCAGCCTTTTATCTTGAAGTTAAACTACTAGACAAGTTAACTTCTAGCTACAGAGAAAAGTCACATAATATTTGACTACCTAGGGAAATCAGCCTAGCACATGACCTTAGAGTCTTAGTACACTTCTTAATACAAGTTATAATGACGCAAAACCCCTGTGAGGCTATTTACCAATTGTACCAGTAAATTAACTTATTAAATCAATGAGTTTTATTTCTCATCTTTTATTTTTCCAGTCGTTTATTGGGAATCATTACAAAGAAGGATGTTTTACGTCACATAGCCACGCTTGCAAATCAAGATCCAGATTCTATACTCTTTCATTAAGAGGTGTAAAACCACTAAGTTACTGTTAGTATTGGGTTTATATCTGTTGTGGAATGGTATAAAAAATTACTTAGAAGTTAAGGAAAGATGTTGCTTGTTTTATCATGTGCATAGGACAAAAGAATCTCATTTTGTTCAGCTAATCATTCCACAGAACTCGGGATTGAACATATGGATGTAGTAATGGGCCATCTCGTAACATAGAGCTTTGCAGCTCAGTGATAGCAACTAAGCAGGGAATGTGGTGGTCTTGGAATATAATTCCTGCTTTGGACTCAGATTTTTGTTTGTCCCATTCTTGTGACGAGACAAATAACACCTTTCTTTATTCCACTATTTGAGCTCAAAATAAATCCTCTTTCTTATTCAGTGTAGAAAGAATTAGTTCATCTGCATCTGCATCTACGACTTACAATTCCTTATATTAATATAAAAACTTTCAAGAATTAATTATTGTTAATAGAAGTCGTACATGCTACCAATACCCCTTGCATATTCATTCGCTCTCCTCAAAGAATCAACTGCGATGTTATGTAGTGTTTGTTAAATAGGCAAATTTGCTTAGTTTATTAAATAACCACAAAACATCCCCTAACTTTACGTAACTTACTGCCAATCGTATCTTGTCATTCGTACATCTTTTTTACTTTTGTCCTTGTTTGAGATTAAAAAAAGGAATATACGAGTAGTTTGTTTTCCAGGAAAGCAAGTTTCTTTCTGGTTTCTCTTTTAATCAAAAGAGTACCTCTAAAAATCTATCTGGGTAAAATTGTCTTTAAGAACGAGAAGGGGAAAATTTAAAGCATTGTTTTCATTAATCAAGTAGGATGTATAGAACAATTTTCACTTAAGCATTAAGCTGAGACATCATTCATTTTGCTTTTTCTTGCTCTGACGCAGGGCCAACACTCAAAATGCCAGCTTTAGGTACTCTTAACAATAGCTAAGTTACATAATCAACTCAGTTGATCAAACCAAATTTCCAGTAGTACACCAGGGTAGCACTTTGGTTTCTCCTGGAACTTATCCCCTTTTTCAGCCTACCATGGAGCATTATTTGACTGGACCACTTGATGTGACTTTTATTCTTAGAAATGTTATGTTAAGAAAGACTGTTTTAATCACAGTTTAGGAAGGTTCATGTCAATTTTCAAAGGTGGTGATCATGTAGGAAAATTTTTTCAACATTTTTAGTCAAGTTGGCTGTGGGCAGAGTCTTCATTGATCTCCTAAACTGAGGTGTAAAAAAATTGAAGAATGCAAGGGGAAGTCTAAGAACTAGGACGATTCTAGAAGACTTTGCTTGCCAGGTTACAAGGATGTGAGTGCATCAGTTTGCTTCCAAAGTGTTGCGAGTTGTACTTAATTCAATTAAAAAACATTCATTTGACATAGGATAAAATATCAAATTCTAAGAGTTATAGAAGGACTTATTTTAAAAGAAAAAGTTATACTTGGTACCAAACAAGTCATTTCTCTATCTTCAAGATTACCAAGCTGAAGTTGTATTCCAAGGGAAATGAAGTGGCATGTTACTCTTTAGTAATTGGTACAGGACATCATTGTTAACCTTTTAACTCCCAGATCAAATTCATAATTCTCCTTACTGTCAACAGTAACATTCTTATTTTAGTTCAGAGAATTTAGTATTGGATCAACTAATTATCCCAATTAAGTTTCTTTATTCTCATTGCTTATCTGGTTGATATTGTACTGATATTGTGAGGAGAAATTCTCTCTTGGTCACTTGTGGGAGTTAAAGGGTTAAAGGCTGCAAAATCTAAATCAACACTTCCAATGAAGTAAATTGTATTTTTTTTTCCTGTATGTGAGAATAGTGGTTTGGCAATATTTTTGTAATATTAGGCAAAATTGTAATGAATTGAAGTAAATTTAAGCCTAAATAAAATAAAAATACTTTGTTTTTTACCCTTAAAGAATTTAGTCCCCAGACAAGTTGCTTAATTCTAAACTGGTTAGAATCCAGATAAATGACAAAAAAAAGAAAGTATGTTTCAGAAACTTGTGTAAGAAGCAGTGGAAACAGAACCAAAATTGATGTGGCTTGTTGCCTCCTGTGCATCAACAGAGAAGGGGTCTATGCGCAGGCAGAGCGTTTAACTGGCACTCCTAATATAATGGAAAATTTTTGGAAGGGTACCACAAGAAATAAAAAACTCTCTTCTGGAGCAGGCTTAAATCTTGAATTTGAAATACAGTTTGTAACAAAATTTCAGAAACAGGAGAATTTATGGGTAGTGCTCATTAAGAGAGCTTTGATTGTTACAAGAATGAAAGTGAACACAAAGAAAAGTAAACGACATACGCAACCTCTTAAAATATCACTGTTTATTTTCAATGCACAGTTTATAAAATAACATCCTCATTTTAAACTTAGCCTTGTTTTCACACACTTAGATTGGAATCAAATCATCTGGTACAGATTGAAATACTGTAGGGGATCTCGAGCCCTGCTCCAAGTTTATTTCTTCTTTCAATATTGTGCAGTTAAGTTGGCAAACTGTGTATGTACAAAATTGTTTAGTCAAAAAGATTATTGGTCATTACAACTAGTCAAAAAAGTGGATGTCAAATTATCAGAATTTTCAGTGAATTTACAATTCAAATTTGGACAAGATTTGAAGGAATACACCTTGATTGATTAATCTTTCACAATAAGGAGGGAGAAGACAAATTCACAAGATCAAAATGTAAGACTGTACCAGGTGATTTGACTGTGTTTGACCAGACTACCACCAATCTAACAATCAAGCCAGCTCTAAAACCAAACCAACATGGTAAACCATTTCGTTGCAAAATTTTCATCTTAGCAGACTTCAACTTTATTGAAGGGTTTGAGAATCTCAATTTCCTGCAGTGTTCTACTCATACCATGAAGCCTCTCTTGCTTTCACAAGGAAAGTTTCAACCTGAGGAGAGAAATCCAAATCATACAAAATGTTATTGGTCTTCTCATCATTGCACCTACCAGGAGATTTCATCTAAGTGGTAAAATTTACAAAATCTGCTTTTTGAGGCTTTTTGGGAAGTTACAAATATTTTATTCTTAATTTTATGGAGCCAAACACGAGCCATTGTCACCAATCAAAGTCCTTTTTGCAACAATCCTTAATCTGGATAATCATGATACAGAATCAATCTCGAGCACACTTCCAGAGTTGTCATTAGAGGCTGGTGCATTATGGAAACCCAGACAGACCATTTTATGCTGGCTACTTTGTGAATTGTGATCAAATACAACCAACTGATTCTAAAATCATTTTTTGGTTAAAAAAAAGTGACTCAAAATATGTCCCACAATGCTGGATATCATTTTCAGAGAGTTTTAAATTTCAACAAGAGAGCTTGCCTCTGGACCCCCCTAAAAGGGAGTATTGCTTTGCAATTCAGTATGCTGCTTATTAAAAAAAAAAAAAAAGAGAAACCTTCTCTCTGAGCTCTTCAGGAGGTTCAACATTCATCTCTTCCATTAGTCTCCAAAATGTTGTCACACCATCTCTGTCATTGTACTTGATAAGCAGATCAATCGACTCCTCGAAAATATCTAGATCAAACTTTGCATCTGGCTTGTCAAAGTATCTATCCATTAACTATATATAATGCAAAAAAAATTTATCGAAAATCATACATAACACAATGGTGAGCAGAAGTTAATTTAAAACAGTGAAATAACTGTGAACTCACAAATCAATAAAGCCAAGCTTTTTCCCCTGACATTGACAAAGCAGATTATCAAAGCAAAGTAGAACTACCTTTTCAACCATTTTTTCCCGATCATTGTACTCTTGTTCAGACATAAGCTGGAAATAACAAATTTGAATTCAGTTATTTGGAGCTAAAGACCTTTGTTTAAATTAAATAATTTAAACAACCCTCAGTTGTCCCCTAAGGCAGTTTTTTTTTCAAGTGATATAATATGTACTTCTTGACAGAGTGGAAGTTTCAGAGAGGAAAACGAGTTACTTATGGTCAAGATGTCCCAATAGTGTAGATAAGCACATTATCATACGGCCACCACTATCTCTGTTTATCTTTCGCTAGGTATCAAGGGGCTGTAAGCTGGGCCCTTTAGCTCTACCTGTTTCTAATTGCACCATTGCATGCAGCCTTCGTGCAAGAATTTGTTTTGAAATTATTTTTCTAATAAACAGCATGTTGGGTCGTAAAAGCTTACGAATATCAATTAAATGACTGGTTTCTTAATATGTTACACAGCATGCACTTCAAAATTTGTTATAGTTTCAGAGGCTACAACTTTTTCATCACACGAAATACTGGAAATAATTCCGATCTTTTGAGGGAAAAATCCTCAAGGTTAAATTACACTTAAAAAAGAGCTACATCAAAAGATCAAATACTAACGCTTCTCTCGATTTCGTCAACGTCGTGAAAATATCTCCATAGCCAACTTTTGTTTTTTGCCTCTTCTAACCACTTCTGTAATTCTTCGTCAGCTACAGGCGAGCCATGTTCTCCATGACCCGTAAACGTTGCACCAAATCGTCTGAAGTAATGTTGTTGAGGAACACACACCGGTCTGAGATTTGCTTTAAGACTAGATGAAAATCGCCGGGCGACTGGACCAACGAACAAAATCAAACAAAAATAAGTGTAATTCATGCCAAATTTGGCAAAATACTAGAACAGAAATACTGCTTAAATATTAAACTTACCAAAGCTAGGTGGTTTTGCTATCTTTCTCGAAACTGGGACCAAAAATAGTCTACAACAAGTTGGTGATACTCTCCCCACCACGTTCGCCGCCATGTTTTTAAGCAATATCGCGCATTTCAGAGTGCATTTTGGGACTTTAGGCCTGGTTACAAAATATTTTAGTTTATATAAAGTACTAAATTTAAACTAAGGCGAATCACTTATGAATCATACTTCGGTCCCTAATAATTAGTTAATGAACATGGAATTTCCCGAATTAGGAGCAAACTGCACCCTGAATACCTGTAAACAGTTAGGTGAGTTTTGTCTGAAGTCTTTGAGAGATATTTTTTTTTCGTTGATTACTGTGGTATTTAACTCCACCGAGAAAAGGTTTGTCAATATGAAATGACTTCGCAGAAATTTTCGTTATTTAACTTCCTTTATTTTCACCAAATGCCTCCGACCTAAGACATAAACTTCGTGAGGAAAAAGCTTTTTCCTTTCCAAATGGAGAAAACTTAAGTGATGATTTTCCTAAAATTGACTTTCTGTAGATTTCCTTCCCATGAAATGTGATGCTTGTTCCAAGTTGTTTTGGTAAGACTATTCAACGATTATTTTTATTTACTGACGTTCCATCACTTTCTAAAGCACTAGTAAGTGACAAAAATAATTTATTTGTTTCCTGGTTTATAGTAAGGATCATATCAAGTATACAGAACACAGTTGTGAAAATGCCTACAAAAAGGTAAATGCAACAGTATAACCTATTCCTTACATTATTTATTTCTTTGTGTACTCTCTTACACTTTTCTTTACTTTTATTTTTCATTTTCTTTACCTTTTTCAGTAAGAATTGATCAGTTGAAAATAGAAAATCTATCACAAAATAGTGTAAGGAGAGTCAATATGTTTTTAATGACATGGATCTCCCCTCCCCTCCCCTCCCCTCCCCTCCCCTCCCTTCCCCTCTACATCTGCCAGTGAGGTGTGACCTGTGATTGATACTGGTCAGGCTACTAACTCGTCAACTTGCCAAAAACCAACTCACTGATGTCTTCACTCAATTTGCCACCACTAGGGTTAACTTGCCAAACTCCTGGAAACTTCCCTATGACAAGTGGGATAATCTAAATAAGTAGTCTAAGAGTTGACGGAGGAGTTTCGGCAAATTGGCAAGGTGTTCTTTGATGAAATGAAAGGTAACCCCCATTGTGGTTAAACTAGCTATCAAGAGAGTCTCATTAATTGTTTTGTGCTGCTAAAGGTAAAGGATAAATGTGGACTTGTTTCTTAATTTTTGTCTTCATTAGGACTTTCAAGTTCCAGTTTGTCCATTATGTAACAAAGCAGTACCAGTCCCTAGAGGGGAACAACCTGACATAAAGGTGATGCAGTTGTATTTTTTTTTTCCCAAATTTGATTTCCTTTCAAATGATAGATTTAAATTTAATCATGATTATCTATAGGAAAACTATGCTGCATCTTTTTTTGGATGTTTAGAGGAAAACTTGGATTTTAACAATTTGATTCATTTTTGTGAAATATTTTATTCCATAGGTTGGAGAACATATTGACAGAGATTGTCAGTCTGACCCAGCAGTGGCTAAAAGAAAGGTTATTTAAAATTGTTGTTCTTTTTTTATTAGACACATCACTGAATTTCATAAACTTTGTTGCGTTTACTAGAGATATGGCCTTTTCTCACTCACACTATTAGTGCACTTGGTATCACTTTGTTCACTTGATTAATTTTGAATCTCTCTCTAATATCTGTCTTACAGTTTGTTATCAAGGGAATTCTTTACTTTATACTTAACTCTGAACTCTTATAAGTGGCCAAGACAGAATTTTTCCTCACAACATCAAGACCATATCAAGCAGACAGTTAAAGTGGAGAAAGAAAATTATCAATTAGGAGATTATCAATTGATCCCATATCAAATTCTCCAAACTTACATGCTAATAAGAATTTGTGTAGCAGATAGCAGGGAGAATTACAAATGAGATCTTGGGAGTGAAAGGGTTTTAAAAGTAAGTGACAATGTCATTGGCTGTTGCTGAGCAGGGATTGAAAAAAAGTTCACTCAATGTCACTGCAATTATCAATCTGTGTCACAGACTGTAAGCTGATCTTCGCAAGAAAAATTCAGGTCAGCCAAGTAATCATGCAGTCTCTAACATGAAAAGAAAATGTACGGTACCACATTTTGAATATAGGATTTTGAATTTCCCTTTTTTGTATCACCATAGGCATACCAGAATAGGTGTTCTCTCAAAGGATGTAAACAAAAAGAGGTCTGTTTACAAACAATTGTAATGTACACTATAATTATACCAATAGATATTTATACATATTCACTATTAATTGCATTAATTGGTTTGAACCTGCATTCCTAGACATAATTAGGTTACTAGACACTTTTCCAGAGCAACATCTGTTATGTTCCTTCACCTCTCTGTCCCTTTTAATTTCGTTAAGTCCCAGTCTGTCTATGCCATCTTGAAGACTAACATTAAAAGTGGAAGAGTTTTGTCATTATTAGTCAGTCATGCAAGCTGACAATTCAAGCTAGAGAAGTCCTTAGGAGAAGGGTTGCTTAGGGAGGAAGTTGCCTGCATTGCAAAGTTTAACTTCAGTTGCTGCTAAAGCTCTTCCTTGCATGAAGTGACATTAGGTATCTTTCTAGATGTAATCAATTCTTATAGTAATTGACCACAAGGCTCACAAGACTAATAGCTTATCCTCTTTCCTTTCACTATTTCAGCTTATCCCTGTTAGGTGCGAATCTTGTCGGCAAAACTTTTGTCTGAAACACAGACATGAACAAGATCACAACTGCTCTGGGGTCATAAGGGGTGCATCTAGAAGGTTAGTATATATCTCACAGGAAGCCAGTGTTTATTTCTAGTTCAGCAGATGCCCTAGTTTTGTTCAATTGATTGTCAATCTATCCTGATTTTTTATAACTTAAGTTGTAATTTTAGTCTGCCAATGCTTAGCACACAAGTGATTAAAAGTATTCCTTTTTATTTGTAGTAAAACAAGTGCTTCCTTGAAAGCAGGGTAAGTTTCTTACTTTTGTCTTATATTTCCCTTTAAAAAAATTTGTTCAAAGAATTGGTGATTTACAATAAACCCTTCCACAAATAGTTGTCTTTAAATTGTCCTTAATAATGTAAAATTTGATTCCTCAAGCTATTTGGGTTTTTGTTTAAATTGTTTTTATATTTTGGATTTAAAGAGAAGCTGCAGCCACCAGAGCAAAGAATGTGGCTTCATCATCAAAAGTACACAAGAAACCACAACAAACATCTTTGTCATCAATAGGAAGAGACTTGGACAGGTACACTTGTGGAATGTATTTTTGTGCCTGGTGGTTATGTTCTAATTAATATTTTTTGCCTGACCATTTAGAAATAACAGAAGCCAACAAAAGGTGGTTACTTAAAATATTTGGCCCATTAGTGGCAGCCAGATGTGTATCAATGGAGTAGGTAGCTTGGTAGCTTGGTAGTTGTTGAGAAGATCAAATTTTGCTTCTGTTTGTTTTTGTTCTATCTTGTAAAAAGCTCCTGCTAAACATATTTCTAAAATTACCTCTTGCCCAGTTCAGAAAAATCTTCAAGTTATTTAAAAAACTGCCCATCCAGCTGGAGAAAACAAAAAAAATGAAAAAAAAACCTCTAATTTGGTTTGTACTTGTTTTCTGATTGGAAACAGGCAATGGTTAACTGAAAAAAAAACTGACCAATCATAATGTACTGTGTATTTTATCCAACTATTATCCAATTAGACATCATAATCAAATTTTTATGATAATCAAATATTTTTATTAGTTGTAATGTTCAACAGTAAGGTTGTGCATCATCAGAGAACTTGTTATTTAGAGCCTCATAATCTCTTGCAAGTGTTGCATTCCCAGGATTCTAAAATTATTGTGTGACATACTTCTGTGTGATTTACAGGTCCAGACGAGAAAGACAAATGACTGCTCCAAATCCTCAACCAATTCCACAACCAGCATTGGTAAATACTTTCCTCTACTACTGTTTCAGAGTCAAATTTGTTCTGACAGTCATAATGTCAGCAGCTTATTGTCAGAAGCTGATGTCATAGGCCTCTATAATTATTATTATGATAATTATACATTAGGTTATGAGCTCAAGATTTTGATTGATTACTTGATTGTTAGTGAGGGGGAAGTCCTCTTCTTCAATTACCAACTGATATCAATTAAAAAAAATAACAAATTTATTGAATCTAATTTGTTTTGGATGAGTATTGAAAAGTTCAGTCACTCAAAACTTAACAACAATACAGTGCCACTCACTTTATTTGTCATCTTCAATTGGGATCAGCTGAATTAACCCTTAACCATTTACCCCTAAGAGTGATGGCATCTAATTTCTCCTTACAATATCACCACTGAATCACACATTAATGTCATGAGAATAAAGGAACTGATCATGAACTAAAGAAACTCCTGCTTGTTAGACAAATTCTCCTTTTCAGCACCTTAGTAAATGTACAGAGACCAGTGTGGAGAATATGAATACTGATGTTAGGGTGTAAAGGGTTAAACACACATTTTGATTGGTTCTTACTCATGATCTGTTAAAGAACAGACCAGTAGATGACAAAACAACCAAGAAAATGTTTTTTCTTTATTATATAAGACAACAAATAGTTTCCATGTTGCTGCAAGTTTGTTCAGATCACAGATGACATCAAAGTGTGGTAAGAACATCAGCAACACACTTGGCTTTGCTTTACTTGCCACTTTTTTGTTCTTTCATCATTTTGACATCATCTGTAATCTATTACAGTACAGATACATGGCAATATGGACAGGCAATCAAATTGCAACATAGAACACTAGTCTTGTAGATAATTTTTTAAATATCTATGTTTTATTGTTCATAGAGTGAGGATGAGGCCTTAGCCTTAGCTATACAAGCTTCTCTACAAGATCAGTCAAAGACAAAGTCCCCCAGTCCACCACCCACAACACAAGAAGAGGAAGACCGAGCTTTAGCACAAGCCCTGGCAGAATCTGAAAGAGAGGAGCAGAAAAGGAGACGACAACAGGTATATGCATTTTCTTGAGGTCTCCTAGCTAATTACCAAAGCCAATCAGAAGAAATGTTAACATGGCAAAGAAAAAAATGATAGCACCTAATATGTAATAAAATAAATTTCATTTGACCAGTGGATGAAAATCAAGTAAAGCAATGATCCTTGGAGGTGACCTGCAATTCAAGCAAATGGCTACAACCCTTTTAACTCCCATAAGTGACCAGGACAGAATTTCTCCTTACAGTATCAATACAATATCAAATAGATGAGTGATGAGAATAAAGAATAATATCAATTTGGGAATAATTAGTTGATCCAATATTAAATTTTCTCAACTAACATTATAAGAATTGTAAGGTTGGCAGTAAGGAGAATTACAAATTTAATCTGGGAGTTAAAGGGTTAACAGGATTCAAGCCTGTGCTTCCCAGATACTAGTTGGGCATTACTACCAACTGAGCTTTGAAGCCACATGTTGGGAGCAGGGCACATTTTGGAGTGATCTTGGTTCCCTTAGAGGAATCAGATCACTGTTTGTAATGAAATAAATTCCATTTGACCTGCGGATGGCTACGAAGCCACATGTTGAGAGTGGGGAACACTTAAGAGTGTTCTTCTTACCTGTGGGGGAACCTGATCATAATTTGCAATGACTGCTGTTAGGAAATACATGGGAACAACTTCAAGTGTAGGCATATGCTTGAAACATCTGCTTTTTAACATTAGATGTGGCTGTCAAGTAGCTTGATTTACTGTTGATAGCCAAATAATTATTTCATTTTTCAGCATTGTTGTTTTATTTGACTGAATGCAGTTATTTTTGATTTTCAATTCTTTCATGAATATTTGTTTTGACTAATTAATTTCATTTAATTTTAATTTCAGGAGCAACAAAAGAAATCAGATTGCTGTGTCACATGACACTCATCTTACCAAGAAATTCTAAGTTGCAATTTGAAAAGAAATATAATTATTCCAAATTTAATTACAACTACAAGTGACCATAGTTTCCACTTGATGTAAATGTACCAGAATTCCAAGCAGCCACTATTATATAATTAACTAAATGATGATGGGCTCATAGGCTATTTTTTTCCAGAACACAAAGCACCTGTGATTAATAAATTTTAATGTACAAAGAATTCGTATTTATCATTAGCAGATTGATGGCTTCTCAAATTACTCCAACATTGTGAACTAAAGGAATAATATAAACCAAGCTTAGAAGCAGTTGCAATAATATTGGGTTTTAGTAGTTATTTTAAGACAAAACTTCTGCAAATAAAGTGTTTTATAACAGTATGATGTGAGCTGTCTGCCAATACTGTAATGTTGTAGCAATCTTTGCCACAAAATTAATGTGGAATCTCCAACATTCAAGGAAAAGTACAATTATGAATACAAGGGAGTGATGAATTTTGTTGAATAAGTGCCACCCCTGAATAAGCCCCTTAAAGTACAGATTACTTTTTGCCATGAACTGTTTGCCAGACTGTAAAATCATCTGCCTTATTTTTATGCAAGTAATTTAAAACTCAAAGATTACATGTCTGTTGCAAAATTCTTTTTTTTTTTTATTATTGTCGAGTCACATTACATCACTGAATGTTGTTCCTGATAACAGGGGTCTGGTCACAACAAAATTCTTTCACAGAACATATCTAGAGGTGCCCTTTGCATTCTTTTCCACTCTCTGTTCCTCTTCTCCGAAAGCAGTTGAAAGTAGGTCTTTTTGTAACATCTTCTTTTGATTTATTTTCTTGAAAATGGATCAGACCAGACCTTCATATCTGAAAATATAAAAATGATTAAAGAAAGTGCCAAGTTTGCAGCTGAGCCAAGAGGTTTCTTGGTTTCTATAGCAAGAAGTGACTGAGAGAGTTACTTAACTCTCCCCTGGATGGGCTGCTGTTCACTGCAGGTTACTCTCCAGCATTTCATCACGCTTCCCTGACAATTTTTCAGAACTTTTTCCGGTGGAGTGGGGCACTTTGAAAGTATCTAACCAAAGAATACAGCACCATGACCCAGCTAGGTATCAAACCCCAAGCCTTACACGTTAAGTCCAGTGCGACAACTGTAAGAAAACAGCCTCTCCCTCTTAACAATATCAAATGCTATAAATTTACATCTTTCCCATATTTTTTAAGATGAAACAGAACTGAATTATACACCAAACCCAAGCTATGACTTACTTCCAGGTTGAATCTCTTCCTGTTTTATATCTTTTCTTGTTTCATTCTGAATTTGCTCTACAAAAGGAAAATAGGAAAACAATTATGGTTGCCACAGTCATAGGTTTTTGAAATTCCCTGACTTTCCCCAGAAAAAACGTCATATTAATCTCTGACCAAATCAACTGAATTGACATTTTCACAAACAAATCACCAAAAAGGAAAGTGTCATCATTTGTCATCATAAAAAGGACCGAGAAAAGATGAATAACTTCACATTTTCCCAACATTTCATTTTCCTCTGACTTCTCTCCGAGATTTAAATTTCCCTGACTCAAAGCGAAATCCCCCGACATACAATTGACCTCTACGGGCCTGGCCTTGATCATGAAGAAATTTATTTTTCTAAGACAATTTCCTGACCTGCAGCAACCATGACAATGGAACACTGCAATTATCAGTTCTTTTTTCGATCAAGTACCAAGTTAACAACATTGAAAAAACGACCAAACATTTTGATGCACAAGGAACCTTACACACATCAACAATTTTCTAAAAGCTTCAGCAGCCTACTTTAAGTTACATATCATATCATAGCCTTAAATACTTACGGAAAACCTCTGGGTGCAATTTTGGATAGATCACAGCAGGATATAACGCGGCAAGAGTGAATGCTACAAATCCCCCGATAAAGATCCCTGTCTTAACTTTATTAGACATGACTTTTGATGCAACTTTACATGATTCAATATACTTTGCCAGACGCCATCTTGTTCGTCAACGATAAATCCATTATGTAACATCCATATAATGTCCCGTGAACAATCAGCTGATTCAGCGGTTTCTCTTTGGTACCATGTGACACAATACATGTGACAGTACAAATTTTTTTGTCTGTACTCGTGTGCGGAGTTCCTTGTCAAACCTTATTTGTGTCCTCAATATTTTTCTGCAGAATTCTTTGCTAAAATGTCCGAGAATGAAAACCCGAGATGTTTCTTTGACGTTTCTATCGGTGACGAGAGAGGTAAGGAACCAGATTTTCTCTTTCGGAAGCGATGATTAAAAACGAAATTACAACATGTGCAAGTTAGTTTCACTGATCCATGCTCAAAATTAATTGAAAATCTATATAGTAGAGTGCAAATTGAGTGATAGCTGTGCATTTTGATGTGGTCTGAAAAGGAGGTCTTTATGGTGTTGTAGAACTCTTAAGGCCAAAATAGATTAATTTTCAAAATTTGCTGCATGTTAATTCAATTATCATTTGTCAACTATTTTTGATCGACTTAAGCTTAAAATGGTTCCATGCTTGATCTGTGTTAAAGTTAAGGTTACCATGCAGAAACTTGCTTTGATGGTACTTTGTACTTTGTACTTTATTGCTTGATTAAATGTGCCCCTCCCCACAGGGGGTCATCGAAACATTTCTTTTTGGGGGGGGTGGTGTCTGAGAAAAAATTGCAAATTTATCAAGGATAATATGAAGGGAAACCTAAGAAGTAGCATGGTAATAGAATTGAGTGCCTCTTTAAACAAACCAGGACCCTGAATTGAGTTTTTGATCATGTCACTATCTACCTTTGTCATTTATCAGTGGGTAGAATAGTCTTTGAATTATATGCTGACAAATGCCCAAAGACTGCAGAGAACTTTCGGGCTTTGTGTGTTGGAGACAAAGGGAATGCTTCTATATCTGGGAAACCACTTCATTACAAAGGCTGCACCTTTCACAGAAGTAAGTACTTTCATATGTTGTCCAGCAATAACTCATTACAGACAATCTTGTGTTAGGTATGATTTGCCAGTCTTTATCATTTTTTCATAATTATATTTATACCATAATAAACACAGCCAATGACAGTGTAGGAAAACTGTTGCTTATTTGACAATTTTGATTTCTGGCTTTAGTCATTAAAGGTTTCATGGTGCAGGGTGGAGATTTCACCAATGGTGATGGAACTGGGGGAGAATCTATCTATGGTGAAAAGTTTGAGGATGAGAACTTTGAATTAAAGGTAGGAAATGTTTCCTTGGGGTTTTTTATGGCTTATTTAGTTAAGAAGAAAAGTGTTTTAAAATTCCTATATTTTGCTGATCTCCCATCTCTGGTATTTTGTCCATGACCAATCTTGCTTTGTTGCAACATGCCATGAGTTTACCATTAGGTAGTTAGGAAGGTACACTGTAGGGAACATTTTTCTCATAAATCACTGGGGTGTAAGGTTCAATGCCACTTAAAGGTGCAAGCCCAAGCTGCAAAACCCTTCAGTCAGCCTTTTGTCCTACGAGTTAGGACTTCTGTCAAGTTACACGAGTTGGGTGTGCAAAATTTGGCCTCACCTGTACAATGATGCACAATTACCAAAAAATCTTCAAAATTTTGCATAGCACTAAACATTGCACTTAAAAAGTTTTTCTTAATACAAGAATTGCTTTTAAATCCCCAAGACTTCCAAAAACTTTCATAGACTACTCTAGGGTTGTTTTCCTTCAAAAACAGTCAAGAAATCCCTTGCTTTAACTTTTTTGTTTTGTTTATCTTATCACAGCATGATGAACGTGGCCTTCTTTCAATGGCAAATGCTGGTGAAAACACTAATGGTTCACAGTTTTTCATCACAACGGTACCAACATCACATCTTGATGGGAAGCATGTTGTCTTCGGTAAGGTCACCAAGGGATGGAGTGTTGTTAAAGAACTTGAAAATACACCTGTGGATGAAAGTAAACCTAAAAAGGTGCGTCACTGATACTGTTTTATCATTAGCTCTTTGACCCTTAAGAATGACAAGCATCTAATTTCTCCTTACATTATCACCCCCCAAATCACACTTTGAGATCATGAGAATGAAGGAATTGTTGGTCTACTAAAGAAGCTGTTGATTGTTGAACAAATTCTCCTTGTCAGGACCCTAGGAAATGTATGGATGACAGTGTGGAGAATATGCATACTGATGATAGCAGGGTGCAGAGGGTTTATTGGTCTTCCTGTAGCCTTGTAACCTGGGGCAGCACCTCAACCCTTTCACTCTACAGAACTAAACGCTACTTCTCTGTTCTGTATGCCCTTCTTTTCTCATAATTTTGGTGCTTAGAGTTTGTTGTTAAATAAAAAAATTTTATCAGCTGATTTATTTCTTCCTCTCATCACCTTTAATTTCTGCTTGAAAATGTATTAAAATTTTTAAGCGAAATATATGTGGGGTCACTTTTGGAAGTAAAAGAGTTAATGGGCCATTTCTGATATTGAAAGAAGGCAAGCCAGGAACATTGCCAGGTCTGATATGCAAGGTGCATAAATCAGTTTCAAATATTTTGATGTGGCTTAGGGTTTAGGGTAATGTGTAATTGTGTTAATGAGGCAAATAAAAGATGATGGTGATGATTTGACCAGATTTAATTGTGTCATTTCCTCTCTTAGCCATGTGTCATTGAGGACTGTGGTGAGCTGCAACCAGGGGAAGATGATGGCATATGTGCTGATGATGGAACAGGAGACAAGCTTCCAGATTGGCCAACAGACTCTGGTCTAGATTTCAGCAAGGTAGTCTCTTAGTTGCAAATGTAGGGGCTTCATTTTTCCACATTTTTTCATTCATTAGATAAGATAGACAGAACAAGCTTAATACTAATCTTAAAGGCATTTTTATTTTTTTAACATGATTGTGTACCTATAGCATAGCAAATGGATGTCCTAAATTTGCTGAAAGTGGAGTTGTTGTTATTTCAGCCCGAAGAAGTATTAGCTGCAGCAGAGGCACTGAAGGGTATTGGAAATGAACAGTTCAAGGCCCAAAATTATGAACTAGCCAAAAAGAAATACTCCAAGACACTGCGGTAAGATGAACTTAAATTGTTTTTTAAGCTATCGCCTCAAATTTTTTAAAGAAAAATGGCAGAAAAGGGGCCTTAAGTCTTGATCAGTGACTTTGTCTCTATCCTCTAGCTATCTAAATCACTCTGATTCTGATGAGGAAACATCCTCAAGTGAAGAAGAAGGGGAAAAAGCTGAAAAAGTAAAGGAAGAAAATATACAGGAGGAGAAGATACAATCCTTGACAATAAGTTGCTTTTTAAACAGGTGAGGCTATACACCAAGAACCCTCTTTTAATTTATCTCAAGCCAAACATTTCCTGATGTATTGCACTGTACTTATGTGTATCAGCACAAACATTATTTTAGAATAGTCTACAGATCATAAATTTCTCCACTAACAAGTAACTCTTCTTGTGATTCTCTTATTGAAAAACAAAAATTGGTGGATAAAAAGTATGGATTTTGTGTATGGTGAAGAAAGCCATTTTTAATTACATTTTTAGTCTTTCAAGAAAAAGGTATCACAGATTGTTGAATTTAACATTTACAGAGCCTTTTGTGAAATTAAGCTGGGAGACCATGCAGGAGCTGTAGAAGATTGTAATGAGGTACAGTTCATTTGTACTTCAAACTACCAACTAGAGAGTTTGAAACATCTGTCACATGGTAGAGGCAGTGTTCCTTGGAAAGTTTGCAAGGACAAATTGACAGTTGCCACCACAAATCGGCATCAAGAGTTGCCTTGTGTAACATGCGGCTAAAAATAATTCCCTCTGTCCCTCTGATGAAGGGCTAATGCTTGAAATATCAGCTTTGAAACTCTTTATGGTGGCCAATCTGTGTTAACTCAGTTGATAATATCAAACTACCTTGTTGTACTCTTCTACCAACACAGCTCCACAATTTCTATTGAAACCAACTCCCAATTAAAATTAATGTTTTAAAGTGTTATTAAAATCTCCATACCAGTTGCAGTACTTCTGTTTTAGTTACCCCACTGGTTATCCCTGGTCTCAGGCCTGTGTACATCTGCCCCCTCCCCTGGAAAAAAAATCCTTTTTCCCCCTTGTTTTAGGAGAGGGAAGCTCTAATGAGGTTATGTCAACTTTTTAGCCTTTCTTTTCTTGTAAAAATATAAATTCAAGGCAAATCATGCATATTTTTTCTTCTTCAAGGTGCTGGATCTTGATGATAAAAATGTAAAAGCTCTCTACAGAAGAGGACAGGCTAAAATGAACATGCAAGACTTTGATCAAGCGATGGTACCCGCTCTTTCTAGTGTTTTTTAGGTTTTTGACATTTAATTCAAACAATTGAGATGAATACCCTTTTTTTGTTGCTGTTTAACAGGTTGATTTTCAGGCTGCTGCTAAATTGGAACCTAATGACAAGAGTAAGTTTCTTTATTTCCTTGAATAAGTTAGTGTTCAAGGAGCTTCTTTTTAACCAATTTGTCAACCACCTCTAACAAGGGTGGACATTGGTAAGAAATATTTCAAAGTAGGAAGATAGGTACATTTTAAATATGTCAAGTTGATCAGTAATATGCAGTCCTGTTGTTGAAGGAATTTGGATTTAAGACAATCTACCACACAGGTAGGTTGTGGGGGGAAATCCATTTGTTGGGGCCCCTCCTTCACTGCTAAGGTACTGCATTTGTTGTAAAGCGGAGTTGTGCAAAACCCTGTTATAATGTTCCTTGGGTGCAAAGCTATGACATTGCCATGTCAGTTGCATTTGTTGTCAAGCTTATTGGGCTTTGAACATTGTCACCCAACTCAATCATTCCCAGTCAGAATGTGGTATCATACCAGTAAAAACAAGTTATTTATACTGGTGAAATAATTTAGATTTGCACTCTTGGTTTTTTTTCAGGCATAAAGAATGAGATGGCAAGACTAAAGAAGTTAAAGGAGGAGCAACGCAACAAAGAAAAACAAATCTATTCAAAGATGTTTGGCAAATGACCAAAACTTGACAATGTTTGCGGAACTTTACCCTTTAAACTTTGCCCTATTCAAGTGAGGTGCTAAAGCAAGATTTACAGCCATGTTTTCAGGCAAAGCTTACATTACAGCAAGTGAAGTGGTTAACATTTGCTCAAATCACGTGTTCACTTTTTCTATAAAGTGTAGTCGTAACTTGACTAATTACCAAGTGGAAAGTAGTTTAAGATTAAACAGTGAAACAATGAAAAGTGATTTATTGTATAATTTACCAGTTTTGGTTTTGCCCATCTTTTTTAGGGAGAAAGGAGGGGTTACATTATCAGTAAACTAACAAAGTACAGTATCCACAACACCATAAATTATGAACCATATAACGATCTAGTCTTCTTCACAGATTTTGTTGGTGTTCCAGAAGGTCTAAAATGATGGGAAAGGAACAGAAAATCCGACTTGAAAATATTGAAAGTCGGCCGCGCGTACGCCATTTCTTTGTAGTTGATCATTTCTTGTGAACGCACAAAATGACGCCTCTGTACTACCCCCTAAAGTTATCAAAATAACTGCATAAAAAACGCAAAAAAAAGGCCACCATGCAACATGTCCTATTTAACATTAGGGCCTAACACACACACAGGATGGCAATGTTGAGGAAAACAGCAATTAAAAACTGAATTTCTAGTTTTCTTTAAAATTCCATGAATGGCTGGATGCGTTTATCCTTTCCTGATAGCACCTACCAAATATTCCAAGATTAAAATACCATGATTTTCAGGAGAAGGCCCAATCTTGGACAGGTGCTTGGCATGAACAACATTAACCCTTTACATCCCATGAGTGACCAAGACAGAATTTCTCCTTAAAATATCAAGACAATATAAGGCAGAAAAGTGACAAGAAAAAGGAAAAATATAAATTAGGGGATTACCTATTAGTTGATCCAATACCAAATTCTCCAAACTAAGATCACAAGAACTGTATGGTAGACAGTAAGGAGAAATACCAATGAGATCTTGGGAGTTAAAGGGTTAAGACATGCAAGGGACACATCACATGTGAATTTTGGCCTTTCTTTGACTAATTCAAATTAATCCTACCCAGTTTGAACTCAAGCTTGTCATACAAGTTTCAAATACATGCACTTTACATTTGTATCACAAAGTCAGTCAACCCTGTCTTGATGTTACACCTTTGAAGTTATCTTTATTTGTTGTCGATGAGGATGTATTTATTATAGGCTAATTTTTGATTTGTGATCTCTTAATTCCTGATTTTGTCGCACATCTCCATGATTGATCCTCAACAGGGAAGTGCCAGGAGTTGCCACTACGCTGCACCACTGGATCAACTTTTTGCCTGAAAAATTCCAGTTTCCCTCTTTCATTGACTGTGAAGGATACACAGTTTAGTCTTGTCCATCTTAAATATGTCCACCAAACATTGCTAGGAAGCAGAAGGCGATGATCTCTGAGTCTGTCATTGGTGACAACCTCAACTTGTTGCATTCCACTGAAAGCTGCAGCATACAAAACATACAAGTCATCATTTTTAAACTTGTTCCTGAAAACAGCACAAACATCTTCAAGCTTGTAGACAGAAGTTCTCCAAGCTTTGTTTACTATCACAAGCACTTTCTTTTGTTGTGCTGCAAAGTGATGTGCCGTGGCCACCAGCCTGTCTGTGAAAAATGACATATTTGCTCCTGAGCCATAGGCGGCAACATTCATACCATCAATTACCACATCAAATGGTCCTCTTCTTTGAATAAAGCTCTTCAATTCTTCCAACTCTTTCTGTATTTTCTTGTCTAGATTTTCACCTGCCACTTTGGAAATAACCAGTTGAGGGCTGTTGGACAGTTTGATTAGCTCCCTTTCCAATTGTTGTATATCTCCTGGGAGGATGCCACTCATCAATTGATTTCCACAAGATGAGCATGTTCCTACTTCACTTATTCTGCTGTATTTCCACTTCCAGTGATAAACAGGGTCGTGATTCAGCCAAGCGCGAACTGCTACAAGCAATTTAACCGGTAACCTTTCACCAGTTTGTTGAAGATAACTAAAAACCATATTTGACATTTTCTTGTGATGGTTTGTATCAACTTTGCCTTCCTTACCATGATCGTTCTCTTTAACTGGGAGGCTTTTAGGGTTAAGAAGCAATTCAATCATGTCTTTGATTGGCGCAGACATGTTTTCATTAATTCCGAAATTTTCCAACCTTTCTAGTTTCTCCTCAAAGACCCGCAAAGCTTTTCTCGATTGTCCCCTCTTGGCCATAGAGGTAATGATATAATCATAATGACGAGTGTGGTGAGCTATATTACTTTCCACAATGGCGTGCAGCATGCCGACAGCCTGGTCAAAAAGTCCCCGATTGCTGTAAGATTTAATCATCGAGAATTTAGCTCCTTCGCCAATGAAAACAGCATTTCGTTTAATGTCTTCGTACAGCTTGTCTACAGCTTCATGTTCATTGTGTTGCACAAACAAATGTAATAGCCAAGAGTAACAACCGTCTATTTTCCACGACTTTCCACCGTTTCTGCTCTCTTCAAATAGCCTTACGGCATCCGTTACCTTACCAGTCTTAATGTAGTGTTTCATCGTCGTTTCAGTCTCTACATTTTGGCCGTTTCCATGGGTATTAATGAAAGTTGAAGCTTTTGAAGATAGAAAGGATCTGAAAAGCAGACACGTGCTTGCTACACAAGCTCTCTTTCTCGATGTACGACACCTCAGCCGAATCATACCGGGTTCCCGTTGGATAAAGCAGCTGAATGTTCCTAAACTGTTTCCAAAAACAAAAGTCATACAACAGTTGAGAAGATAACAAAGACCCGGACTGAGTTATTTCTATCCTTCCCCGCTCTCTGGTCCCTGTGCTCCTAAATCATCATGAAACTGCAGTCATCTAATCAGCGGCTACCAAATTAGTGCCAGTTGATGCTCGAGTTTTAATTCCGCTCTAGGAACGCCTGTCTGAATTAAACACGACGCTCACTTTGCGAGAGAGCAGTCAATTAACGCTGTTTCTTAATTTGTTCCTTTAAAATTTTGCGCGGGAAATAAGCGTGTAGCCAGCCGAAACTGATTCCCTCTCACATGCCAATGTTTTATAATAATAACAATAAAGAAGTTTAATTCCACCATCATCACAGTTAATCTGAATTACAATGAGGTGAAATTTGCACAATGCAGTCGTTTTAAGCATTCTCGTCTTTGCCCCACAGTTGCTCTTTTGGTGAAGGTCGAAAAAGATAAAGTTTCATATACTTTCTGTGTTCTCTGCCATGTAAATATTTGTTTCTTTGCTTTTAGAAGTTCTCCATGAATTACATATTGTGTTTAATGGTACTTTCCTAGAACAGTTCTGTGTTTCCTTATCACTACCAATTAGGTTTTCCTTGATAAAATGACATTTCCCAGTAAACAGCCTAAATTTCCGACATCATCTCAACCCACTAAAAAACTCACATGAAACTAAATGCTATTGTTAGTAAATTTCCACACAACTCCCATGCTTTGACATTAACTACCAATCAAATTTGCCTTATGTTGCCTTGAGCTTCACCCCATCATGTGTCATTTTCCCGTAAACAACCTTCATTTTATCACATATTCCACAAGGCATTTGAACTTTTGAAGACCAGTTTGATCAAAGTAAAGGTAAGATCTGCCACCGTGACTTTCTTGTAGGCCTAAGGAAAACTTGACAGTTCTGATTGAAATTCCCCACCCCATGAGCACAGGGAGGGAGGGGGGAATTTCAAACTTTGAATTAATTGGCACATAACGGAAATACATAACTTAAGGCAAGAAGAAGTTCACAACTATCATTTAACAAAAAGCCAATTTTTTTCCTCCAACAGTAATAACATTTACATAAGTGCCACAGGGTCACCTGAATCACATAATTTATCTTAACATTTACATAAGTGCCACAGGGTGACCCGAATCACATAATTTATCAATTATACTATTATATTTGTTTACTGGAAGAGCCATTCAGTTATGTCTCAATAAACAAGTTTCAAAATTCTCTATTGTACATAGCTTTTAAAAAATGTGCATTTAAAATAAATTTTTGAACCGTTTTGATCTCCTTGAACACCTCCATGCTTCATTAGCAACAGGAAAGTGCCATGAATTCCCATTGTACTGCACAACAGGGTCAACTCTGTCTCTGAAAAATTGCAGTTTTCCTTTTCCTCCTTTTGTAAAGCTTACACGGTTTAACCTTGTCCATCTTGAGAATATCCATCCCACTTCAGCTGGGAATAAAAGGCGGTGATCTCGGAGTTTGTCATTGGTGACAACCTCAACATATCGCAATCCACTCATGGCTGCAGCATACAAAAGGTACAAATCATCATTTCCAAAGCTGCTCATGAAAACAGCACAATTAGTAGTTTTGAGAGCCCTAGTGGCTTTCCTATTTTCCAGTTCTTTCTTAGATAATACAACCATAACATTCTTCTGTTGTATGGCAAAGTGATTTACCATTTCTAATAACCTGTGTGATGATAACTTAAATTTTGATTCTGTGCAAAGGACATTCAAGCCATCAATAATTACGTCAAATGGCCCCTTTTCTTTGACAAACATCTTCAATTCTTGTATCTCTTGGTACATCTGGTCTTCTAAACTTATATCGTTCAGTTTAAAAGTAGACTTCTGTGGAATTTCAAAAAGCCTTAGGATTTCAAATTTCAACTGGCGTACATCCTCTAAGGGTAAGCGGTTTATCAACATATTACCACAGAAAGAGCATTTTCCTGCTTCACTAATTGTGCAGTTCTGCCAAGTCCAGTAGTTATTTGGATCATGCATGAGCCACGAGTGAATTGCACGAATTAATCTTAATGGTAATCTTTCCCCATTTTGTTCAAGATAACGAAACACTATCTGTGATGTTCTAGTATGACGATGTTCATCAAAAACCTCTCCCTTAATTATCAGATTTTCAGGATTGAGGAGCAGTTCAATCATTTCCGTGACGTATTCACTTAAGTATACTTTGGTTGGAAAGTGTTGTTGCCTCTTCAATTTCTCCTCGAAGACCTGTATGGCTTTTCCTATCTGTCTACGCGTTGCCATACTGGTTATAACCAAGTCATAAGCATCTGTGTCGTAAACCTTAAGATTGACGATGGAACGCACAATTTTCATGGCTTGTTCGTAAAGTCCCCAGTCGCAGTAAGATTTCAGCAATTTAGTCTTGTTTTGTATATTACTGGATTTAGTGTAATGTTTGATGGCTTCAAATAACTTCACAGCTCCTATAATATCTCCGTTGCCATTTTCCTTCGTTTCGGAGTCCAAATTTTGGCCGTTTTCAAGGGTCTTACCGTAATGTGGAGCCTCTGAAGACAGAAACGTTCTTTGAAACGAACACGTGCTTACGTAACCACCTCTCCATAACGGTGTAATGTACCTCAGTCGCATATTAGAAGCAGATCTGCCCGCATCAAGCTTTTTTCTTTTCAAATATTATCTCAAGAGTAAGGAATTACTTCACACCTTTAGCCATAAACGGGTGAAGATTACTAATACTTTGTCACCGTAACATTTCCAAAAGAAAGACACAGTGAAGTTCCTATCTATTCTACTCCGTCCTCGGAAAGTCATCGCTTGTACCCTTCGCCCGCAGTTTATATAATCAGCGGCTATCAAATTAGAGCCAGGTATCAGACTAGCTTCATCTTGTAGCTAGGAACGCCTGACTGAAAACAACCTTGAACACCATGAAAGCATCCAGCGTGCCATTTTCTACGTGCGAAAGAGATTTTCTCCTCGAGGGAATCAAATCGAGAAAGGTTTACTGCACCAGATTACCTACTTTTGCTTTTATTTTCCCTTTATTGTTGATTAGAATAGACTGCTAAAGTTTTTTTGTATTAATAAACAGCGCATAGATGGACGCGAAGCCTACGACTACCGGAAACTCAGAATTTTATTTGGTGTAGACAGAGGACATTGCGAGGTTCAACTGGGTGAAACAAGGTACGGCAACAATTCATTCTGGATGGTTCTGAGGCATTCCCTTTCTATAAATTGGTCGCAATCTGGACTTGTGTTATAAACGTTTTGATTATTCACATTAGTAGATAGTGATAATGGAAGGAACTGAGTGGAATACAATTTCGTCTGGAATCGTTCGCGCGATTTCAATGGCTGGGTAAAATAGTTATCAGTTAATAAATCGCTAATCAGAAAGGAAGGAAGACCAATGATTTTAAAACGGATGTATTAGTCATTACAGTGAAAAGTGGAAATACCTAAATAAGTGGACCAGGGCCAAGGGTTTGGGCGAAACTGTTTAAGGGGAGGATAGCGCCTTCCAATAGGTAAATCGCTACTCAGAAAATTACACTAGGCTATCCACTGGATAATCATTTTTCCAGTGGATAATGCTATCCGCCTTTTAAACAACTGCAATGCCAAGTGCAAAACCTCTCTTGTGAAAATGTATTATTCAAAGGCTCTCAATTTTTTCACCTTTGTTTCTAAACAGATGCACAGAGTATCTTGGGAATAATTTATTAACCCTTTGACCCTTAAGAGTGACTAGAATCTAATTTCTCCTTACAATGCCATCCCTGAATCAAACATTACTGACACGAGAATAAAAGAAATAATTACCAACTAAGAAAGCTCTTAATTGTTAAACAAATTCTCCTTCTCAGCACCTTAGGAAATGTATGGTGAACAGTATGGAGAATATACTTACTGATGTTAGGGTGTAAAGGGTTAATTGGTGCCCTCAGACTTCTGATTGTTTAAAACAACAGTGAAACATAGGCACATATATTTGTCTTGGATAGGGTTTTAGCACAAGTGTCATGTGAAGTTGTTCAACCAAAGCCAAATAGACCCACAGAAGGCCAGCTATTTGTCAATGTGGAACTTTCACCAATGGCATCACCAGCCTTTGAGTCAGGAAGGTAAGTTAGATATTTCACCATCAGGAATGGCAACAAAGTAATTTCTCAGTACAGCATCAATATGATACACAACACACAGACAGATGATAACAATAACAATTATCAACTGACAAATTTAAATTGTTTTAATGCCAATTCGGAACTAACATAACAAGGAGTGTACTACAGATTATAAATTTTTAATATCTTCCTTGAATATGCCCTTACATCCTTTTATAGAATGACGGAATTTGGCACTGAACTTAACCGATTTATGGAGAGGTGTTATGTAGAGTCACGAGCTATTGATGTAGAATCTCTATGCATTGTTGCTGGTGAAAAGGTTTGGATTAATTAAACTGAATTACATGTTTTGTCTTGTTCTCTTTATTCTCAGTTTTATAAAGACACTCTCCATTGTAGAATAATGTTTGTAATGAGGTCACCAAAAGTACCATTTGTGTATTTTTATTTATAATTTATTGTCACTTAAAATCAATAAATCACGTACTCTGGTGAAATGAATATTGATCTTGATTGTATCATAGTGATTTCTCATTGAATACATTTATTTTCTAATTATCATGATTAATACCAGGAAATATTTTGTGTGACATAGGTTTGGTCAATAAGGGTTGATGTGCATGTATTGGACAATGGTGGTAACATTGCTGATTGCGCAAGTATTGCTGCAATTACAGCTTTGGCTCACTTTAGGTATGTTTGTTTATCAAAACCTTAAAATTGCTTTTTTTGTTGAAGATGTCAGTGCTTTTTTTCATTGTGATTATAATCATTATCATAGTGATAAATAAATGTTTTAAATAAGTTGCTTATGTGGTAGCCTGAAGAAGACTGACAGTGTAGTACTCAAAACACTCTCAGTGATTTTCAAATGATAGCTTGATTTGTCAGTTGATTGTGACTCCAAACAAAGAGAAAAATGATTAAAAATTCATTTGTTAACTAATTTTTGGCATGAATTTTCCTTTTAAGCAAATAATCATTCTTCCAAGATAATGTGCCCAGAAATCAATGTCTTATCTTGTCTTCAATGCTCAAAGATTTGAATTTTTTCAGTTTCAACCAAAGAAATTCACAAAAAAACATGCAAAAACTCTAAAATTTTGACTTTCTTTTGTGTAATAAAAATCAAATGTACCCTTGACCTGATCTCAAAAAAATATTCCCTTGCTTTTCTAGGCGGCCAGATGTGTCTGTTATCGGTGAAGATGTCACAATTGTAAGTGTTCAATAGAGGCAAGGCACAAAATTTTATTTTCAATGTGGGATTTATTTTCAACATGGAAAAAGGCTGATAATAGACTAGTGTATCACTTAGCAGTCATTTTTAATTTCCTGGGATAAGACTCTTTTTCTAAGACTGCCCAGACTCAATTGTACTGGTAGCTAGATATACAGGAACAAATCTTTTCATCTACAGAAACTTAACAAGGTTGTTGCTATGTTATGAAGATCAATCCCAGTACCAATGATAATGATGATCATAATGATTTTAATGTATGAAAATTGTTATTAATGAAAGTGATTATGAGTAATTCTTATAATGATAATGGTTGGGATGATGATGTTCATGGCAATAAAAGTGCTGATTTCAGGCCTCATAGCAATAATGACATACTCTGCTCTGTCTTATTTTATCAGCACTCTCCAGAGGACCGTGATCCAGTCCCTCTCAGTATTCTTCATATGCCTGTCTGTATAACATTTGGCTTTTTCAATGAGGGGTAGGTAGGGTAGGCAGATTTCAATCTGCATGTGATGATATTTTGGAGCATTTCTACGATAATTATAACATTCGGTCAAACCTGCCTTAAATAACCACTCAGACTGTGGGACATATGCTATGACTTTAATAAGACAAACACCTTGGCTGGCCTTCAAGGGTCACAACTTTTGTCTTTGTTGTGTTTCTGAAAAGCTTCTGTGCAATTTTTTACATGTTAATTTATTCTTCTGAAACAAAGTATGAACTTTGAAATAAAAAAAAAACCCAGAAGCATGCGTCCCCTAAAGCTACTCCAGGGAAATCGGCATTCCCAAAATTGATGGGAATTTAAAGAAAAAACACAAAAACACTGCAATCATTTTTTTCAACTAACGATTCAAATATTTTTCCCAGGCAACGGTTGCTCGTAGATCCAACAGATAAAGAGGAAATTGTAATGGATGGGAGAATGATCATGGCAATGAATATTCATCGTGAAATCTGTGGAGCAGTGATGGGTGGTGGAGTTTCATTAGAATCTGAACAGGTGCATTTATTTTGACTGATACCAGTATTCTCCAGAAGTGCAGGTAGTTAGCATTTTTGCCAGCCACTCTTTTCTGAAGCACTGGCTTCTTCAGTTAGACAAGTACCAGTGTCTAGAACTGAAGTAAGTTGATATTTAAGTGTGACTGACCACTAAAAGAAATCTGAAGAACACTGCCGATATCATTCTTTCAAAGATCTTCAAGAATATTTACTCTGCCAAAGGATTTAAGGGATGGTTTTTAAGGATTTTCACCCATAATCATCTTACTGAAAACTATCTCAATCTCTTTCAAAATGTTTTGACTAAAGATTTTTTGTCCCCACATAAATCTCAAGGTAATGGTAGATATCCTTGGCAATACCAGAGATCCTACTCCTTAACTTTTTCTTAGCAATATCTTTTTAATTTTTATTTTTTATCTCAAATTTCAAACAATAGTATAATTTCCACATTAATTTGGCTCATTGTTACCTTGAACAAATGATTTAAAAGAGAAATAAAAAAAGCCAGGACAATTTCGTTCCAAAAAGTTTGCTTTGTGAACAACAGAATATAAAATGATCATCATGTTGCTTATCTAGATCCTGAGATGTTCCAAGATTGCATCAGTTAAGGTTACTGAAATTGTTGCTCTTATACAAGAGGCACTGGAGGAGGATTCTAAACAAAGGTAAGTGTGATGATGAAAGAGATATTAGAATAAGTCTTCAAGCCTAGTGTCTAGTCAGAAACTGGTAGACCAGTTAACCCTTTGACGTCTAAGAGTGACCAGACATTTAGGTCATGAGAATAAATTAAATAATCACCAACTACAGAAGCTCTTGATTATTACATAAAATCTCCTTGTCAGTACCTTAGGAAATGTTTAGAGAACAGTATGGAGAATAAGTTAACTGATGTTAGGATGTAAAGGGTTAAGTAATCAAAAGGAATAGATCGTTAACATTCCAATGATAATTATCAAATGATAATTTTTGAAAAATATTGATCTATTTAACATCGAAAAGCACCAATAATAATTATCAAATGATTGCTTTATAAGATCATGCATGACTAGTCGACCTCAACACCTGAAGAAGACTAGCAGTATACAGTTGAAATGTCACGATCTACATCACACGTGACTACACCATGAGACAAATGAAAAAAACTTAGATTTTATTATTACTCTTAGAGCACTTTTCAATGGATTATTTTAAAACCAGAATCACAGTTGCTACTGACAAAAGCCAAGCTTAACAAGGTGGATGTCAGGAAGAACCAATAAGAAGTCAAAGTTGAAGGGTTGAAGTTTGAATGACCTAGTTGTGATTTGTGTAAGTTTTGAGCCCAGTAAACTATTTCATGGACTAATAAATTTGCACTTTTAATTATTGTGTGATATTTCTTTTTTTCAACCAGAGCTCTTGGGAAAACAGGATTGATAGAATCAGATACAACACCATCCATTATTACTGTGACATCAGCTGATGAGTCTGAGGTGGACATCAGTGAAGCTGTGGAAAAAGTAACAGGTACAAATTGGGGAATTACCCCTTAGGGAAGCAGGCATAATGTAGTGACAAAACAGTGACGAGACTGCTTGCATCCCACAACTGTGGTCCTGGCTCAATTTTCATGCCTGGTATTAAATGTGAGTCAGACTTCTTACTGATGCTCATCTTTACTCAAAGGACTTACTCCAATTTAAGGTGTTTTCCTTGTGCCACTGAAAAACACAAAATGTTTAATGCACCAACTCTATAGATGTGCCTCAACTTAGGTGTAGCTAGTTCTCTTGTTTTTCATCCTAGCAGAGTCATATTGCTCAGAAGAAGCAATTATTAAATAGGTAATTTCCAAACCAAATCGCATACTCCAAGAATATTTTATGAACATGTATAACATAGTCCAGTCATGAAGTGTAAATTCTCAGCTGGAAGGAGTGATTCACAGATTCAGATTGAAACCTAAATAAAGCTAGCAGATTTTGATTAAAGAATGAGAACAAAATGGTTGGCAGTGAAGACTGTAAGGAAGGCAAAGAAAAGCTTAACAATTAGGCAGTGATAAACTAGAATCGTTTTAGAGTAGGTATGGATTGCATAAAAACAGCAGAAAGATGAGGTAGATGGAAGAATTTTAGCTGTGTAAGGAAAACAGTTGAGCAAGCTTGACCTATGATGAGACTCAGACTTGAGAATGGTATAAAAGAGTTATACATTATTTTACTCTTTACTTCACAGAAAGACAATATGATGATATGACAGCAATGGAAGAAAAGTATCCTTTACAAATAATTTGTCATTTGGAAATTATTCTCACTGTATAAAATCAAACCAATTTTTAGGAGTATTCTGTACTGTACTGCAGTCTTCATAATCTTTTTTTTTTTAATTAATGATTTATGTGCCATTGTGAGATTCTTCAAAGGCAACTGTAACCTTTTTTTTTGTTTCATTAAGCAAAAGTACAAATTACAAAGAACAATCTAAAAGAGTTACTAGACTCCTTGACAATGAATAATCTTGCAGTCCATGGGGAGCACAATTGAAGGTAATTTGTTATTGGAGCAATTTGCGATTGAGTGTCAAAAATAATTCATAATTACTTTGGGTTTGCTTTTCTTTGCTATGTAATTGGTCCAAAAAATTTTACTATCTTTTCAACCAATCAGGTTTGAAACTTAAACCAAACCTGACTTGGTTATTGGCGTTTTCCCACCCTATGGGCAATTCGCTTATTTTTACTTTGTGTTCTCATTAGCTGCTCACTATGACATTTTCCAGCACTCCAGATCTCAAATTGATTTTGGAACAATGAACGAAAAGCCGCCTCTCTTAATAGAGCGTATTTCGCGAGAGGGTCGTAAAGCAAAGGCAAATAAATCACAAAAGCCAATCAAAGGAAATGAAAAGATCACGAGGAGCCAATGAGAACGCAGATTAAAAATAAGAAAACTGCCTGAAGCGATGGAAAACGTGAGTGACCAGGTCACGATTGGTTTTAGGTTTGATTCTGATTGGTTGCTAGGATGACGCGAGTTTCCTGGACCAATCACCGAGCGATGTAAGCCAAAGCAACCCCGGAATATTTTTGACTCTCAAGTGGAAATTTTTCTCTGCATCACTGCTTAAATCCAACCTATATTTGTGTATTTGTGTGTTGGTTTACTTTTTTTCTTATTGTTTGCTCCTGACAGGGACCGGGAACTGCTCAAATTGGCGAAGGAGGAGACAATTCTTGGATCGTTTTAGATGAAGAAGATGGAGAAATGGAAGAAAGTGAGGAGGTTGAAATAACTGGAGAGGAAAGAAATAGTGAGTCTCCGACACCAGAATCACAGCAGAAGAATGGCAGCAAAGGTGAAGAGGGAAAAACGTTGAACTTTATGCTTAATATTCTGATTTTCCTAATACTATCGCATAGACCAGAATTGATATTAAAATCCCTGTCAATCAAGACCTATGCGCCCCAGTGAACCAACCAGATCTCGAAATGGCAATGTAACATATCCTTCTCGCAAGCGAGGGAGTGAGACGACTAATGCCAGAGGCAGAAAAATATGTAATCATTGGCAAGCGCGGGAAAATATGCTTATGGTTCCAAGCGCGTAGAAAATATGCAAAAAGTGCTGAGCACTGACGGATATGCAACTTCTAGTAGTGCCAAGAGTGGGAAAGTATGTCACTGGTCCATGTGCGAGGCAAATATGCAGCCAATGCTGAGTGCGGGAAAATATGCAATTGGTGCAAAGTGTGGATATATATGTAACCAATACTAAACACACCGGAAAACATGCAACTAGTGCCAAGTGCGTTGAGACATGCAACCGCCAGAAAGCGCGGGAAACTATGCCGCTTGGTACCAAGCGCGAGTAAACAGCGTTCGAGCACGTGAAAAAAAAACAAACAGGAAGAATTTGAACCGAACGAAGCCCAACACAGAAACTACTTTTAACGATCTCTAGAGCTCCTTACTTCGTTTTGTCTTTGTTGCAGTCGTTCACTCCATCGTGGATAATGATGACAGCGAGGAGGAAGACGTTATAATACTGACTGCCGAAAGAAGTGATGTGATTCAGAAGAGGTATGTTTGGACTATAAAAAAAACGGTTACAGAAAGGCAAAGTTATAAAACTATTTGTGAATTCTGTTTTTCTTTTCTTCGATAGCTCTCAGCCAATGCGTACCCAGGAAACCTTAGGTTTGAGTGGGGCGTTGAAAAGTGACAGCGGAAAGAACAGTAACAGCAAAAAGAAAAAGAGGAAGAAGAAATCTGGAAACAGAACATCGCAAACTTCTTAGTGATTTTATTTATAATCAGTATTTGTAAATAGCTATTAGTCTTTTTCTAGGCAATTAAAAATCACACATAGTCCATATAAACCGCCTCCTTGATATAATCTTCGAATGGACTCCTGTTGACATTTAGCGGAAGGGCGTGGTGGGGGGGGTAGAATGTGCATACTACCACTTCTTCATTAAGACAAAAATGTTAACGCCATAGAATAAAGTACAACCTGTCTTCGAATTGGAGTAAGACGTAATTGTAATGTTCTTATTATTTCAGCCAATCTCCAGAAACCTTGAACTTAAATATGAAGTTAACGCGGGCACTTGAATTTGGGTTGAAGTGAACACTCGTTCTTCAATTGAGTTTTGGTTTTAGCCTTCGATTATGTCGAATGTGTCGCTTGTTTTTGTTGGGAGTCTGAGACATGTGGAAGGCGTTATTTACAGTTAAATGTTTATATTCAATTTGATACATGTATCAGACCTTTAAAGTCAGATATTAGACTTGAGCTCTTTGTTTGAAAAGGATTTTTTAACACCGGTGTTATCATAGGCGAGGCGCCCCAAGCTCACTTGAATCCATGGTAATTTAGTATTATCAACTGAGTTGATAAAGAGAATTGGCCTCCGAAAAGAGTTTAAAAGCTGAAGTTTCGAGCGTTAGCCCGGAAACGTCAGCTTTTAAACTCTTTATGGTGGCCAATTTACGTTATCAACTCAGTTGATAATACTAAATTACCCTGTTATACTCTCTCACCGACGCAGCACCACAGTTTCTTTACAAACTTACCTCCTTTATTCGCTTGAATCCTTGTTTAGTTTTGCGTAATGCATTGTAAAACTTAAACCTACTCTCCCATTAAGTTTGAGGCGCCTGTGGTGTTTCAAGTATGTTGAGTGTGTTAAATTAGAGTGACTCATGACGAGCGATTTTTGATATGAGTCTCACGATCATCAACATAACGACAACATCGACCGATCTGCTTACGACAAGCCAAACTTATAACGCCTGATTGAGAAAAAACTTCTCACTGACTCAGTCTTAGAGTGACTCCTACACAGGTTGTCGAAACGTTTTTAGTCACTTCTACCGACGATGGTCCTTCTGAGGACTCCTCACCTGAGCGATCAGACTACACAATCAACTGTTATACCACCAGTTTCAAATCTCGTACCCTAAAACTGACAATGGAACTGTAGACAATAAAACAAATTAATGTACCCTTGATTTATCAGTCAAACCTCTCTGAGAAGGACTCCTGTCGTCGGTCTTTAAGGTTTTCGGCTGGTAACTGGAGTTTACTGTAACTGCTAATGTGCAGGGCGCTCACCGCGAAGCAATAGCATTTCATACGACAACCACTCTTCCAGAAATCAGCGGTCACAACCGTTCGTGGCATCTACTGACTCCATGCTTTAGTTACCCTTACTATGCTGCAGCTTGAGAACTTTGGTCCATCCAGTACCATTCACCCTAATCTGAATGCTTAGCTACGTCATAAATACTACTGATACGTCATAAACAAAAACGATGGTTTTGCATTTGACGTAACAACAGAAAGTGCGTACACGCGCACGCGTCGGGAATTTTGACGATGACATCGAAGAATTCTCATTATTTAGATGCCTTGCAGTACTAAAACTCGTGTGAAAGTTATCAAGCCTGGTGAATTGGATGATGTGCGTAGACCTGTGAAAGAAAATTCGGAAAGTGCCCGTGAGGGAAAAGCCGAGAATGGAGAAGGGCGTTCAGTCCTGTCACGACTCTTCAACTGCGGAACGAAATCTAAAAAGACGCGTGTTATCAAAGTGAGATCAGGTAGTGCAGCTGTGTCGAGCGTAGATGGAGCATACTGTGGTCCAGATTAATACATGTAATGATGTGGCATTTATGAGGAGACGAATAATGGTTTTAAAGCGCCATGAAAAGAATCTTGTGGACGTAAAAATGGTCTAGCTTTTTGTTAGGGGTTCTTTCTGGCAGACAGCGCGCGAGAAGAAAGAGTTCGATTACTGTAAGAAACGCTTAATATGCGTTCTACACAGGGAAAAAAGCTTACTCTTAACAGTTACTTAGTTATTGAAACTGTCCTGTTCACTGATTTTATCAAAAGGAAATAGAAAACCAAAAAGGTGAGCTTCACTTGCAAGTAGATGAAAGGAGGAACATTTTAGGTTTTCTATTTCACTAACTTATGCAAAACGTGTTCTTATTTCGAAAACAAAGGATAATTTATCCCAACAGAAGTTGTTCCTAGTTTAAAATATGTAGGGTTATTATATTATAAATCAGTCTTGCAAAGCAGTCATCATTAAAAAAAATCAATTATTCTGCAAGCCTCGGTAAATATGAAAGGTAATACCTTTAATATTTCCGTCTAGAAAGAACAGAAACATTCTAAATTACTTTAGTTCTAAAACCGTCATGAATTTGCAGTGAAGGCTTCCATTTTTCAGTTTTCGTAGTTTAATCCCAGCTTAATCGCTAAAGTATCATCAAAACAACTGGTGTAACACAAATAGGTCGGCCGCCATTGAATAGTTCTCCTGCTTTCAAATTATTCCTCGGCTTCCACTGCTATCTGACTTGTACTAGGAACTACATAGTCTCCCCTTCTAAAAGCTTTCATCTCCTCTTCGTATCTCTCTCTATCTTCCTTTGCCATTTGTTCAAACTTTTCCTTCTCTTTTTCTTCCATCTTGGCCCACATTTCACCGAGCATTTTAGCTCTAACTCTCATTTCTGGATTTTCTTCTCTCATCGCAGCGCGTTTGTCTTGGCAGAAAAACATGAAGGAAGACCTAGGGGAAATACAAAATAAATTAAGTGTCAGCTTAAGATGGGTTTCGAAGAAGAGAACTGTGAGTAATAATGAACTAATCAGAAATGAAACAGGATTACGTGAACCTTTTCACTGAAACTCATCTAGAAAATAAACCACTCTGCAGAAAACTGATTCAAAACGGCGCTTTGGTTAAATTTGAGTCGTACTAAAAAAATTTTTTGCTTACATTCACTTTCTCAAAGGTCTAAAGTCGTCAGCGGCGTACAGATCCGAATTTTTTTTAAAATGTGAGGAATCATGCAAGTCGTAGCTCAGATAAACTTTATAAAGCACAGCGCTTTATCACTAAACAAACTTGACCAGATTCAGTTTTCCGGATAGTGTAAATTCATACTTATGGAGAAACAGCTGGAACGGATGCTTGTACTAAGTCGACATGAAAGTAGCAACTTTTATTTAGGTTTAGACTTACATCCACTTCTTGGGTTGATTTGGATCCTTCATCTTCTTCTGCTTTCGAGTTTTCCTTTCACCACCTTCGTATCTCGGCGGTGTGTAATTAGCCATTTCGTTGTTATACCTCATCCTGTCCTTCTCTGCGGCCTCCACAAAACGTTTTTTCTCCTCCTCAGTTAACTTCTTCCACTTTTCTGCACAGGCCGGTATAAACGCTTGCCGAACTGCTTTATCTTCTTTTGTCTCAGAACTGTCGCCTGTAGCTTCGCTTTGTAATTTCTTCATCGCCTCGGTTTCTTCCTTGACAAAAATATTGTAGGCACTCATTTTCCCTCGGGGCTTGTTTGGGTCTTTGCGTGTCGACATTTCGTACTAGAAGTTGATTTGAAGGAAGTGTTAACTATTCACTGCGTTACAAGTTTTATAGATAGTTTATAGTAAGCTTAAAGGAAGACCGTAAGCGAAAACTGACAAGCGCGAACCTTCCGAAGCTGACAACCTCTGCCGAGCCGAAGAACGCGAGTGATTGGTTTACTTTTCCCGCTGTTTGTTCCCTGTCCTACGTGTGCAATTCGTAGCCTCTGCATGGAACCACAGGCTTCCCAGGTGTTGGGAAATGATCGTGGAAAACCATCCCTATAGTTATCTATAAAATTTGATTTACAACATCTGACGATTATGTGATCAACAACTTCTTGCACGTGGAATATGTGATCAGTTTAATTCTGCTAAGCCCTTTAGAAGACGCCTTTGATTTAGATTTGGGCCGTATTCAGTGCTCATTAGAATCTACCACTCTAGGCAGGTACGTGTTTCGGACAAAACAAAATGGCAAGGTGAGAAATGTCTCTCCTTTCTGGTTGAAATTTGATCTCAGTCAGAAAGGTTTAAATATAAGAAATGATACTCGTGCGTAAGTACCTCCAATAACTTTCCCCCACCGCACCCCTACTTGAAAATACAAAAAAACGAGAGCGAAACTGATTGACTGTGAGGCAATATTCTCCAGTACAAAGTACATGTAAGTCAAACAAACAATTTGATAAGATGCGATGGTTGATAATCGAGCTGACATGTACTACTCCATGGATAAACAATACTATTGATATTGCGTGACGATCGAAAAATCGGCTGGAAAAATGCGCGCAAAACTGACTTGGCATCTTCTTCATTGTTCAACCATGTGACATGACGTCACTCGCATGTGTACAACAAACAGGAAAGGAGCGATTTTCAAGATCGGCGGTAAGCTAATGTGTGTCGGGGATTGGCAGTAATGAACGGCTATCGAAGCGAACAGGAAGAACAAAGCTCTACTGTCGGGCAGATTTGCTGCCTTGTCGAAGACAACGACCGCTGTAAGCGACCAGCCAGCAACGCAAGCTACTCCAAGCGAATTCAGAAGACAGTTTCTCAGAGAAAACTGAAGTTGGCTTTGGACGTAAACGTAAGCGAAATTTTTTCCGACTGAATCCTTTCACAGATCCGAGGTTGCTGACCGAACTGTAAGTTTTTGTTTGATAGAGCTGGGATAATTCGAATTAAATTCATTGTAAACCGGTTTTATTTCAGGCAAGACACATCTATATTTGCGAGCATCACAAAAATATGATTCAGAGCGTTCGCAGCAAGAGAAAACGTAAAGATTCCGACGATGAAGCGGACACAGCTGAGGTAAGAAGGACAACTCTGTGTTTATCTTTTTAAGCACCTGGAGTAATTTACCCTGCTGTTTGCGACGGTTTTCCTTACCATTCGTGCTCAAACTTGTTGGTTACGTTTTTGATATTCTTAGGAAAGATTTTGACGTGTTCTCTTTCATCTCGCACAGGTCGATTTCTGTCAATTGCAGGTGAACACTCTAAGAAGATATAAACGACATTACAAGTTACAAACCCGACCAGGATTGAACAAATCACAGCTTGTTGAGGTATGTATGGTTGAACTGAAGAGATTTTTATATTTTTGGTTCGAAGCCTGGATGGCAAAACACTCGTTGTATCATCATTACAAATGTCGTTAGTCACCTTTTTGTTACGATAAACGTAATTCGATGTGAGCTAACAAATTCAAATGTCTTTTTATCTTTGAGTAGTCCCTTTTAATTTGGCTTAGTTCGGATATTTGAAGAATATTTCTTTTTCTTACAAAGTACGAAATTCTAGAGAAAACTCGTGCTGTACGTGGATTTCTACCCTCCTCCCCATAGAAAATGCATTCTTGTCGGTCGATACTCCTCTGGGGGAGTGGAGTAGGTCGGAAGCTATACTTTGTCCTTTACAGAAGATTTAACCCTTTAACTCCAATGAGTGACCAAGACAGAATTTCTCCTTACGATATCTATGCAATATCATGCAGACAAGTGATGAGAATTAAAAAAATATAAATTATGGGATTATTAATTGATCCAATATCAAATTATCCAAACTAACATAATGAGAATCATTTGACAAACACTAAGGAGAATTACTAATGAGATCTTGGGAGTTAAAGGTTCATTCTAACTTTCAGTGCTCATAAAAAAAGTTTTCCTAAAATTCAAAATTTGTTCAGAAGAAATGGGCAAGTTTGACTGAATGGACATGTTAGTGATTTAAACCAAAAAAAAATTCTCAACCAAAATTGTCAAAATACAAAATACTGCAAACCCTAGCAATGTTATCCAGTTAATACAAATATCATCATTTTCCTTTTTGCTGCCATGTTTTAAGGAGTCCCAGATTTTCATATTGTTTAAGGGAAAGAAGAATTTGATGTTTTTCAGTTAGTTATATCTTCTGGTTTTCATTTTGTTAAAATAGATTCATCAAAAAATTCTAGAGATCTCTGGAATTAGGATTATTTAGTATTGATCACAGTGCTTTTGAGTGGTCCACATGAAAGGCTTAGTCCTTCCTTAGGATATCTTTAGTAGCCTCTTCAGTGTATCTGTAGTAGCCTTGCCATTTTTAAAAAGCATCCTAAAACATTTCTTTTAAGGGAAGCTTATAATTTATAAGAATAGCTCTTAATGTTTAGTGCTTTAAATACTTTAATTTTAATTTTGTATTGAATTTTTAGAATTTCATTTCTTTAGATTGTAGCTTAGCAAGGAAATTTGTTATTATAATTATTGTTATTACTAGCTTTGTTGGAATTTTAATCTTAGCTGTTAATTGTAACTTAATGTTAAGTGCTTTTGAATATTTTATAGTCTTAGCACTATACAAATTCTTTTTTTATGTTATCTTTATCAGTGTAGCCTAAATATTTTTAATTCTCCATTTTCAATTCACATAAAAACCTTCCCCATGCCAAACAATCTCTATCCTTTCTTGTTATATTCTTAATCCTAAGTTATTTACTTCTCAAATGAAATATTATTTGATGGTGCATCTCTTTCTTTGATGAAATTCTGGTTGTTGAACAAATGTTGTTTTAAACATGTCTTACATGAAGCTTTGTTTTTATTGTTTTAAGACCATCCAGAGACACTTCAAACAGATTCCATGCCCTGAAAAGGAGACAGTTACTTACTTTATCTACATGATCAAAACCCACAAGAGCAAGTTAGACCAAAAACCAGACAGTAACTGAAGACAGATGATCTCCCATGTGCTGTAATCTCTGTATAGAATTTCATTTGAACTTGGAGTGGGAAAGATGATGTAAACAAATATGTTAATGTGTAAATACATTAGAGTGGTCCTGGTGTTGTAGATATGTATAGGTAAACGTTGAGGAGATCAATGCAGAATGATATTATGCTGAATCATAATTCTAGCATTCTCTTCAGGGGTTTCATGAAGTTTTGAGCTGAATGTCAAAAATTGCAAAGTAGGAAGCTAATTAAGGTTTAATTGTTACCCTAGTGTTGTTAATTTCAGAAAAAATTGGTGACAAATTTGCTTGACATAGGGAATTTCACCTTTTTTCCAGATTTTTTTTTATCTCATGTATAGTTAGGTTTTCCATCAGTGTGTTACCAAACTTACAATGTTAATCAGTGCTCCAAGCCGTGACCAATTTGATCTCTCTACTTCAAAGAGAAAAATACTTAGGCATGTAAATCTGCTGCTTAAGTCTCAAATTTGAATTCCTGAATTACTGTGTGATTCTAGTGTAATGTGAAAGTAAGATAGACATTAAATACCGTAGTGTGAATACTCTGTCATTTTTTTTAAGGTGGCACATAAACCTCTGACACAGCTAAGGTGTGTTTTAAACAAAAAACCTGTTTTTTGTGTATTGCATCATCCGACATGCACATATTTTATTTCTTTTTCTCCCATGGGGGGGACCTAAATATTGTTCTGCCAGCTATTTTGACTCAAGATTGCTAAGAAGAAACAGAATAGCACTTAGCTTGGGGCTCTGTTAACAGCTGTTGATTACATAATTTATTTTCAATATTAACTCAAATTTAATAAATTACGTGAATAAGATTTCCCTGTATTCAGAATGTGTCCTACATCAGTAGCTCTCATAAATTTGTGTGAAAATAAATTATTTTAAGTTACATATCACAACCAGTCACCTTAGTACAAGGCTCTAATGACACAAGACTCGCCAGTCTGTCAGTTTAAGACTTTGATGCTGTTACAGTTACAAGCTAGTGTTAAAGTAGCAGTACACTCCAAGATTTGGAGTTTATCATGGCAAAGTTCTAGATAGGAGTTGAATGTTTCATTCCTTTATCACAGTCCCATGGATATTAACCATTATCAAAGTAACATTCAAAATGTCTTTGTAATAAGTTTCTTTTTGAATAAAAATTATAGTAGTGAGTGCGTTTTTGTTGTAGTTAGAAAAATAATGTGTTTGTTAATTTAAATTACAAAGCATGTCCAGTAAGATTTTTTCATACTTATGATACAGTGCAGTAAACTATATACTGTCAAGGACTGAACCCTTATGTGATCAGTGTGCATTTTCTCCCTACTGTTCTTTATGCATTAACATTTCCTGTGGTGTTGACAATAATGATAATAACCACAATGTTTTTATGTGCGCATCTCAAGCCTTGATGCACTTACATGTCACCTATGAAATCAATCTCCATCACAAAATAACTTAAACACTAGACAAGTAAAAACATATAAGTAACTCTCATAGCTTATGAAAGAACTTATGAAATAAAAATTTTGAAAGATGGCAGCTTTGAAAGACAAAACTGAAAAAGCACTTTTAAGAGAATTGGGGAGAGTATTCCATAATGTAGGTACTCAAAAGGAATATGCATGTTAACCATAAGTCACAGAGTTTAGGGTAAGAATAGTAATATGCTTTTTTTAACATTCAAGAGCCTTTTAGTTGGTGATCATTAACTTTGTTCTCATGACCTTAATGTTTGACTGACAAGTAAATTCTCGTGACCTGAATGTTTTGGTTTGATTTAGGGGTCATACTGTAAGGAGAAATTAGATGCTTGTCAGTCTTAGGGGGAAAGGACTAACACAGAAAACTAACACTCTTATTCTTTTCAGTTTTACAACCACTCACTGCATCAAAACAATCAAAGTGAATTTAAATATATAAAAACCTATGATGATAAATAATGAAATTTTTGTGGGGATGGTCAGTTGTGGGAGATGTTTGGAGATAACTCTGGTACAAGTTCTAGGTGAATGTAGGTGGCAAAGATTTTTTTTTCAATCTGTCAGTTTTTCTAACTGGAAAACTGAAAATGAAATTGGAGATTGAAAAGAAAAGCCAAAGTTTGGACCCCCCCTCCCTCTTACCCAGTTCCCAGCACACTCTGCACCCTTCTAATCCATATCCATGGCACATTGAAGGTCAATGCAAATGAAGTTGATCCAGACGACAAACAGTGAGATTAAGTGATTTATATTTCCGTAAATTTATATTCTTGTTTCCTTCAGATAAACACTGTTTCGGCAGGTGTATAGAGGAGTCTAAACCAAACCTGCTTGGATACCGAAAAATATAACTTTTGGTATACTGTAATCATGCTGTATTCTGAAATGAAGAGATAAATTTGGCCGTAATTCAAATTTTCCATGCTCCATCACTCCGCTCTTAAGATACTTGGCAGCTGAAGACACCGGAAACGTATCTTCCGGCCTAATATGAGCGAGGTCTGGGCACATTTCACTTCGTTGCTTCTTTGGCGGGCAACATGTAAGCGATCGAGCTTTTCCTTACACTGAAACATGGCTTCTAAAGCATCCTACAGACCTGTAGTCAAGAGAAGTTCATCGGAGCTGATTGACGTCTTAGATAGTTCGGAAACCAGCGCTGCAGGTAAGTGTTGTGATTTCGCTTTCGAGAGTTGGATATCAACGACCTCGATGGAGGTGGAGCAGGATCAGACAAGGCTTGTCCTTCATTTGTTTAGAGTTCACAAGTAGAACTGAGAAAACGTTTATACTATATCAATATATTTGATCAGTTTCAACCATTTAAAAACAAATTAAGTGCATTCCTGTCCGATCGATAGCAAAAAGGTTTGAATTATTTTGAATAAATTGTTTTCCAAAGGCCATTTGATCGCGGTTGCAATTTCTATGTTTTCTTTCGCCGGTGATGTCTTCTAAGGTCTTGCCTTTACGTTTGAAGCGGGTTACTTAGCTTTACCTGTGATCTTATCGAACATTTGAAGCCATTTAAAAACACCTGGAGCAACATAAACACAAAATCGTCGGGTGATCTTCTCAAAACCGGAAGAATGCGAACAGCTGAAAATAGCCCACAATGCGCAAGCGCGTCTCTGTCAAGCTCTGAATTTTAGGTGGATTCTGGAGGCGAACAAATGTGTATTTGTTTTTTTGAGGAAATGCTTCTCTCAGTTGAAAATCTTTATGCTGGCCAGGGGTGTTAGTGATCTGGTCGTCGAAGTATGGCAGAAGGTTTCAAATTGACGGCGTCAGGTTCGAAAAACGATGGAAATAATGGTTGGTATACAATTCGTTGAAATTGAAAATGGGGAAATTTAAGTTAAAACATGAAACACCCTTGTCAAACTCGAATATAAATCGTGTTAATTGATATTCTTTCTAGGAATTGAATTGCCTATACGCGTTTTCAGGTCTTGAAAATGCTTTACCTTTGATATATCTCAGTATCATTCGATAGGTTTCTCGTTTGAAGAAAATCTATTATTGTTGGATTTATATAAAATCATTTGCATTGATTTCAAATCTGCCAAAGGCCTCCAAACCCCTTGGTTGATAAGAAAATTTAGTATTTTTTCCGTGAGTGCTCGACCCAGCTATGTTTCGTTTTGAAGCAGAAGTGACAAATTGATTTTGGATGAAAATAAACTGATATAACTTCTTTTGAGTCGAGTTCACGACAGGTGTAACGCACCGAGGCCAAAGAAAAATTCATCAGCTGTAAGCATGTTTAAAAACAGTAGGCCTCCGTTTATAACGCGGTCTCCAATCGTTTTATCTCCTGGTACATATATAATTTCACATTTTGAACATTTACAGTCTTATAACACTGATGCTGGTTCTGCTTCATTTGTTATCCTAAACATTTAGAAGCTTAGACATCTTAATGCACATATATATTTTTTTAAACTCTTCCTTAACACTTTCTCCTTCAAAATAGGGCTTTAGTTTTTTTCCCCTTCTGGTGAAATATTATTTCTGATAAAATAAACCTCTAAATTGTGTTTGGTAAAAAAAAAAACAGCATTAAGCTTGTTTTTAGAGTTATCCTGATTTAAGTGGTGTTGAGGCACCCATCGAAAAACCAATGTCACAGTTGTAAGAAAGTCTTTCTGTGTCATTTGATCTTAGCCTACCAAGGCTAAGTAAAGCTTTGGTTGGGAACTGAAAGAGGCTCAAGTTATCAGGAGTTTGAATTATTTGGAGTAGGCAGCAAAAATTGGCAGATAAATTAAGTTTTGTTACTTTCTGTAGGTAATTGAATTTATTTGCAGTATAGAAAATGGTTGAGTGAAAATGAAACATTTTGAGGAAGGATTTAACAGGCAACAAAGCTTTATAAAGATACATTGCTTTGTAATTGAATGATACTGAACCAGTGGAACCTGACTTGACATGCTTTGAAAAATGCCAAATAGATACATGACTGCTTAGAAATAATTCTCAATTTCTTGTCTTGACCTGTTACACAGTTATAGTCATAGTCTAAATAAAACTGTTCAGAGTAGGAACAAAGCAACTTATTAGGTATGGGTAGATTCAAGTTGTTGAGTATTGTTTTACCAAGGGTGAAATTTAGATGGAGATTGGAGAGGAAGTTGTTTGAGTTTAGGCCTCCTTTGTAAAAAATGATGTTGGTTTTGGAGTGCCAGTACTAAAATCATGCAAGATACCATTGACCTGAGGATCACTTCTTGTCATGGGTAACACTTTTTTGCTGCTGTGTACAAGTTTATTATTTCACCACTTTTATTTAATATTTTAGGTTAAATTAATATTCAAGATGCAATTTTCTTGAAATGAAATTCAGACAGTGACAGGTATTGAATTGCTAGATTACTTACAAAGTCATCTATCAGCCCAATTTGTGATCTGGCTCAATTAAAGTTCTTCTTTTGATTTTTCTGTTCAAAACTGTTGGTTTTGATCATAACAGAATTATTTCATGTTTTAAATCATAATAAATTATTTGTTTATAAAACCTCATGGTAGATGTGCTGTTTGGTCAGGAAATGCAGACACAGTAAAATCAATCAACATGTGGTCAAGACATTAACTTTACATAGCTTACTGCAACAATTTCAGTAAATTAAATACCAAGGCTTTTTTTCCTGCATTGCATTTTATGTCAACATAGTCTGTGGTATTGAGCCTAGTATTGTGTTCAGCTTTCCTTAGCTTTCTGTTTCATTAGCTTCCACTAAAACAACATTTGTTTCATATTAAAATTCAGGGGGTCAGTTTGACATCAGTTGTCATGGATATTTTATAGCATTAAAAGAAATTTAATTTCTTGTAAATTTTTAAACTGTGAAGACTCTCCACCCAAATTATTTACTATATTGGTTTGTTGTTTTTGAAAAAGTGTGGTCCTATACACATGACTCTTCTTCCATCAATAATTTTATTCCACAAGGTCTTAAAGAAATGTTGATCAAAGGGATAAAAAAGAGCTTATTGCTCTGAAATATGGAGAAACTGAAAAATTATAATATTTAAACTTAGCATTGACGTGTGATTTAATTTTAATTAAAAGTTAATTTTTTGCATAACCATTTGATTTTGATTTCAGACTTTCTTTGCTGCATTGTAAATGATTTTATATTTGTGATTATAAAAATCATGGAGTAGGGAAGAAGCTTTTTTCTTATTTAAATAACTTCTTTTTTATTTATTCATCTAAGAATTTTATGCATTCAAATTTTGAATCAATTAAGTTTTCTGTCTATACTTATGTGCATGTACCTTAATTTAAATGATTAAATGCTGACATTCATGGCCATTTCCACCTAAGTGTCGTTAGCGTGAGAAAACGATAATTCCAAACAGATTTATGACTTAACATTTTCTTGTTTTCTCTCTGAGCCCTGATCATTAAGTGTTAAGTCAAAAGTAAACTTGTGTAAGCAAAGTTTGTTTTTGTGTGGGTAGTTTTCCTTTGTCTGAAAATTTATATATTTTAACTTGCTGCCTCTGGTAAGATGTTTTAAACTTTTGTGTGGTAAAAGAAAATTTATCAAAACTGCTGGCCTTAAATAGTCACTGAAAAATAATTGAATTTTATAACAGTTATAGGTAATAATGAAGTTTTGGTTAGAATTTTTTTATATTTACTAGGTAAATAAATGAAAACGTATTTCCTCCTTGTAGATTTTATTTTTTCCCCACAAAGTGAAACAAGATCAACCAGAGTTAAATTATTTTGATTTTTTTTTTTTTAAGGTAAACTGTTATGAGCAGTGTTTATGAAAGAGTTGTTGCCTCTCTTTCAATTTTGATTTTCCAAACAAAATGCAGCTTTTATTACAACATTGTTACTCCTAAAAGCTGTGACAACAGTACACAAATGTATATAACACAAATTCTGTTCTCTGTTAATTTAACAGGTAACAGTTCCTCTGAAATTAGTAACATTAGTTAAGAGTAAAAAACAAACTTTCATTAGCTGCCTACTCAGCAGGTTTTGCCTTTTAACTTCAAAACTTACTGAAACCCCTCTAATGCCCAAAAATTACAAGTCCCATTTTGTGCTTGATTTCAAAACAATGAATTGTGTGGTCACACAGAATTGTTGGTCAGCAGCACTTATTAGTATTTAATTAGAGTCGTGATTATTCAGATTGTTTCTCATTAAATTATTCACATTTTTGTCTATTTTTACAGATAATTATGGATCTCTTAAAAATGATGTTACTGATGGTTCAGAAGCAGAGAGAGTTATCATCATTAATAAACCACAAACTCAGCAGTTTTGCAACAACAAGATTAGGTTTGTTTCTTAAATATATACAATAATTATAATAAATACATGAAATGTATGGTTTTGTTTATTATCAAGCAGAGGTTCATTGTGTGAGACAGTTGTGAATTAAACTGAAATTACAAATGAATTTAAAAGTTGAATTGTATCAGAATTATATTGTATTATTGATTAATAATTGAATTGTTTATTTTTTTAGTTATCTATTGATTTCATCAATATTTTATTGGTTTGCTACTAAAAACAAAGATCTTGCATGTTTCATGCCTTGAAAAAATTACATGCTTGTGATTGGCTGAAAACAAGTTTATTCTCATGTTACACAAGTGCAAAGTCGTAATAGAAGTGCAAAGTTACAAATTAGTACGCACACACTTTCAAAAGTTTGTCTCTCTTGACTTTCTGTGATGTTTTTTCATGTACATTATTAACAAAATAATATAATTTCAAGTGCAGTTTGGTGTAATAAGTACTTGTAAATTTTTCAAAGACTTCAAATTGCGCTTGCCCTATGGGCTTGTGCAATTTTTTTGTCTTTGAAAAATTTACTCATGTACAAATATACGTGTATTCGTGTGTTTAAGAAATTCTGAAAGTAGCAACTACTCAAAATCCAACCTTTCTTAAAGCCACCGTTTGGCAACCTTAAATCATAAATGCCTGCCAGAAAAAAAAACAAAGTTTAGTTGCCAATGAAGAAAAAAAAGGAAAAGGAGAGCTTGTGCCAAAGTACATGACATGTTATAGAACTCTAAGAAATTTAGAAAACAATTTACATATATCAATGTCAGCAAAGGAGAATGAAAGAAAATATTATGAAAGACAATGATGGAACACAGATTATACTTACTGGTATATCCAGTTGGAACATTTGACCCTGACCTTGAGGGCTAATTTATGAAAACATTAAGAATTTTCTTCAGGTCTTCCATGTTCATGACAAAACAAACAATCTCTTTATTCAATGACCATGGACAATATTTTGTTGTATTTTATTATCACCAGCAATATATATTTTCATTTTACAGCACTGCCAAGTACAACTTCTTGACATTTCTTCCCAAGTTTCTCCTTGAACAGTTTAGTCGATATTCCAATGTTTTCTTCTTGTTTATTGCACTTTTGCAGGTGAGTGAAAGTACAAACGTTTACTATAGGGCAGTAGATTTTCTACATTCTATACTCCATTACAACTTAGGGGCCAAATAAACATGGGGTGGGTGTCCGAAAAAAGTTTTAATGAATGTCAGCACAATTATCACAACTCATGCGTTGATTAAGTCTATTGTAAAACAAATCTGTTTTCCCAATGGAAATGTATTGTTTTTGTCATTGTTTTCTCTATTCAAGAACTGAATGCATAATGTAGTATGGGGCCGTGCGGAAATTTTACCCATGCGTTTCCTTCAATACCCGGTGAAAGATCTTAATTACCTTTACTCTGTAACTTACACAGTCTGGTCCTCTTTATTCCTGGAAAAATGTAACATTCATTTGATAAATAGATTGAGTAATTACCAATAGTTATTTCTAGGAGTAAATATGATGATCTTCACTTTGAATTCATGGTGTTTATCTTTTCATTAAATATTCTCCATCCTTGGGCCAAGTGATTGAATCGAAATAGAAATATAAGACCATGGGAAATTAATTTCTTCTCCAAAGAAAATAAATTGATTTTGATATTAAATGGTTTCAGCAAATAGATGATGTGTCTCCAACTGGGCGTTATACCACAGCTGTTCCTCTTCTCTTTGTTCTTTCTTGCTCTGCTGTAAAAGAGATCATAGAAGACTATGTAAGTTGCTTTTTTTAATATATATAAAATTGGATGAAGGATAGTTTTTTTTTTTTAACGTGATCAATAATTATTTTTCTCACAGAAAAGACATCAAGCGGATGACCAGGTTAACAATCGTAGGGTTAAAGGTAACTATTAATTCACAAAGAAATTTGACAGCTTCATCAACATGTACCATACTTAACATTGACAAAAGTAGTCCTAATTTTTTTACAAGACAGTATATTGTATTAGGAATAGATCCTCATACCTACAAGTATTACATTTTCCAAATCTTAAAGTATGCAAGACACTTGACTGCCAAATGTTAATCTGGAGCTTGATTTATCATGGGTTACTCCTGATTTTTTTTCCCATTTTTTTGAACACTAGTTAATTTACAGCATCTTCCTTCTTTGATTGCCTTGCACAAAGTTAGCCAACTTTATTGTGATGCACTCAATTTTTTTGTCTTCTAGTTCTTAGAGATAATACCATGCAGTCGTTACTATGGACTGAGGTGAGAGTTAAACCATAGACACTATAAATGACTACAGGTTAGTATCAGAGTATTCACTTGCTTTTTGTTAAATGAGAATCTTGTTATTTTTTTCAGGTTCAAGTTGGGGATATAGTGAAGGTGGTCAATGGACAATTTTTTCCAGCAGACCTTATACTAGTTTCATCAAGGTGAAGTTTTTTTTGGTTGGTTAACTGAAGGGAACTACCAGCTTTTATTTGTTAATCATTTGATGTAAACATTTGTAGGTCAGTCAATCAGCATGTCTGTCTGTCAGTCAATCTGTCGGCAGTTGTTCAGTCAGCCAGCCAGTAAGTCAGTCAGTCAATTTGTCCGTCCGTCCGTCTGTTGGTCCATCAGTCAGTTGCAATCAGTGAGTCAGCTAGCCCTTTGATGCTTGAGGCTTTCATTCTTTTATGGAAATAGAGTGATACATTATCACAAGTGTTGTTTGGTGCATTGTTTTGATTTCTTTCCTTTGCAGTGAGCCAATGGGAATGTGTTACATAGAAACATCAAATCTTGATGGAGAGACTAACTTAAAAATCAGACAGGTTAGCAAATGATCCCATTACTAATTATTATTAATCAGGCAATATGATTTGTAATCAGATAAAATGATATATATTTGATAGATTAATAATTTATGAATTCTAATAAGGAATTTGTGCTTCAAGTTTTGTTAGTAGCAGATCTGCTCATTACAGATATTTTAATATTAAAACATCACCTGTACATGAAACATTTTCTTACTGATAGCAAACTTTATTACATTTTTTGTACAGGCCTTACCCCTTACTGCAAAAATGACATCACTTCTAGAGATTCGTTGTATGCAAGTATGTGGATTTGTGGTGCAAAATGTTGGTTTGTCTGATTTTACTTTTGAGAAATGAATGAATGTGTTTAACAGTGACAAATTTGTTGTTAGGGACGTGTGGAGTGTGAAGGACCAAATAATCGACTTTACGACTTTGTTGGAAATATCACTCTTCAAACTCAAAAGTAAATATACTGATTAGAAACTTTGTTCTATTTATAACTAACTATAGTAGTTGATGTTGTATATAACCTATCATGAGTGTGCATCAAGATAGGCTGCCCCTTTTGTAATTTGTCTTTTAAGGCGCAAATTTACTCAAAGGAAGTATTTTTCTTAGTGAGACTTAATTTCATGATTTGGGGTGATGATAATCTCAAAATGGAAGTGGTAATTAATAAATGTCACCTTTTTTTTTTTTTTAGATCAAAACCAGTTGGTCCAGAGCAAATCTTGCTAAGAGGAGCAAATTTAAGGAACACACAGTGGGTATTTGGTGAGTTCTGAACAATTGAGTTATACCTAATTACAGTGAAATTGTCAAAGAAAAAAGCACAAAGCTAAAATGAAAAAGGCAAGCAAGAATTAATCAACATTATCAGTTACCTTCTTATGATCTTAAAAAAGAGTTGGAAAAGTCAGAAGAAAAATTAATGATATTATTTTATTTGATTATATTTATTTTTATTTATTACAGTCTGTTTATAAAATGTTATTGTTATTATTACAATAACCCATTACTTGTGATCTTTTTAGGTCTAGTTGTCTATACCGGACATGACTCAAAACTTATGCAGGTGATGTCATTAATATGTCATTATTGATTGAGTGAGGGGACTGGACTGTAAAATATTTGGCTCATGGTCATGATATATGGGCCAAGTGCACTGAGGTCCATACTTCTTGACAGAGAGCCAAATGTATTCCTGTCTAGCCCAACCTAACTCAGTCAGCAAGCATGTTATCTTGTGACTGCTGGTCTATCTATTTCCTCCTTTATTCTTGTGTCTCACAAGGCTGGCACTGTGTATGCCATCTTTTGCAGCCTTTGAACAGGGTTTTTTCTGTGTTGTGTCTTGACAAAAGCACACACATAACTGTATTGTACATCTGACAATTTATGATAATATTTTGGTAGCTTTATTGCTAAACAAAAATGGAAGAAATTAAATTATTGTTAAAGTAAAATATTAAGCAGTTCTTGTTACACACAATTTGGTGATATCTCTGATGTAGACCATGAGTTGATGATTCTGTGATACAGTTTTTAAGAACCTTGGTTGAATTTTTTAATAAAGGTGCATTCCTGATGCATGGCAACTTTTCTCTTGTTTTTCAGAACTCCACAGCTGCTCCCATCAAGAGGTCAAATGTAGATCACACTACCAACATTCAAATCTTATTCTTGTTTGGGCTGCTTCTTGTCCTGGCTCTTTGCAGTACTATTGGGTTTAAGATTTGGACAGGTTGGTGCATTTGTGATATTACTGTTGTCACTGTTCTTCATTAGTTTGTAGTCAAATTTACACAGGCTTTCCTTTGAACTTCTGGGAGAGGCTATGGCCAAACAGATAGCACAATGGACTCTAGACAAGAAAACTGGGTTCAGACCTGCTGGGGTCATTGTGTTGTGTTCTTTGTCAAGACACTTCACTCTCAGGGAGTTTCTTCACCTTGGAGTAGTAAACTGTCTGGGATGCCTGATGGAATGCTTACGGGTAATCTGTGATGGACTGGCATCCCATCAAGGTTAGGGGGGGTGGGTATAGCAGAACTCTCAGTGGCTTCATGCTACAGAAACCTGGATAAGCTCTAGCTGGATGTAGAGAGTTTACATTTTTTTACCCTCTGGTCTCTTTGTGGTTAAATTTTCTTCACACACTGACTGTGCGCTTGTCTTACTTAGGCTGTACACTGTTCAGTAAAATTCAATATTTGTGAACCTTTATTTTTCAGATAACCATCGGGACACTGATTGGTACCTGGGATATTCTGGTAAATAAAGCATGATAGTATGTAATCAGAAGGTCATGTAGATAGAGGGCTGAAATAGTGATGCTGGCAAAAGAGTAGGTGAATTGGGGTGGGGTGGGGGGTGGAGGTTGTTAGAGAAACCTGATGAAAAGTTGGGAGGTAAAATACCAAAAAATTCCACCAGGCCAACTATGAATCCTTTAACCCCTAAAGTGACTAGCATCTCATTTTTCCCTATGATATCACCCCTGAATCATACATTAAGGTCATGAGCACAATGGAAATGGTCACCAACCAAAGAAGCCTATGATTGTTTAACAAATTCTCCTTGTCAGCACCTAAAGAAATGTATGGAGAACAGTATGGAGAATATGCATAATGATGTTCGGATGTACAAAGGGTTACGAGCAAAATAAAGGCAATAAACATTCGCAAAATTCCTAACACCATGTGAACTGTTTACACATTGGTAATCCACTAACACGTGCCCACATCTGGGTACACGTGGACACAATGTAGGGGGATGTAGCAGTATCATGAGTGGTTTCGTTCAACAGAGACTGGGATAAACTGCAGACGATCTTTTTTTCTTTACTTTTTGATCGCTAAAAAACATTTTCCTCAGCATGACAAAAACTTTTTTTCTAGGTAAAAAAGCCCAGAATCTTGGCATGTCCTTCTTGACGTTCATCATTCTGTTCAATAATCTGATCCCTATCAGCTTGACAGTTACACTTGAGGTACAGTCCAATGATAAAAACAGCATTTCTCATTACTAGGTAATACGGTTTTATGGTGCTATTGCTACCGACAACTTACCGACTAATCACCGACTGATTACCGACAGATTACCGACTGTCAGCACTTTGTTGGCCACTCGGTGGCCAACACCTAGGCTGAAAACTTTTGGCAGGTTTTTCGGGAAGTTTTCTTCCCAATAGCCCATTATTGAATGTTACTCCGCTACACGGTCACAAATTGTTTTAACTTAATTTTTTTTGGTTTATACAGGTTGTGAAGTTCATACAAGCCATCTTCATAAATCTAGTATGTACTTTTGCTTTTAATTCATTTTTTCTTGCTCTAAAAGATACAAGGCTATCAGCTGCATTATATGCACTATCTAAACGGCCACGCATCCAAACACAGCTCGATAAGTTAGTGAACAAGTGCGTACATCGAAGTGTCTCCAAACAAGATACATTTCATGTAAACTGACACAACACGTCACCTTAGTTCCTTCTTCGGAGATGTTCAATTGAACTGTTCATTTCTTTTGTCACAGGATATTGACATGTACTATGATGAGACAGATACACCAGCAATGGCAAGAACTTCCAATCTGAACGAAGAGTTAGGGCAGGTTGGTTCTTATTGACACCTAATATGTATTCCTACGAACCATACATGTACTTAAAATATCGTCACAGGGTGATAGGTTATTTGAAGAGCTTAAAAGGGGTAAGTTTCTGAAGAAACCGTTGTGCTGCGTTGGTGGGAGAGTATAACAGGGTAATTTGTACGATCAACTGGAGTTGATAACGTAAATTGGCCACCGTAAAGAGTTTTAAAGCTGACGTTTCAAGCGTGAGCCCTTTTTCTTAGCTTGTCGATTGGCAATTATTTAATAAGCTGAATTATTATAATATGTTGAGTTGTTGGAGGAGACACATAGACGACGTTACTATCAAAACTTTTGCTTCTTTATTATATAAAATAAAAAAGAATCCATGTTGCCGTGGGTCTGCACAATAATAGATCACAGAAGATGTAGAAATGTGGTGAGAACATCAGTGACTCACCAGGCGCATTGTTCTTATCAGACCGTCAAAGGCTTTGACGTTTTCTGTGATCTGCTACTGAACATGGAAACTTTTTCTTAATATGATAATATGGGTCCTTAACAAACGCTGAGCTTGTGCAGGAGGTACGAAAGATGACAGTTTTCCGCTTCTTGAAAATACTGCATACTCCCCTGCTATCATTTCGTTAGACTTAAAAAACGCTCCGATGACTGGCAGTCCTGACGAAGGCTTACAGCATGAAGGCCCTATATTGTCACCGAGGCACAAACCTGACTGAGTTAGTTTCAAGTCGTCGTTTGAGTTTGAGGTACTTTTTATTCTCGTATTACACAGGTGAAGTACATTTTCTCAGACAAGACAGGCACGCTAACAAGAAACGTGATGGAGTTTAAGAAATGTTCCATTGGAGGAATCAGTTACAGGTAAAAATGATAGATTATCAGCAATGCATGCTGTTGAATACCAACAATGAAACCCGCGATGGCAAGATATCTTTGCCCGAGATCGACCTCTTAGGAAAGATATGACTTAAAATGTTCCGCTGAACAGTAAGTGATTTTTAGCCTTAACACCGAAGTTTAGAACAAAATGCGGCAAATAAATGTGTGAACGATCGATTCGGGTCATTTTGGGGGGAGTAGCTGGAAGCCATACAATTATGGGGATTGGAAACTCCGATCTCTGTTGCTATGGATGACAAGCTACAGACTTTAGGAAGTAAAATCGGTGTGTTCTTTGTCACATACTTGATGTTTTGTTTTCTTTGTTCATGTCAGTGGTGGAAGAGAAACGTTCATGGATCCAGCTCTGCTAGATAATCTTAGAGAACACCATGTAAGTATATTGAGCAGCTACATACATAGTTAATTATCACATAATTGATGTACAATTTAACCCAGCTAACTCAAACCCCCAAGGGAAACAAAAAATGTTAGCGGGGATTAGAGTTAGCTGATAGTAAATGACTGAAGACATGGGCTCAAGGGAAATCGGATCTTGTTCGAGTTACAGGGGGTTCGAGTTAACCAAATGCGAGGTAGCGGAGTCCTTTAGTAGTTTCCAATTCATGATTGAAAGTGATCCATGATTTTTGCTTAACTTCGCGCTGTGATTGATGCAGAGCGCTCAACCAATCATCCACAAGACTACAACCAATCAAAATTTCGTCACACTCGATCCTCATCGATTCATAGAGTCTCCTTGTTTTAACCCCTTAACTCCCAAGATCTGATTGTTAATTCTCCTCTCTAGCGGTTACACTTTTCCTAGTAAATTAGTGACGAGAATTCGGTGTTAGATCAAGATGACAACTTTGACATGATAAGTCTGAGTATTCTCGTTACCTGTGTGCTTAATAATGTATATATATTATAAGGAGAAGTTTCATGTTAATCACTTCTGGGAGTCAAAGGATTAACTTCGAATTCCCACTGACTCCTGTGAAATTAGTTTTAGTTTTACGAATAGCGAACCAAATGCACTCTGAGTCAAATGTTTTTGTGATGGCTACTTAATAAATATCGAAAAAGCGGACTTTTCTATGCGCATTCAGATGAAGCTCTACTAACAATTTTCAAGGTTGTATTAATTGTATTTTTATAGCCGACAGCTTCTGTGATTCGAGAGTTTTTGACGTTATTAGCCGTATGCCATACAGTTGTTCCGGAAAGAGAACCAGGAAATCCTGATAAGATTGTTTATCAAGCCGCCTCTCCAGGTACAGCGAATTCTGCTTTACACTGAGTCACCTCAAATGAAGCGTGTAATCATTTTATTCAACATGGATTTGAATAACACTTTCTGACAGAGTTTTGAGTCAAATTAATGACATTTTGTCAGGCCAGTTTCTAGTGCATGCATTGATTCGTTATGCGACATTTTGTTGTTTGTCGAACTTCTGTTATTGTCCATGGATCATCTGCAGGCTATCAGTAGATTTTTGGCGACGGTCGGTAGAGTATAGCCGATGATGAGGATCAGATAGAAACACTGATTAAGAAAGGATAGTCAGTTGATTAGAGACTTTTATATTAAACATAACAGAGTTAACCAGAATTTATTTTTGTTTGGTCTCGATTTAAAATTGAGTTCTTTATATTTTTAGATGAAGGTGCTCTGGTGAAGGGAGCTAAGAAACTAGGCTTCTCGTTCAACGTCAGGACTCCTACATCAGTGATTATCAACGCGGTACGTAAGGCACTATAACAGACTACCAATGTATTCTCTGAGGCACTATAGCTGACTACCAATGTATTCTCTGAGGAGAGAGTTCTTGAAAAATTCCTGAACGGATTCACGGCATGGCTCTAGAAACCCATCCCTTATTTTAGATCACAATGAATGGTTTCAGACCTGACGAATGTGAAAAACATTGCGTCGCCAAAGGGCATTCTTAAGTCTAGGCCGCGTTTGGAAAGAGTATTCAGAACCTGACCCAATGTCCTTCCCAAAGGGTCAAAAGCCACACCCTTTAGGGGCGTATATACCTACTAGGCTAATTATGGCCTCAGCATTGGAGTACCACCCTTCTTGGAATGAGGTACAACCCATTGTCATGAAGCCTTTATATTATTAGATGTAGTTTCTTCACACTGCTTCGATCCTAAGCGTTACAAATTCGATTATAGCTGCAATCTTTAACATTAGAGCACCCGCCCTTTCCCCCATTCCTGGGATGAGTTAAAACCATTGTCAGTAAGCCCTTATATTACCAGAAATAGTTTCTTCATACTGCTTCAATCCTGGGCGTTACAATTGCGATTATAGCTGTAACTTGTGTTTTCTTCTTGACACAGATGGGCCAGGAAGAGGTGTATGAAGTCCTAAATGTGTTAGAATTTAACAGGTAAATGTGAATCTTTTAAAAACTTTGTAAGTGTCTGACATTGTTAGAATGAATTCATGGATCGTAGATCAATTCTTGTCGCACGATTGACGATTTAGGCGACGAAAATGGAATGGAGAATAGCAGTTTAAGAAAATTATTGAATACGATGTTCACAATTATTGTACTGAGGCCATTTGAGGTATTTATCAAGTTGGCGGGGATGGAGATAGAAATATGAAACTCCAACTAACATCAAGAGAAGATAGAGTGTCCTCTCTCGCTAACATGTAATATCCGTTGTCTGAATTATACACCCTAATTTTCCTTTGAACCGGGGAACAAAAGCTTGCAATCTTCAAATTACTTCTTCATATAATACCTTTCTTTGCTCGGGCTCCAAGCTCAATTTTTAAGATGTCGCCTTTTGGCGACCTTCACTTGTGAAAATGTTCTTCATTTCGACTTTTGTCGAAATGTTAGTCGCCAAATAGATTTTTTATACTCGCCATGGTGACCAAAATGGTCGCAGCTTGTAATCAACTGTTTTAAATTTGCCAATAGAGAAGCTGATGAAATAAATGAAAATTAGATAACATCATTTTTTGCCTTAGTCAACGTTGTATTTTATTTCATCTTTAGCACTCGTAAGAGGATGTCTGTAATTGTTCGAACTCCAGAAGGAAAAATCAAGTTGTACTGCAAGGGAGCTGTAAGTTTTATTTCAATATTCTTCCAGCTTTGATTTTCTGTTAGGTTCAATTCATATCTATATTTCATAATGATGTTCATTTGATTAAAGTTGAATATCTACTAGTTAATTACGAAACATTTATGTGTCATTTTGTTTAAAAGGATACAGTAATCTTCGAGAGATTGCAAGACAAACAGATGTACATGGATAGCACTGTAGAGCACTTGGAGGACTTCGCTAAAGAAGGTAAGTTGATCAAAAACTGCAGCATTCAGTGGGTTAAATCTTCGTTGTGTGCCCGGACATTTCCGATTTTTCCGACCAATCATACGGTAAACGCTGTTAGTCAGATTTTCATTATTACAGATGAAATATTAGCCACTTAAGCACAAGAAAAGCTGAACTATTTATTGCACTCTTGCCTGATTTAATTCCTGTATTGCGGTGGTTTTTTTTCTTGAGCAAGAGACGGCTTAAAACTGTTCTTTCCTATTACGCTTGTGTTTCGCATTTTCCTAGCTATTACGGCTAGATTTAAATACTTGAATGTCACTGCCGAAAAAAACAGTCTCTTAACCTGAAAAAATTGTCTGAAATCAGAAGTATACAACCTTCTCCCCCGCCAGGCTATATGCTTCTGTGCATCTGCCAGAAAGTTAAAAATACTTAACTTAAAAATACCCTTTCAAGCTGGAAGTTTGTGGATTTGCGTATCTCTTTTTGGCAAGTTTACTTCTATTTAGGTAAAATTTTATATGATGCTAAGTGTAACATGAAATACAGTGAATTGTGGTTCCTGTGAGACATCTCGATGCAGGAAACCCTTTTACGCCTCTTGCTCCAAATATGGTATAAGCCTATTGCCTCAACGCGCTTGCGCTATGGAGACTTGTGAAATTGATATCCTAGTAACGACTAGTTGTGTGTAATTTTCCATCCCAGGTCTACGCACTCTTTGCATAGCAATGGCTGAGCTGGAGCCTGAGGAGTTCCAGCGGTGGAGTGATATCTATTACAAAGCTTCCACAAGCTTGGAAAACAGAGAAAAGAACGTGGATGACGCTGCTGAACTTATCGAGAAGGTTGACCAAACATTTTTTGCTTCGATTCCACGCATATGACAAAGTGAACTGGGCGTCTCTCTTGTAAGAATTCTAAACTAGTTACCTTGTGCTGCTTTGATCTGTCTGATGTTCCTGATTGGTTGATACACTCTAACCCTAAGCAAAATCAGGGACCAATCAGGGACCGATCTCTGTACAGCTTACGTCATTGCAGTAGAAGGCTTTTAGGTCAAATTTGCTCGTGATAAATTTTCCTTACGACCAAGTATCTTATTAATGTATTTTTGTTTTTAAACAGAATTTGTTCCTGTTAGGCGCCACGGCCATTGAAGATAAGCTTCAAGAGGTAAGTTTTAATACAGTGCCTTGTCGCAAGATATGACTGGCTATTTTATGATCTTACTGCGTCCTAGGAAGGAATTATCGGTTGCTGTACTTCTAGTAATGGGTCTTTTTAAATCAAAATTCAAGGTTAATGTTGTCTGTCAAGGTTCGAAAGTACAGAACACTCAAAACTAACGTCCTCCAAAAGTTGCAACCTAGATAATTCCTATTGTCGTCTTGTTGATAAAACAAACTTATCTTCTTTTTGAATTACTCTGCAACAAAGTACTAGTTTACTTAAAACGGTTCTTATTCTTGATAAATCTGTTTATGCTTTAACTTTTTGCGGTAATTTTTTTTATACGATGAAGTTGTTGTTAAATGAAAGCAACAACACCACGCTTTCAAATCCAAGTGACCAAGGTCTCCACTTTCAGAAATTTATGGATTGATAACACAGAAACGGACGAGAAAATTACCTTTAAGAAAAGGGTGTATTCGTTTTAATCTTGTTTTGTTCATTTGTTTTTAGGGTGTCCCAGAAAGCATTGCTGCCCTAGCGGATGCCGACATTAAGATTTGGGTTCTCACTGGTGACAAGCAAGAAACTGCCATCAACATTGGTAATATTCATCATCATACTCCGTAATTTTCCTTGGAATTTAAGCTAGATAAGGTGACAAAAAAGAGTAGCCATGAGTTCTTTCCAAATCCTTGGCTCCTTTAGACTCTTAAAGGGGTCACGGGTTTAAGAACTGATTTCATGAGTTTTCACTCGAGTAGTATTACATCTTTCAAGGTTAGATCTAGCGAGAACACAAGGGCAGAGACCTAAGGCAGTAAAGAAAGTGGTAAGGACTCAAGTTTTTTTTCAAGCTTTGGGGCCATGATAAACGCCTATGGCCACAAAATCTTAAAAAAAAATACACGGGTCCGTACCCACCCTGAATAACATGGTACGTTTAGTTTACATTAATAAAAATTGGGGATCCCTACTTATTTCTTGACGTGTCTGCGCCCGCTAAGAGAGCCGTGTAAAAACGCCTTTTAAGGTCAAGCAACAGTATACTTGCAGAAATAGTATTTGCTTATTATCCTTCTATTTACAGTTTTTTTCCTTTTTTTCAGGTTACGCTTGCCGTTTGCTGACTCCGGAGATGAAGCTGTTAATCTGTGGCGAAGAGACACTGGATGTGAGTAGTTTTTGATGTGCAGAGGAATCATGTCATCTTTTTATCATCATTCTAAAGTGTGGAGAGAGAACGCCATTTGCTACAGTATGAACTAAATACGAAGAGGGTGGGTACTACCAGCCCACCCCTGGTGGGGGGGAAGGAGGTGTTAACAATGCATTAAATGTTCGATATTTTGCAATTTTTATAGGGCACGCGTGAGTGGTTGAATGAACATGTCAAATTGGTGGGTCGGAGTGGCTCATCGAGTAAGAGACCGTCTGCCACAAGGGTGCGTTATGATATGACACATTCTTTGAGCTTAAAGTTGTTTTTTAAAAGGTTTGAAATTGGCTATTGACGAGTCGCTCTGTTTTTTTTCTCTTAGGATGATCTTGGACTAATCATAACTGGCAAGGTAAAATGTGCTCATATGATTCTTTCCACTCCTTATCTACCAGCGGGAGGCGAGGGGGCCTGATGATTAGCGTGCTGGACTGCGGGTCGAGAGGTCTGGGTTCAAGACCTGGCCGGTCTGGTCATTGTGTTGTGTTTTTGGGCAAAACACTTTACTTTCACAGTGTTTCTCTCCAACCAGAACCCAGTTGTTCAAAGGATTGATATCTCTATCCGATGGTGAATCACTATACAGCGGATAAGTGTTCACAAAACGTACTGCGCTATCCAGCGGATGGGGTTATCCACACATCGAACAACCGGGGCCAGGAGTATAAATGTGTTCCAGCGAAATGTTAAGGAAGCCTGATGAAATGCTGGGGGGGGGGGGACCTTGCGAGGGACTGGCATCCCATCCAGTGGGGAATAGTAATACTCCTTGCCGCTCCATGTTACATAGAAACCGAGATAAGCTCCCGCTGGATGGGACACTGGACTCAAGTACAGACTTCTCTTTAAAAATTCTTTTAACTTATTCACAAGGACATTTTTGGCAGCTGTGAAACGTTTGGGTTTTCGACTCGACGTTGTAACGTTTTACATACAATTTGATATTCTGTGCTTTTAGACTCTGTTGCATGGATTGTCAGATGAACTCAAGTTGAGTTTCTTGGAGCTGGCTCTCGGTTGTAAAGCTATCATCTGCTGCAGGTTAGAGGAATATTTTATGTTCCCTCCTTGTTCTTGTAACACTAAACCGATATCTAAATTATTAGTTTCGAGGTAGTTCTTCATTGGAGTGTTAAAAGGCAAAACTAAAGCAATATGAACCTCAAATCAGAACAGACACGACGAACCAATGAAAACACTGTAAAGACTCGTAACGAGGTTCAAGCGCGGGAAAGCGCGGGAAACCGCGTGCGACCAGCGTGCGGTTTGGTTTTGATTTACATCTGATTGGATGAGTATTTCGCGCGACTTTATTAACTAATCAAAAACCGTCTTGACCAGGATGTATTTTTTTTACATACAGAGTGTCTCCTCTTCAGAAAGCTCAAGTTGTGCGACTCGTCAAGCAGCACGTAAAGGACGCCATTACTCTTGCTATTGGCGATGGAGCAAATGATGTTGGCATGATTCAGGTAAAAAGTTTTAACTTCTCCGATTTTTTTTTCCGTATTAATGCTTGAATATGGTAAAGTGCATTTCGACTGAGTATCGATTAACCAAAACCAAAGTAATCACGACGACCAATAAATGCAAAGGAACATATCAAAAGGAGCCAATCAGAAATCGAGGTGAAAACAGGCGGGAAAACCCCGCATCTGATTGGTTGAGAGGGTGCCGTGATGAAATCTCGAATTGCTTTCGTCTCTCAATTGGAAATTGCTCTATCAAACAGATTCAAGACCTACTCTTAGCTGAAAGGAAACGATATTTGGAGTTCTGCGGGGGGAATTGCAAGCTCAAACTCTTGGTCGTCACGCAACGCCACGAAATGTAACGCGATTCCTCCCCCTAAAGGCTGATGCAAATCGTTTCTGCTTGTTAATGCATGCGCAGTCTTCTATTTTGTATGTGAGTCCACATTCCTGCGGTCAACTTTGCGCGATAGTAAGCGTTATGTGAAGATATTCTGCGCTATTTAAAATGATTTTCTCAAAAGTATATATGATTCTGTTCCGTAGGCGGCTCATGTTGGTGTAGGTATCAGTGGAGTTGAAGGTCTGCAGGCTGCCAGCGCTTCAGACTACGCCATTGCACAGGTTAGGCAACATTAAGTTAGTGTAGTTAACACTGGTAGCGATAACATATCGAATGTTGATTGGCTCTCATAATTTTTTCAGTTCCGTTACCTGAACAAGTTGTTGTTTGTCCATGGAGCATGGAGTTACCAACGACTAGCCAAACTCATCCTGTACTCTTTCTACAAGAATGTCTGTCTGTATGTGATTGAGGTAAGTCCAGTTAACTCTGATTCTCCAGTCCTCATGACTAAATCTCTCAGAGGAATCGTGCGGACTTTTCATCTCATTTGTGAAGTGTAGGCAAAAGTGCTTTTACCGAGGCTCAATTCATTTCCCCTTTTAATGTCATTCTCTAATACAGACGCTTTCTTCTCTCCTTTCTGTGTCCGCATGACAGGTTTTTGTATACTGGAGCAAACATAAACTTTCCCCAGCAAGCCTTTGTACGAGTATGACCGCGCGTGTTAACTTGAGCGCGGTGTCGTCATACGTACGTCATCGCACGCGAAGTTTCTCGCATATGCGTGCTTGAAGTTGCGTTGACAGATTTGGTGAATTCTTAAAGCCTTTTGTATGAAAGGTTTCAGCTGATATTACCTAATATCTGAGGCATTTTTTCGTAATATGCCATATCTTTTTGTTACAGCTATGGTTTGCACTTGACAATGGATTTTCTGGCCAAATCCTGTTTGACAAGTGGTGTATTGGTATTTACAATGTGGTAAGTTTTTATTTGCTGGAATCCAGACGTGGTTTTCCTGCAGCGAACACTTTAATTTGGATTAAACGTATTGAAAACGTCCTTTGCTCCGCCACCAAATGTCAGCCCATCAGAACTCAACGTCAATACGAGCACCCGACCTCAAGCGCGGGAAAATGCGCCAATTCAAATGACGATTGGATTTAGTTGATTTGCTTGATTGAAAAGGTGGCGTTAGTATTCTTCACCGAGAACAGAGCGATGCTAAGAAAAAAACGATGTAGTTCTAAGTTTGTTTCGACTGTAAATTGAATTTTTCCTGTATGTTTATAACCATTTGCCTTTTAATTGTCTGTTCAATTCAGGTATTCACTTCAGTTCCCCCTTTAGCCATTGGCTTGTTTGATCGGACAGTGACGTCAGAGAGCATGCTCAAATACCCCAAACTGTACAAAGAGTCACAGAATGCCGAGATTTACAATACTAAGGTAACAGACTGCTCAGCGTGTGTTCCATTAGGGAGTATTGTTTTCAGCCAGCGGTTTTTATTGAAGGTGTTGCTTAGTAGCAACAGAAAGTGCGTGTCAACGTTAAGTGCACGGGTAGATGCTCATAAAGTCATTGCATGAGAGAAATCCAAGAGTCTTTGGGTTTTGTGTAGGAGAGAGGTTTTCTTTTTCGAGGAAGTGACAGCGAAAGAAAGTGAATTTAAGTCTGCTTTTGCTTGAAATTGGGCCAAAGTTTTAGCGGTCAAGAATTGCGGTTTCTGTTCATGATTTTTTTTTCTTGCTGCAAAACGATCCAATTGTTGTGTTTTTGTAGGTATTCTGGATGTGGATCGCTGCGTCTGTGTACCATTCCTTGCTGCTGTTTTATCTTCCCTGTTTCATGCTAAGACACGGTGAGTTTTGACTGATGCTACCTCGCTTCTTAGAAGTAAAAAAAAAAGAAAACCAATTTGCTTCCATAGAAAATGATTTCTGTCTGCTACTTTCAAAACAATCTCATGTTGCATTGTTGGACTTTCAGAGGCCCCTTTCAGTGATGGAGTTATTGTAGGCGAATGGTTCCTAGGAAATGTCGTATACACGGTGAGTTTAATTTGGTTTGTTACTCGTCTTATGAGCAAAGAGAGCTTCATGGTAAGGCACCGCAGTGATTCGATTCTCAAACCTGATATCAACTGTGGCTAAATTTAATGATCTTGAGGTAAATATTTTCCTGTGTGGCCCTCCCACTCGGTCAATACGGACATATTGTTGACCTACTGGGCCTTACAGAAAGACACTCAAGTCATTCCTTTTCCCTCCTTAACAGCTAGTCGTCATAACGGTTTGTATAAAAGCTGGAATGGAACTGGACACTTGGAACTGGGTTAGTGGCACAGTTTCTGGTTGTGTTTGTTTTATTTTGCTCTGATATGAATTTATTGGCGTTTCTTACAAATGTTGTCTTAAACTGCAGTTGTGTCACGTGGCCATTTGGGGCAGTATCGCCAGCTGGTTCATATTCCTGTTAATTTACTGTATTCCTGATATCGCTCTGTATATTGCTCCTCACATGATTGGACAGGTATGGAATTGTTTTTTGTCTTCCGGCAACCAATGTAACGATCTAATGTGCGGAAAAAAGGGCTACGTTTCTAAAGTGCTGTGTCGGTAAGGGGTGGGGTATTACAAGATAATTTGGTATAACTGGGGTTGGGGGTGGGGGTATCACAAGATAATTTGGTATAACTAGGGGTGGGGGTGGGGGTATCACAACATAATCTGGTATAACGGGGGGTGGGGGTGGGGGTATCACAAAATAATTTGGTAGAACTAGGGGTGGGGGTATCACAAAATAATTTGGTATAACTAGGGGTGGGGTATCACAAGATAATCTGGTATAACTGGGGGTGGGGTATTACAAGCTAATTTGGTATAACTGAGTTGATATGTCAATTAGCGACTGTAGAGAGTTTTTAAAGCTAGCGTTTCTATTGAATAAGGTCAAACGCTCAAAAGGCCAATTTAAGAAACTATATACGGTGGCCATTATACATCATTCTATATTTGAAATACTTTCAAGCAATATTCTTTTTGGTCTCTGTACGAAATTCTCTTGTGCAAGGATTTAAATGAAAACTGCAGACGAGACTTAAAGTATGGAAACTAATTGTCTTGTCTGTCCACTACTTACTTGTTCCAGGATCGTATGCTGTACTCTTGTATTGTGTTTTGGATTTCTCTTTTCATCATACCGATGATAACACTGCTGCTGGATTTCTTATACAAGATGTAAGCAATTTCTCTGTTCTCCATTTTTTTTTTCTCTTTTTTTTTCAACAACCATGACGAAAACTGTTCTTGTCTCCGCCAATGCGTTACCTTTTTTTTTTGTTGTCTTTAGATTTCGAAGAACATTTTACAAAACTCTGAAAGAAGAAATTCAGGAAGTTGAAGCTGAGCATGTAAGTGCAGAATCTTTTACTTATTTATTCTTCTGTGAATTACACAGAAACTTGAATTGGCTTTAGAGGTGTCAGAGATGCAAAGTAGAAAATGAGAACGTACTTCGCACGCGCTAACTTGGGCTCTCCTCTCGCGTGGTCATTTTGTGGGTGCGTCGCGCGCGTTCAGCTATTTTCCGTACAGGCCAGCACTACAGAGCTTACTTACTTACGATCTCCAGAAGTGGTTAGCTCACGATATAACCACCACGTGATTCGTGTGTTGAATAATGTCTTATTCTCTGGGAGATCCTTTGATAGATATTGAAACACTACTGATAACAATTGAACAGGCACGTTTCTTGTTCTGAGCTTTCGTTTCTTTCCCGTTTTTTTGCAGGGAGATCCAAGTCGTTTAATTATGTCAGATCATGCTATACACACGTAAGTAACTTTGTCCTTTAAACGTTTGACCGGTAAATGAGGAATTCATATTTTGTCCCATGACTTCTCAGAAACCGTAAAGTGTTCTGTGGTCTGCCTCTTGTTAAAACTGTCTTGATATTTCAGTTATGAAATTGCTATTTTTTAGACAAATCTGGTCACGAAATGAAGCGTTTGAGGACAGGAAAGACCGTGGTGCTTCTGCGCGTAAGGAAGTTTATTATCTATCTCTAGTTTTATTTTAGTGCTGGTTTAAATTCCGAAAAGTTTGTAAGTCGACAACGGATCGTACTCTCTGATCTGTTGGCCTCATGTTGTGTTCTTTAAGTCATTTTGAAGAGTGGTCAGTTTCAAACTTCACGCGATCTGATTTTGTTTTTCGTTGTTCTTGTCGTAGTTGGATTTGCCTTTTCTCAAGAAGAGGATGCTCGAGTGGGACAGGTAATTACATATTTTTCTCTTTAAGGGTTACGAATTACGGATCGCGTATTTCGGATCACGGATTACGGATCACAGTTCATGGATTAATGAGTACGGATTACGAATTGCACTATGCACTAGACACGTTTCTATCCAGCGGAGATCGCAGTGCGTTTCGGTAACACTTTTCCACTGGTTAGCGATTTAACCGTTAGACAGCATTATCCGCCCTGGGTCTGGTCTATTGAGCACAGTTTCGAAGTTAATTCAATGTTTCCTTTATCTATTTATTTCAGGCAGAGCTTATTCGTCGTTATGACACCACTCTGAAGAAACCTCGAGGCGACTAAAGCACTCATCCTAATCAACCTCACGTTTGAGAAGTAGAAAATATTAGTGTTATTATTTTTTTCATAAAAAATTTATATATTATTTAGAGGGTATTTCGTACCCATTGTGTTCAAGCAATATCAATGTTTTCGAATGATGGAAATTATCATAATTCTGAATGTAAATTTAGGAAATAAGGAATATTGTTGTATCATATTTTTTTTTTCGTCGAGCAAGGAAAGAAGTTTGTTTTTCCGCCGAATCTCGTCTTTAATGCGGTATAAGATGTTCATAGACCGTCCTTAGTTAAAGTATGTTGCTAGGTAACGTGACCTTACCAATTGACGTAATGCCGACACAAGGCTCGTCCTCAATCTGATTGGACGTTAAGAGTCGGACGGCGTTCGTGTCTTTTGACGGAGATTTCCGATACTAGTGCGTCATAGAAAGCAAGAGATTTTGTGGAAGAAAAAGCACCATTGTAGCCATATGAATTTAAGTTACGCACTCCTACGCGCTGTTTAATACAGTCTTTTTTTCTTTTTTTAATACAGCGTTTATTTTTCTGTATGATAATATTTTTGGAGAATAGTTAAAACTTGCTCAAACGAAAATTAGAGTTGCGGGAACATTAAGACAAGAGTTAGATTCTGTGTGTATTCAATCTAGTTGTGACTTTATTGATCGAAGTTCTTTGACTCGCGAAAGGGGTCTGGGGCGACAAAATTTGACGAAAACCGGGAGAGAAATACGCATCGAGTTCCACGGCACAAATTCATTTAACTGGTGCACTTCCCTTTGATAACATCACTATCAAACAGAAAATAGCGAAACTAGATTTTTTTGGTTTTGTGTTGGTTCTTTTTCTCACGCCCTGAACTGAGTTAGACAGATTTTAGCGAAAGATAGTTGCGACGCATTTGTTGACAACTAAAATCAGCTCCAGTTCTCGTTTGATCCAAGTTTGTGGAATTTTTTTTTGCATTTTATACGTACAGCTGCTAATTTTGTCAAATTAGTTGAGAGCATATACCTGTTTTATGCAATAAGACCAACTGGAGATTACGCCTCATTGAAAGTTTGCCTCTAACGAGTTCGCGCCCCAAACCACCACACTGAGTTAACCACCTAATGGAAAAGAACTGCTTGGCCCCAGACCATCACGCCAACCAAATAAACTTAACATTCAGGCAGGTGTTTATGCATTTGAGTTTAAAAACCGTGGATTCCTTTTTAAGTTGATTGTGGAGCACAGAGATTATAGATTTTTAGGTAAGTCACCCAACTGCATGTGGTCGCAAAGCAAGAAGTTTGGATGATGATCGTGTGGTTCTATGGTTTAATCTGACAGGAAAAACTTTTTGTCGCAAAGAGAATTCAATGAGTGGAAAGACTTAGAGGTGAACTTGTTGTCTTTGAAAGGGCGAACTCGTCGTAATGGAAGCGAACTTGCAGTAGGGCGAAACCTTCCCTTAGCTCATCATTTGGTATAAAGCATAAAAATGATATGCGAATAGTTTTGTTACATGAGGCATGGCTGTAAACTGGCTTCCTTTCCTGTCTTTAAACACTTTTAGAACTGTGTTTCCGTTTTTTCACATACAAATGGTCGATCAAAATCGAAATGTTTTCTCATTACCGAGAAGGAAATTAGCCCTTAAAATGTTATTTAAAATAAATCGAAAAAACTATTTAATTCTTTATAATTCTTTACAATCAAAAAAGTTAAAGATTTCAAACTTTGCCTTCTTTGATTGGAGACTGCACAATTAGCATTATGTTTACAAAACGTTCATTTTAATGGAAAATCTTCACGTGGACTTTATACCAATCACCACTTTGTCATCTCTTTGTTCTGTGAATTAGCTGGATCTTACTGTTTCTAAGTAGTCTCTTTCTTTTGTTGTCACTCAGCATTACATATTGTACGATAATAGGTAACGTAAACGAAGTAGTTGATGACATGGTCTGTTACCATCTACGCTAGAATGGACTAATGAACTATGTAAACAATAAAGTGAAGCCTAAAATGATCTCCCTAAGTTCATAAAGCATCATTAAAAAAAAAAAAAGACAAACAAACAACAGCGTATAGTTTGACACTATAGGTTTGTTAATCATTCAAAACCCTCAGTCGGAGGCGAATGAGTTGAGTCAAAGTAACATGTTTCGAACCAGAAAAGTAAAAGAGGACAGTTTTTGGTAGATCTGCTTCAGACAGATGGGATGAAGAAAAAAACTTGCACATAGAGCACTTCGGCGGTTAATAAAGAGCAGCTGAAGATTCTGCTTTCCCAAACGAAAGCGAGACGTGAATCTTTGTCGAAGGAAATGCAATACCACGAAAGGTTATCCCTCGAAATTTTCATCAGTTTCGTTTCCAAATAAATGTCCGTTTCTCTTCGAGAAATTTTTCTTGTCTAACGGAAGTGTTGTTCAAACTGCCTTGAAAAGATGTCCAGCTTTTGAAGAGGCAAGTTAGTGACTTAATTATAATTTGGTGGAAACTACACACACTGTCCACAAACAGTTTTTGCTCAGGTTATTACGAAAACAATCATTTTTTCAATCGGGAATGCCTTTTTTACGCGGCTCCTAATTTTCGAATAAGATCGCCAGGAGACGAAAAGGAGGGAAATGAGATATTTATGTCACTAGTGAGCGGCCAGGTTGCTAAGCAAGATTTAAAATGGCGACATTCGTCGTTAATATATGTTGAAGACAGGTTTCGAAAGGTTGACTGAGAGGAAGGATCATTAAATATTTAGATTTCACCTGGAACTGGCAAATCACGCTTTTGAGTATTCATTAATTCCTCAATTTTTACTGAAACAAAATGAACCCTGGGTTTGTTGCGAGCGCTAGCAGTCAAGCTTCCCAAAATTGTGTTTTAGGATTTTGCACTCTTGCTAAAAGAGGCCATCTAAAGTCGCTTTTGGCTTAGGCAAGTAACACGTGTTCCGTGCTAACCCACGTGTGAATCTTTTGTGCAAATAAATCGACTGCCATGGAGGAAAAGTGCTCGCGGCAAAGAAATGAAAAGCGCTTGATGCACATCAAGGAAGTAGAGTTTTCGGGTCCAATTACGTCAAAGAAGTAAAATACAACTGTAATGTAATTTAATTGAACGTATTTAATTTTCTACCGCAGATTATTTCTTCTGCAAAAGTGACATCACTTGGCAAATCTACTGTCAAAATGATAGCTTTACCTCGGAATTCCTTTCAGGAGAGGAACCTTGTCTGATCTTTTCTCATTGCCTTGTTGCTTTTAAACAATTTCTTTCCTTCTTTTTTGTTACCATTTTTTTTTTGTTTAGGCATTATTCTAACATGGAATTAATTAATTGTCGGACGAAATGATAAGTCGCGTTTGCTTCCTTGAAAACAAACTGCAGAAGAAGAAGACTTTTTAATCTTATTTCACCGAGGTAGATAGATTCAAACGAAGTCGACCTTAGGGTGAAAGATGGAAAAGATTGAGAGTGAAAGATAGATGGGTGAAGGATACATTTCCATCGACGGTCTCGTAAAATTTTACAAAAATGTTTCAGGGCGTGACATCACTTTGACCGTAACTTTGTAGGAAGATTGGGCAAGTTTGATTCGCGTTTGTGAATGAATTTTACCTCATATATGGATACGTAGGCGAGGAGACCGCGAGAATTTTTTTACAGCATACTTAATTAATTTGTATTACACTTCCATCACCAAATGGAGGAGTTTACTGGTTGTAATTGCTCAGCTGGTGTCTACAATAAATAATACGCGTGACAGCACACGTGGGTCGGCTTTCAATAGATTTATGAAAGAGCCCGTCGACAAAGCTTTTGCAAGTTTTATTCACTCAACAAATGTCCCTGTCTGACTCACCCAGTCAGAGAATACACTCTCCTCCCTTAAAAATATACGTTAAAAAATCACAAGTTTTCCCCACCTTGTGTAAAGTATTTAGGAGGTTCTGATAGTTAAATAGATAAAGAAAACATCTTCACTGAGACTAAAGCATTGCTAGGTAACGATATGATAGCGTCCTCTGCATGGTCGAGTATGAAAAAATTGAGCTACATTGTTTTCTGTGGATCGGCTGACAACTGAGTGTCATTAATTTGCTAAGAGGTTAGAAAACAACAGAACAGAATTAACTTCTAAAGTAACTTGTTATCACAAGTACGATATAGTTTTATTGAGCTGTCAAGGGCAGTTGTCATTGGAAGCTTTTCAATCCGCAGCACAGCTAAAATCTTAGTTTCTCGTCGCAAAAATGTCTTTGGAGGGTAGTATGAGGCATTATTTGGAGTCAGTCGGACTGCGAGAGATTTGCCTTCAATTGGAGGGTCACGGATTTAACCAACTTAGTGATATCTTGAGTATGGATGACGAAGATCTTGCTGCTGTAATTCCTGACGACGAATCAAAGAAGAAGTTTAAGACAACACTCCATCAAGGTAATTAAATTGCTTATCAGTTAATATCAAGGCCAATAAGAGTAAAGTCAGTCTGGAATGGCGATTAAAAAAAGGATAAATGGCCAACACTTTGTCTTAAGAAAAACAAAGAGACTCTTAACTAGAAAGAGATAAATCTTTAAAAAGGGCTTTATGAATGAACAGACACAAACGGAGGAAAGCTGTCATCGATAACATTCCTCATTGGTCAGAAGTACGCAGTAACCCACTGAAAAGTGTTGTGAGGTGCCAGGTCTCTTTCTAGTTTCTCTCGTATCCTATTTCCTTCAAGTACTGGAAAACTTAAGCAAAATGGGATAATAGTTGGCCCGCTAAGTGTATTTTCAAAAGCGCGTGGTACCTTTTCTTTCATGCAAATATTGACTCGCGGATGAATAGGAGACGAGTCACGTGATCAACGAGCTTAAGATATAACTTAAGCAAAAGTTTCAACACGAGCCGGGAGATAAAAACTCATTAATTATAGACGAATACATCGAGTGTGCTTAATGAAACTCGGTCGCCATGGAGCATTTGTAATTTTTAAAACTCTTGGCGATTAACTAAGAAATAAGCTGATCGATATTCATTCGAGTACAGGGCGTTCATTAACTGAAAGAAAATTTCGCGACGCGCTGAGGCGTAAAACACGTGTTGGTGAACAATGGTTTTTATCGAGACATCACGAATGTCAAAACAATATAAACAGGTTATAACTTATGCAATTGATTTTACTACATTCAAAAGTCCTTCGTTTTGCTAATGGATCGTTAGAAAAAAAAAGCTAACAAGCCTTGTACAACTTTATCACAATGCGACACAATGAAATGAGCAGCAAATTCATGATAACCAGCATGTTGGTTTTCCAATTATTTCATCTTTGAAAACTATTTTTGATAAGTGCCTCTATTTTACATCAAAAATCTGATGTCCTTTACGACTGTTTCGTTGGATCTAAAGGAACAAATTTCAAATCAACAGAATATATGTTTTTGAAGGAAAACCATCGAAATTCTGTAATAAAGCATGGCATCTTAACTTAGCAGCCAAGACTCTGATAGCTACAAAAATGATCAATAGAGTTGACAGGCGCCAATCAACAAAAATTCAGGTATCATCGGGCGTCGTGAAAATGTATAGCAGCGAGAGGGGAGAATTAAAAATCTGATCATGGGAGTTTAAGGGTGAACTCTTTGCAATCCCTTGTCCTGCATGTTTTGTTTTTTCCTAATTTGATAACATTTTTTCTTCAACGAAAATCGAAGCCAAGACAGTAGCATAGCTCCTTCAACACTACCAGCAGTGATTGATATACAATTTCTCCGTACATATTTAATACCATATTTAGCAAAATAGTCGTGAGAATGAATGAAAACATCAAATTAGTGAAATGATCTTGATAAACAATACCAGATTCGCTGCTCCAGAGAGCAATGATAAGGTATGGAATTCTAAAAGAATCAGCTCTCATATCTCGGCAGTGGAAGGGGTGCGACAAAAAGAGAACTATCATTTGAAAAATTAAATAAGATGTTTTCTTTCAGACGCGAGACTTATGAAAATTTGGCTGGACTCTCTGGGCCTTGGTCAGTATTATGAGCAGTTCCAGGCCTCTGGATTGACAAGTTTGGCCCGATGCTCTGGTCTGAGCCTGCGGTCTCTGGACGGCGTAAATTTTAACCTCCCAGGACACAAAAAGAGGGTTTTCAGGGAAGGTAATATCAACTATTTAGAAAATGATTCAAGAAATTTTAAAATGTTAACAGGTTTAGCTCCCATGAGTGACCAGGACATAATTTCTTCTAACAATAACGATGCAATGTCCAGCAGACAATAGGTGATGTAACAAAGAAATATATCAATTTGGGGAGGTATAAGTTGATCCGATACCAAATTCTCCCAACTGAAGCGATAAGACTTGTGTGGCAGACAGTAATGAGAATGAGAAACAGATCTTAGTGTGAAAACATACACCGTCATGTATCCACCGATGTGCACTCGATTGAAAAAGCGTTGACACCTAAAAGCGTAAGCAGTGAATGGTGAGATCAAATGGCCTTATGGGTACACTCACGTGTGTACATGATAACCACAACAGTTGCTCAGTTGGTTGCACGTGATAAACGATTTTCCTGAAAGAAAAGAATTCTCATAAACAAAGATTTTCCTCCGAAAAGTAAAGAGCTGATAACTTAAATGCGTGAAGATTTCCCATGTAGCCTCAGGGTCTCATCGTTCATGATTCATGCTTCTAAGGTGTCAACGATTTTGCAATCGAGTGTTTACACATTTGAAAAACTCTTTTCTATAGCCGCCAGAAGAGAATCCCTCTACAGCCTGCAAAAGTTATTAGCTATCACAATTATAAAGTTGAAGTTTGTGGTAACCAAAATGTGAATACAGGTCTGGTCTACTTAAAACTTATGGCAGATTCTTTTCAGCTCAGAGCCTGCTGGGTTACGGAACAGTAATGGCAGAGGGAGCCTGGGAAGAGCATGAGCAGTTGAGGGGTGGAAGGTGAGTAGAGCACGTACAGAACTTATATAACGTGAGAAGTTTATCTCTTAGAGTACCCCCTGGAAAGTGGTCTTTTTTATCTTTAATTTAGAGCGTCAACGTATTGATATTTTACCCCGGTGGGAGCTCCAGTTAAAGAGAGAAGCAAACGAAAACAGATCAGATCGAGAGAAGGGAAAAAAAGAGAGAAAAAAAAAAAAACGGGCGGAAGAAAATTCGTCCTCATGCCGTGTGGGTTACGAGTAGGTATCTTAACTTCCCTTACAGGTTCGGTAAATTTCTTTGTCTCACAGCTGACATTTTTGCCCGTGACACGCAAGATAAGCGGGATAACCCGAATGAAGGCGCTGCTGCTGTCCCACACCGGAGGGTGAAGTTTATGGTGGATTCTGGAAGTGACATTGTCACACTAGATGATGACATCATCAAGGAATTGCAGCTGCCTGTTAAGGGTTGTGCAAAGCAGGAAGTACCAGGAGGACAGATACAGGAAAAGCCTTTATACAGCGCCTGTCTTGGAATTGGCGGGAAAATGCTGAACGTCGAGGTAAAAGTTGTGTGTTCGTTTAGCTGAGGGACTTAAACTAAATTTAACTATTGATAAACATGTTACACGTCTTTTCACGGGTCTGAGACAAAGAAAAAAGTTGATTTCGTAGAGAAGAATAAAACACAAAACCTTTGGATTCTGCTCTCCGATGCTCTACCACTGAGCTTTTAGGAATTCTATGATGAAATGAGACATCACTAGGTTCCTATGGGTTATGTTTTCTTTCTTCTTTTTCGTCCCGTGACTCTGTCGACATTGTTAATCCTAGCAGAATCACCTCAGTTGATCTCTCTTGCTCCCTTAACCCAAAGTCTGTTTTCGCGGTACTTTGGGGTTAGAGTATCAAAGAGTTCCTTCTTTCTCCTAGTAATACGTTTCCCCATTTATGGAAAATTTTCTGGTGTGGTTATTTTCAGGTACTTCCAGACAATGTTAGCACTTTGGGAACTCCAGTGCTCTGGGAATTCCGTCATCGCATCGATGGAGAAAAACATTTGTGGCTCTCCAAAGCTGACGAGTTTGGCATCAAATCATAAAGGGTTCAGCACTCTTGTCATTTAGCTTTCCATCTCTTTATATTCTTAGGCTTTGAAAAAGTTTTTTTTTACCTTACATCTGTTATTAAACAGTCTAGCATGCTTCCAAAATATAGTTGTATGACTATAAATGAGGCTCATGGAACGTGAATTCCTGCGATGTTTTAAAACTGACATAGCTGTAGTATAGTACTTATTATTTACTGTTGTCAGTGTCTTTCATACGTTCGTATAGACTTGAAATATACTTATTTTCTTGCAAGTCTGGTGCCTCGACTTCGAAAATGAGATCTGTAGAGTCCCAAAGAGAGTGTGATGACTACTACCCTCCCACTTACCCACCCACCCCACCCTGTGCACAACCACCAATGAGAGGACCCTTGTAACAATTTGATTATAGATTGTTTTTATTTCTGTAATTAAACATTTTCGAATTCTTTTTACTTCTACGCCTTTTATGGGATCCTCCACCTCCAAGAACTGCAGAATTAATCTTCTGGATCTATGATTAAAATGACAGAATTAGAACATGAAGTAAACACAGAAAGTAAAGTCGCGCCAAAGTTTGCAGGGCTTCTTCGACATGGAATGAACGTTTCAGAAAAAAAAAAAAACTTGCCTTAAATCATCTAAGCACCAGAGCCTTCGTTACTATTAATAACTGCTTTAACAGTGAGTTTCGACAGTCCCATATCAGTGCCATGGGTGTTAGTGGCGGTGCACTCGTAGGACCCTGTGTTTTCGACTGTGGCTCCTGTAATTGTCAGACGTGAACCAATGACAGTTCCATCAGCATCTTTCAAGCTTCCTTGCGACATCTTCCCAAGGAATGCCGCTGAAAATAAAAAAAAAACTATTTTTAAATCTTTTGAAATTGAGGATTTCTTTATCAAGCCTATTTGCCCTAACTTACATTTTCTATGTTTATAATTCATTTATGAGCGCCTCCCTTTTTTGCCAATTGTAACCTTTCTGCTATCGACTTAGTACTCACGAGGAACAGCGAAAACTCGAAAATGATTTTTTCAATTCTCTCAGAATAAGGTTGAAAGTAGAAAGCCTTCAAAAAATATTGAGAGGTAGAGCATTAAGTATAAACACAACCAAACCCCGTTACGAGATCGTTTCAGGGCGCGTAACCAGGATTTCTACAGTTGCATATACCGTAGTACATGTCATCCCTCAGCATGCTTCTCTGGATGTTGGAATACAACCTCCATACATTAGTTCCCAGGAGCTTCTAAAATTATAGGGTCCAAAATCAAATAGACAGTACGGTCAAAAGAATCTCCCGATACTAATGGGACGAAAAATTCAAATACCAAAGTTGTGAAAGTTCAAGGATTGAACTTTCAATCAATGTATCAAGCCTGAATTAGATCCGAATGATAACTTATTTATATCAAAAACAGTTAACTAACAGTCTATGCATCCTCCGATTTTTCCCTGTCCCTCTGCTTCAGAACGGAGGCAAACTCCTAGAAAACAAGATCTGTTACTTACGAGGAATGTCCCGCAAGAATTTCCATGTGAATATGGGCGTTGGCTTTTCGCGTGCAAAACAGTCGAGTGAAATGGTTTCCTTTTCATCTATGGTAACCTCTTGCTGAGCCAAAGAGACTTTTGGTTTCGCTACAAACGAAAGCGAAATATGATCACTGATAAGTAGGGTAACGTGAGCGTTATACCCTACACTGGGATATCTTACACTGCAAAATGAAGAGCCACTGTCAATTGAATACTCCGTAGAACCATAGTCCAGTCCATGGTTATGAATTCCCAACCTACTTTCAGTTCACGCTCTAGAGCACTAGCTCAGATTAGCTCGATATACCAGAAAACCTCGAGATGTCGCGGGTTCAAGAACATGGTAAACGATTGTTCTGGTGATACTTGCAAAAGGATGAAAGAGTAATGATTACATTTCATGGCATAGTTGTTACTCCAGGAATGAAATCTCTCTACAAGGGTGTGTATCGCTCTCAGAAATTTAAATACACGATCATTCAGCGAGTACGTACGTACTCAGTACGACCTTGACTTTTCTTACCGGCCAGGAACAATACGGCATTTGCGGGCAAAAATAAACAAACCTCCACAATCATTAAGCGAACTTGAGCCTGCTGCGACAGTGCTGGCTCCGTTCGGACACGCGATACAATCTGTCTGCTGAGGTTTGTCCTGATATGTGTCACGTGGACAATCCAGACAATTCGGTCCCAGGCCATCAGAGGAGAACCTTCCAGGGGGACATAAGTCTAGAACGAAATAAACATTTGGTGTATATAAGCGTCACATCAGGCCTCAAATTCCTTGGTTGATAATCAACGTTGTTGGTAACTAGACCCATCGTAAAACTTATTTTTTATCGCATTTTATTGGCCGATCGCTCTATGGACTTCACAACACACAAAGGCCAGTTAAATGCTTAAATCATATCATATCTCATATTTCTCCCGATTAAAAGATCTTTAAGGGAAGAAAATATTCTTGTTCGGTTGTACAAGTCAGATTGAAATGTAATGATACCTTCTTTTGAAATTGCTAACCAGTTGCATACTATCCGAGAAAGGGTGGGATTGCATTTTGTCAAGGAGATTGTAAGGTAGAAATTGTCCACGTTACTTTGCATTTTAAATATCTTAGTATGTTATTGAAATGAGGCCGTGGAGGGTAGGGGAGCGGGGGAACTGCACACGTGGGACCACGTACGGAACCATAACAACATTGTACTAAAATGGCACACTCTTGGGGAAATTGAAGAGCGGCGCGGTTTTTTTTTCCCAGGATCAGTACGTAAGTACAAGGGTTTATCTTAAAACTTTCATTGCAGGCCGTTCTATAAGAGGGGCTGAGAAGGGCCTTTGTGCGCCATAGCTCTATCCTTGCAGACTTATCAAAACTCAGCCGCAAGCTCTTCTATTTCGACCCCGAAAATGCAGTTTGTACAGGTTGCACTGCATGTATGTCGATATGAGTGCTAGGCGCTCGTTTGCCACAGTTATTAGTTTAGGCGAGCTAAATAGTGGTTTGACTGGATGAAGGGTCGTAAAGTTCTTAACTTTTCTAATTAATATATACTATTGCCCCGAGCTCACAAATGAATTCGTGACATGGGCAAACTTCATTCAGCTATGTCAGAAAAATAGATCGTAAAAATGTAACTAAAAACGTTGAAACTACCAATCCTCAGTCCTTTTTCTGTATGTTCCTACCTCTTTGGTGTCTTTGTTGTCTATTACCTTTGCTAACTCAAAATATCACAACGTGACTTTTATAAATACAGAAAGCAAACTATTTTTTTTCTCATATTCTGTTATTCTTGGCGCATGCGTATTAAATGCCTATATGTACAACTAAAACAACTCACTTCGGCATTCAACAGCGGAACTTGCTCCCGGTAACGAGGAAGTACCCGCGGGACACTTAAGCGTGCACTGTGTTTGTCCTTGCTGGTCATTGTAAGTTCCCGCGGGACATGGACTGCAATCAGTATTCGAGGATTGGTACATGCCAGCAGGACACTTACCTGTAGAAAGGTTTTAAAAAAGGAAAAGATAGCTTGAACTATCAAACCAAATCTATATGACCTCCGGTACACTGTTTTCAATGCCTTGAAGTCGAACCTTGAATGACTATAAAGTCTCACTTCTGAGCTCGTATTGAAATGGCTTTCCTTCCAATTAATCATTTTATTTACCATTCTACCCACATTATCTCGTGACCCTTTTCCAAAAGTACGGCTCAGTGTTTATTAAATCTGTGGGCGCTTTTTGTCAAGCAACTACACCTCTTTGCAAAAACTGTGTTCTAGTCCTCTAAGTTTTATTAGTTTTTAGTAACATCATCCCTTCTTCTGTCAATGGCTCTAACCCTTCGTAGGAATCAAAAGTAATTTGAAAAAGTGACCGCAATTTACACTTCACTTCTGTCTGCCCTTCGATCGAAAATAGACATCGATTTTTGAAAAATAAAATAAAAACCTAAATTGGAACCATGAGTAGCATGGAATGTTTTTATCTTAAAAATTCCCATTCAAAAGTACTCTATATCCTTTAAAATAATTGCAAGCCTAATCATGTAAATTGTCAACCCGGCTACTATGTTACCTAATAAAACGCTTTGACAAAGATTTCCCTTAAATGGGTTGGAGTAAGATGTAAGAAGGGCGACCATCTTTTCATACCCAATCTCATCCACAGAAAGCTTTTCACGCAACTGTAAGCCAAATCACTCACCACAATGCAATTCCTGTTTAAAAAAGACGATTACTGTCATTTCGATTCGACCTTCTTCGCACGTCGTGTTCGGGTCTTTTTTGGAGGACACTGCAAATAGTATGTCTGACTTAGTAGAATTCTGACATGCGCAGAAAATTTACTTCCCTCCCTCCACTACTGCGCAAAACTTCCGACATAGTTGACTCTTGTCTTACCTCAAGCTTTCCACTTTCGTTTTTCTTATTTAATTTTGTGTATTTTTATGTATTTATTATAGTTTAATGGATAATCTAACTGGACATTAAAGAAAAAAAAAAAAGAAAAAGCAATATTGACCCCAAATAAATGACAGACTACTTGCTCAAATAATTAAATAAGAAGGAAACATGGCGAAGCAATGGATTTTTCTACTTCTACTGATCCTCTTGCCGCTCTTTGCTTCGAAGTTAATGTCTACAGACAAGCGATTCCAGGTCTCAAGGACCCTGTTAAAACTAGTTTTCGTTCTCAGTTGGAAGTACTCTCTTCCTCCCCCTCCTCGCTTTGTGCTCCTTCTCCTCGTTCAGTTATCCTCCTCGTTCTCTACTCTTCCTTTCCCCGTTTCCGCCCTCCTCCTCGTCCTCGTCGCTCTTTCCATGTCATAGTCCTGATTCTGTCTCCCTCCTTCTCGTTCTGTCATCGTTCTCGTACTTGTCCTAATCCACGTCTTTTCCCCTTCCCCCCGTCCTCCTCTTCCTCGTTCTGTCCTTGTCATCACACTTATCCTCGTCTTCATCCTCATTTTTACTCTGTCCCTGTCCTCCTCATCCTGTCCTCGCCCATGTTCTGTCCTCCTCTTCCTCTCCCTCGATGTCCTCCTTATCCTCTTCATTTCCCTGTCTCCCTCCTCCTCCTTCTCGTCGCTCTCAATCTCGTCCTTGTCTTCATCCTTCTGTCCTTGTCCCCCTCCTCGTCCTCGTCCCCGTCTTCCTTCTCGTCGTTTTCGATCTCGTCCTTGTCCTCCT